AAAGTACGTTGATTAATTTTTCATCCATCTATAAACTGATCCATTGTATAACTAGATATATCTGAGCGCGAAGATCTCGCCTCCCTGCAAAAGCAAGCCGCTGCGCTCATGATGAGCAAACTTCGTATGTATTTTTCCTCATTCACGTTTATCACAACTGATGTTTCATCAGGACGCGCGACGGGAAGAATGGACCTCACCATGAATTATCAAAACTACGAGAAGGCTATTGTCCTGGTCTATGGAGTCAAGCTAGATGGTTGGCCAGAGGGTCTCCCTTTCCTTGCACCTTCTCACATGCACACCGTGCTTGAAGTGCGCACTCTTCGTGATGCTTTGGTGACAGGCGCTTGTCATTGGAAGAAGCTCAACCGACGTGAACTCGAGGACCTTCGCGTGGACATTCAACGACGCTCGGATGCAGGTGAGGTGGTAGGCACGGTACGCAAGAAGCGCTCGGATGCAGGCAAGACGCGTAAGCGCAAAGCACCTGCTACTGATGGTGCTACAGATACCACCATGGCCGACGGCGCTAAGAGGCCTCGGAGATCACGCAGGGGCAAGCAGGTTGAGAGGCAGAAGCAAAGCAAAGCAACCAGTGTTGAATTCATCGAAGACAGCGACGAGGAGGTGTCTAATGAGTAGTCTACATAATAGAGTAGTCTACATAATGACATATGTTCGTTTGAAAAAAAATCCGACGCGAAGCGGTTGAGGGAACGCTTGGATTGCGAGCTCGCTGTGGCAGACAGCGAGCACGAAGGTTTGCGGGATTTGCCGAACGGTGTCGGGGCCAGGAACGTCATATTGCCGAAGGCAACGATATTAATAGCACGCCGGTGACGCATTATAGTTGATTTTTGCTAAGTACCCACGCTAAATACTGAACAATTATCCGTCCGAGCGCTGTTTTGATCTATCTACCTGTAACTAGAGGCGCCCAGGCACCCTACATCCGCCTCTAATTACAAGGGATACGTGGGAGTCACAGGTGGGATGAGGGTGTTAATGGTGGGACAGGGTGCCTGAAAGGGGGCGGTGAAAACTGACATGGGATTCAAGTTGTGGCAGTGTGGTAACACGGAGCCAAGAAAAACCGTGCACAAGCGCCTACATGAGTTGATTTATGAGGAAAACCCCGCACTACTCACCACACAATATTCAAAACACAACTATATTCTCAGCGTACGCTCCTCGTCAACTCGAAATGGTAGTACTGACTGCATATCACTCCGTCTAGGTCAACACAGTATGCGACGAGCGCGGATTATACATGGGCTATCAGGGCCAAGAGGGATGATGAAATTTCACACAGAGTCAGTGAATGCAGTCGCATTCTTCAAAGATGGCCAACGGGTCGTCACTGGTTCATCTGACTTCACCCTACAAATGTGGGACGTACAGAAAAGAGCATTGGTAGGAGGGTCATTTCATGGACACAAGGGTGAAGTGCTATCAGTTGCCGTATCGCCAGACGAGAGGACGATTGCAAGTGGTGGAACGGACAACGCCATCATCATCTGGGATGTCCAGAGTAAGCAGATTGATTCGCTGATGAAGCACACAGATCGGGTGAACGCGGTGTGCTTCTCTCCGGATGGCAAAAAACTCGCCAGTGGCTCGGCTGATTCATCAGTTGTTTTATGGAATGTGGACACTGGCGCTGTTCTCGCAACACTCCATCATCAGGGTTGGGTGATGAGTGTTGCATTCAGCCCGGATGGGCTAAAATTAGCCACGTCGGACTACACCATCCGAATTTGGCGCACCGATAAACCCGAGCTTCTTCTCCAGATCAACACTGTCCAATATGTTCGAAGCGTTGTGTGGTCGCATGATGGCTGGCAGCTTCTTTGTGCATCAAGTGACGGAACAGTCAAGTTTTGGAACTCGTCAAATGGAAAAGTGGTCGGTCAACCTTGCACTCACCCTAGCCAAGTCTACTCGCTCGCTGTTAATCCTGATGGTTTCTTCATTGCCACTGCCCCGGACGACAATACTGTGCGGCTGTGGAGCACAGTTACACGCCACCAGATAGGTCAGCCACTCGAACACACCACAACAGTTGTCTGTGTCGCAATATCACCCAATGGCAAACTACTCGTGAGTGGAGACAATGTTGGGAAAGTTCGGCTCTGGTCTATCAAGGATATACTTGGGCAACACAAGACAGAGGAATCGGGAGTGGACGATGAGGAAACACCTCTAGAGCAATTCATTACTCTTGGTGACACGCAGGTAAGCTCTCACCCATTATTGTTGTACATTTTATTCACACATATCAATAATGACAAGCCAAATGGCGATCCCGACAATCGAAGCAATCGTCCCTCTCAAACTGTCGAAGTCCCAGAAGTTATCTATGATGCATGCATTGCTGGAGACCTGCATACCGCTGAAGTCCTGCTGACCCAGATGATCAATGAAGATGACAACCGCCATGATCACTATTTCATGCGCTCGATTGTAAGCGCGCGAATCTCCGAGTGGGATAATGCTCTTCAAGACGCAGCCAAGGTCAGACACTTTGCCAGGTCTACCTATTACAATGCCGTTGACGACACTTTTTTTGCATAGTCGATTGCCATACAACCCTCGCTCTTCGGGTACATTTCTAAGGGCATTGCCCTCTACGGCAACCAACAGCTTGAGGAAGCGATGGAAGCTTTCGATCTGGCTCTCATATTTGTTCCAGATGAACCGAACCCCGAAGAGCAGGCGAGACAGAACTGCGCCGCGCGAAATGATCCGAGGTACATCAGGACCTCGTAACGATCCAATTTGAACGGCTTCTTGTCCTGAGAAAATTATTCGGGTTAATGGCAGAGCTGGACACTTCAAAACAAACCTCTACCTCCTCATAAGATTCACATAGCTCCAGCAACATGGAGGATGACCCAAAAACCGCCTGGAAAACTAGTCCCATACCAGACCACAGGAACGACGAGATTAGCATCGCCAGATAAGACGCCACGGGAATTGGTCTGAGGTGTTTGGCGGCCCATGGACTCATCAGGCATGCAAGACTCGCCAACAATACAAACACTTGCTACGAAAAGAATTATGTTAGTCCTGCAAGACGGAATGAAAATGAACGGTATACTCACGCCCACTCGGAGTCCCACCACCTCATCGTGCACGCGCTGGTTATACGTCTTCCAGCCATTTTCCTTTTTCACCACTTGCCATACCTCCTCGAGATCGAGCTGTTGGAGAATCAATTTGCAGAGGAAGGTAAAGCGACGCAGAGCGCGAGGCTCTGAGGGAGGTTTCCAGTCATCAGGAATGTCTGAGGGCTACTTTTCGCTCTCTCCGTGAGTTGTGGAAGGTGAGACGACAGCCGTCTTCGTCGCGTCTTTTGAGATGTCGCTGCCGAAATCGAGAGAGGAAGGAATATCGACAAAACTGTCTGAATCTATGTTGGACATGGGTGGCTGGTGATGGATCTTGTTGAGCTTTAGAAGTAGTCTAGATGGAGAATGATTTGTGAGGGGTGGTCTACTGGAACAGAGGGATAGCTACCTATACGTTTTAGTTGAAATTTGAGGCTCGAATGAGGGGGACGCGGTAAAGGACGCGGGGTACACGCGAAGGAGAAGAAGAGAACGAGTGAATTGCGAATCCTCAAGGCGCAGATCCTTTAAGGAGGCGCACGGACCCAGTGTTTAGCTAAGGTAGAAGCACCGGAGTACCACTTGCGGTCGATCGATGAGGCCTGAGGTGTTTCCTATATGCAAAAAAAAGAAATCGCTGTTAACGAGCAATGACGTAGTGAAAATCTAACGATGGACGACAGGATACATGCACATGAATGGTGCATGTGTTTCAGCACGTCGCATAGAACGCGATGTGGACAGATGTGAAGAACTTTAGTTGTAGTAGTACTTTGTGGCTGCCAGATATCTAGCAGTTCAAAGTCCAACGTCTAAGCAGAGAGTACATGATATTAATTCAGACCCCAGTTCGGGCCCAAGAGTGGCAACAACGTTAGAAACGCAGCACGAGAGGCAGCATAATCGAACTTGTCGGTTCGACAACATTCTCAATGTCCTGCATGATGGCTCAACCATGAGGGTGCCTGCCGCGATTGAGATTTGCAAACAGTAACTTACGAATGGCCGAAACCAGGCCGCCCTCGTTCGCTCCACCATCAATGACAACGGGTATTTCTAGCTGTTCCCCATGATGCATGATGGGTAATCTGCCACAACTTGAATATGTCGATAAAAACCTGGAACGGCAAAATCCGACAAGCGCTCTGTAACACTCTCACGAAGGACTCGTCTGGATTCTCTACAACCCAGGACTGCGAAGAATGGTCTTTGACACGATCTGAAAAGCACCTGCTCTGGATAATGCGATAGTTTCCTATTCGATTCTGTCACCCAATGTGACTTCCCGTCAAGTCGATTTTTTGGTGAGTTTCGTAGACCGTGTTGACTCTTCTGATCTTCAACCAAAACTAGTACGGGTTGGTGTCCTACGCAGAAGCTGTTCTGTCGTATCATTTAGGAACGACTATCTTCCTTCTAGAATCTATTTGGTCTGCCAACGAAAGACTACGTATCGTTGGTCCCATATTATTAGTTCACGCTCTCAGGAACTGCCACGTCAGTTGTAAGGAAGCTGCGGAACCACTGCGGACCCGAAACGATACAATGAGTTGTTACGACTCACGACGGCAACTTCGAAAGCGCTACCCACGATCAATCCGCGACTATAAGTACTCGCCCTTTGGTGATTCATTCCTCTTCTCATACAACCACGAACACATCATATTTTTCAACAGCATTCATGAGCAACCCTTTACGTGGCAGAGGTGGTACCCGAGGCGGCTACCCTGGTGGCCTCCCTCGAGGGGGCGCTGGTGGGTTCAGTGGAGGAAGAGGCTCTGGTCAGAGGGGCGGTTATGGCGGTGGTTCCAGAGGGGGAGTACCAGGAGATTTGATCTTCCGGGGCCCTGCATCTGTAGACCAACGTCTCGCTACCTTAGATCAGCTGGTCTCTTCTTTCAACAAACTCACCTTCAACCCTGAGCTCCCTCACCGGCCTGGCTACGGCACCCTTGGCCGTAAAATTACATTACGTGCTAATTTTTTTCATGTCAAGCTTGACATAGAACACATTTACGACTACCATGTCGAAATTACGCCATCCACAGACGTTAAACGCATTCGTGCACGCCTTTTCGAGCTCCTAGACCAAAGCTGGAAACAGTATGCGCCGTTCATCGCACACGACAGTAGCCAGAGGCTTGTGTCGTCCGAAAAGTTGCCTCAGCCCCTTGACGTGCAAGTTCAGTATTACGAGGAAGGAGAAGCTCGTCCAAATGCTAGACCCAAGACGTATACTTTCGCAATTATCCACACGGCTGACTTGGATGTTGCACCGCTCACTGAGTAAGTTATAGAAAAGTACCTCATTTGTTCTCGCGTTAATCCATGATGTGCAGGTATCTCAACGGCAACATCGTGTCCCGGGATTACGACGTCCAGCCAATCGTAAGCGCTGTGAACCTCGTGCTTCAAACGCATGCAGCGCGTACCGGAGTTCGTGTGGGCAAGAATCGCTACTTCTTTCCCTCGCAAGAGCGCTTTGACCTTGCGCTTGGCTTGGAGGCCTGGAAAGGCCTATTCACGTCTGCCAGACCTGCATATAAAGCACTCATGGTGAACGTCGGTGTCTGTATGACTGCCTTCTACAAGCCGGGCAACCTCGCCGAGGCCATCATGGCATTCGATCGGTCGTCTGATGGCGCCATGCCACAGCACTTTACCCAGAAGCTCAAGGTGACCACGAGACATCTAGGGTACAAGCAAAAGAAACCGATCAAGAAGATCATGTCAACGACTGCTAGGAGGACGACTTTTTACTGCGACGAATACGATCGCAAGATATCTGTTGAAGAGTATTTCCAGAGAAGTTCGTTTCGTTTATTATGTTCTTTATCCGCTCGCTAACTCTTAAGCAGAGTACCCCCACATCACGCTGAGGCATGCAGACGACCTTCCAGTCGTTGACATCTCAGGTCCGAATTCGAAATTCTCCATCTACGTACCAGCCGAACTATGCGAAATCGAGCCCGGGCAGCCATTCAGAGGGCGTCTCAATGATAAAGAAACTGCCAACATGATTCGGTTCGCCTGCAATCCGCCCAAAGTTAACGCAGAAGCCATTGTTGAACGCGGTCTTCCTATTCTTGGATTTACTCCCGAGACGCTGGGCAGTCCTTTGAGCAGCTTCGGCATCTCAGTGGACAACAATATGGCGGTCATCCCTGCACGTGAACTTCCCCCACCTCGCCTCAGCTATGAAGCAGGGGGGAAACCACTCAATGTCAGCAACGGCAGTTGGAACATTGTTGACGTCAAGTTCCATGCCGGCGGAGCCATCAAGAGCTGGTGGGTACTTGTCGTCAGAGAGAAGGACGGGCGAAGCGTGTTCAGCGGGGCCGACGACCCGAATTTAACAGCTATTTGGAGGGGCTTTGGTGAGAAATGCCGCAATAGCGGCATATCACTGGGGTCACAGCCCGTCAAGCTTGCCCAATCGCTCATCCCTCGCGCCGATGACCCAGGCAGGCAGCAGGCGCTGGACTCGATTCGTCAGAAGATCAAGGAAAACGTTATCGAGAGAGGAAAACCGACATTCATACTCGTCATCCTCTCTCGACGGGACAACTACATTTATCCGGGCATAAAGCGGATCTGTGACGTCGAGTTGGGCGTCCACACCATACACATGCTTGCAGATAAGGTGGTGGGACGGGACCCCAATAAACAAGATCAGTACTTCTCGAACGTCGCTCTCAAGTTGAACACGAAACTCGGAGGTATCAACCATGTGCTCGATGCGGAGAGCTTGGGATGGTTGACGAAGGCCAAGACGATGGTCGTGGGTATGGACGTTACGCACCCCGGTCCTGGCAGTATTGAAGGCACACCATCGATTGCCGCCGTTGTCGCGAGCGTCGATAGTTCTTTCGTCCAATTCCCAGCAAGTCTCAGGTGTCAGGAGACCAAGAAAGAGGTAGGCTACGTCCTAATGTTGTCGCCCTAACTCTCATCCGCTCATTGTAGATGATTACGGACTTGGCTGCTATGATGATCGAGCGGCTCATGTTTTACAACGAGAAGAACCAAACCCTGCCAGACCGGGTCTTTGTTTACAGGGATGGTGTGTCTGAAGTGAGATAGGCCTTGCTTTTGGTCCCGAAGTCGCTCGCTAATGTTGAACGAACAGGGCCAATACAATACTGTGTTGGAGGAAGAGCTCCCTAAGATCCTGGAGGCATTTAAGAGGGTCCCGCAGAGGAAGCCGTATCGTCCATTGTTGACGATCATCATTTGTGGAAAGCGCCACCATGCCAAGTTCTGGTCGACCGAGTCCCAGTTCGCAGACCGGAACGGTAACACTCGTCCAGGAACCGTCGTTGATAGAGGCATCACTGCAGTGTACGGCCCTTCTATTTGACCACAATTTAATTATTCTTACGTTTTGATTACCCTAGGTTCGGCTATGATTTTTACCTTCAAGCTCATGCCGGCTTGCAAGGCCACGTAAAGGCAACACACTACATTGTGGTGTATGATGAGAATCGCCTCGGTGCAGATGAGCTGCAGCAGGGTACGCACACTGCGAGTTACCTGTATGCTCGTGCCACCAAGGCGGTGAGTCTTGTCCCAGCCGCATACTACGCCGATTTGGCATGCGAGAGAGGGAGATGTTACTTGAACGACTTCTTGAGTTCCGATGACAAGGTATCAAGCTCTGTCGTATCAGGAAAAGGAAAGGGGAGGGGGAAAGTGGACAAGGAGGAAGAGAAGATTCGCGTGTTCCAGGAGGCGAAGAAGGCATGGGGAGAGGGCGTGCACCACGATTTGCGGGCTAGTATGTTTTATATCTGATATGGCTACTGCGAGTTGTACTTGTATTTGAGTTTCTTGTGATCATCATGTACCACGTGCACGTGGAGAGTTAGAGTTCATACTGCTTTTGAATTGTACATCATGCAGCGCTGCAGCCCCATAATTTATCTCATTTTTACATGCCCTCTTCCACATCAACTTTAGCGGAACTCCGTCGCACAAAACAGGCCTCAGCTGTCGTTAGGTCCATCACTGTCGTCAACGCTTGATTTGAGAGGTCATGGCTCATTTGAAAGTAAGTACGTAAGTTAGAACTGAATGGATAATGATTGGAGCACCGTGACCACTGACCTCCGACGCTCGGAGAGTCGGAGTCGTGTTGTGGTCTCCGACGCTTCACCGACTCCGCTTGCAAAATTGTTCATGTTCATGTTGCAACCCACATCTCTAGGACTCTTGCACTAAATACTCCATCGACGCCCGACTGATGCACCGGGCTCTACACATTTGCGAAATCCTTCTGGAGATATTCGCGCACGTGAATAAAATCCAGGGCCGGTCGTATCGCGAGGATGTATTCGCGCGGCGATGTGTTGCAGCACTTGCAACAACATGCAAAACATTCTACGAGCCTGCAATGAATGAACTTTGGGCTGACATGTATGGGTTAATACCACTGCTAGGCTGTGTAACCAGGCTATATCCAATGATATATTGCGGTGAAAAAGGGGTCAGTGTCCTCTGTTCTGATCTCCTTTCGCTCATTAGCTCACCGTTGACCGAACATCTAAACACAGTACTGCAGGTTTAATCCCCCATACTTTCGAGGCATTGAACCATTATCGGAGAATGAAGGTCGTCAATTCTTGCGTCACGCTGCCCGTGTGCGTTCGATGCATATAGGGTTACAAGACGACTATTTTCACCTTCTCCCAGTCCTCGCGTGCACGGTGCCATGCATGTTCCCGAGACTGTTGTCGTTATCGATTCCACATGCGATAAGATACTCGGATATATTCTTGTCCCCGACGCTGCGTCGTTGTTCCCTAGAGGTCACTTATCCGGATTTAAAAGTTATTACGACCCGTTGTGCTGCTTTGGAGAGCATAAACCTCCATGACCCTAATGAGGAGACAGCAGACGGACGGTCGCTGTTGTCTGACAGTCTCCGCTTGTGCAAGCGGCTTGTAACGCTTTCTTGTCCACCCCTCAACTTGACTGCATGGGAGCATCTCTCCAACCTCCCTACCCTTCTCAAAGTCACGCTTTGTGGGGGGATGATAGACCCTTTCCCGTTGCACCTCAACAATAATATCAGTTTCGGACCTTTTCTCAACCTCACAACTCTTTGTTTGGATGTTGCAACGGATACATACGTCACGGCACTCATGCAACACTCAGAATTCCCTTCGCTGAAAATGTTCTCGATGTCTGTCTGGCATTTCTCTTGGGCAGAGGTTGAACGGCTCGTTCGCGTGCTGTCCCAGTGCAAAGCATGCCAGACCCTTGAACACATTGGTATGCGCTGCAGCCGCAGTTCAGGAGTCCACAATCCGCCGGGCAGCTCATTGACAATTACACACTTCCGTTGTTTCACACAGCTCCGGATTCTGCGGCTCGATATTCCTCTTTGCTGTATCCACCTTGACAATGATATTTTTTTGGAAGCCATGTCAAGTTGGCCGCATCTCCGCCGTCTGGAATTAGAAGACAATCGTCAGACTCGCGGTACCATTACATTCCGCGGATTGTTCGCAGCGCTCCGTCAATGCCCCCACTTACGTAGGCTCGAATTATGGATAGACGCAGTAAATATCGATGTCGACCCTACAGCGGAGTCATTTCAACATACATCCCTACAAGAATGGCATGTGGAGTCCGCTCAGGTAATGGATGCTGAAGTTGTCGCACGGATCATCTTCTCTATGCTCCCTTGCGTCCACAGACTCTACCACAAACACATGTCAATGAATGGCGATCCCCCGTACGCGTGGCCCGGTGTTCAAAGGCGTCTCGACCATCTCAGATCTTCTGCAGTCCCTTGATATTGCAGGTGCAACTGCAGAGACTTAGTCAGCTCAAGATATACACATATACAGGATGTTGCCATCAATATTTAGAATATGGGAAGTGGAGACGAGCAAGGGAGCTCTGTGATGAATGTATTTACCTGCATAGTAGGTTCTGCTTTGCAAAAATTACGAAAGCCCCTCGAGTCTGTAGTCTCCTTTTCTAAGTATGCATCGGTGTTAATACGTCATAATGACACCGGCAGGTTCTACTTTGCTTAGAATCTCCCAGGCACAATAGCGTTGGCGTGGCGCTACGAGGCAAATTGCTCCCCCAGATATTATCCTGATGGAATAAGAGGAATACGAACTGAAAAGGATGGACGGTCTTAGGAACGATCATCGGAAGATCCTTTGGGCCTGCGGCAGACACTACAGCAGATACAACGCCGGATACAACACCAAAAGCGAGTGCAACATCCAGCCCGTTCTGGAACTGGTGTGTCTGCAGGAGCAGTGGTTATGGAAAGAGGAACTGAATGTGGAGGTGGGGGTGGCAATGTCGAGGATGTTGCAGTGGTAACAGCTGCCTGCGGATGTGATGACTGTAACAATGGTGTCACAGCTCGGGTCGGTGACTTTTCTACCGTAGGCGGGGAGGTCCATGGTCGAGCGACGAACACAAGCTTTGGAACGAATGAGTACGAGAAAGAGAAGGGTAGAACAGAACAGACCGATGTGGGGTCACCGACAGTACGAGCACTAGGAGCGCGACGAGAGAAAAACCTTCGCCATGGATGTGCGACATCAGCATCGGGCTGAGAGGGAAGGAAGAGTGATAAGAAGCGGCGCAGGGCAAAAGATGGCGCTGAGATTGCATGCTACATGGAGGAAGATTGGTATGTTGGAGAGGACTGAGTGCACAGACGTCAAAGAAAAACATACACGCACACCAATACGATAATCTTGGGAATCATCAACAATCACTGGTGGGGTTGGGCGGACGTCCTCGAGTTGTTCCGCAGGAGGCTGCAAATCAGGACGGTCTCGGGAATCGTCGACAACTACTGGCGGTGTTGGGCGGATGTCCTCGAGCTGTTCTGCAGGAGGCTGCACATCAAAATGGTCTCGGGAATCATCAACAACAGCTGGCGGTGTTGAGCAGACGTCCTCGAGTTGTTGCACAGGATGTCGAGTAGCACTCGTCTAGAATAGTTGAAGGTAACGGTGAGATCAAAACGAGATGTTTTTATAGGCTTACATTAGGTCCTGCATCGGGCAAATCCTTCAGAAGGCGCATAATTTCACCAGTTGTCGGGCGTTCGGCTGGTATCTTACTGAAGCATAGCATCGAGAGCTGTCCATACTCCCCATAGCTCCGCATGGCATCGAAAGGCTCACGCCCGTTAACGATTGCTGATACAACAGCCGCCACATTCCTGATATCATGATAAGGCTGCTTTCCTGAGAAGATCTGTAACCATTGTAAGGAAGCTATTTCAAGGGTTAACAATCAAACAAACCTGCAACACCACACAGCCATACGAATATATATCCCAGAATTGGGTTGGCGAATATTCATCATTAAGAGCCTCAGGGGGCATCCAACGTGCGGATCCGACATGATGGGAGTTGAACATGTCGGCTTTCGCCTCAGCGAGGAAAATCGAAAGACCAAAGTCTGAGATACAGAGGGAACCAGAGCTATCAACCAAAATATTATACTGTCGTAGAATTCAATTACATACTACATTTAGATTAGGATAAGACCTACTGGTGTCAAGTCACCATGCACAATACCCCTGCCGTGCACTAATCAGAGATATTCTTTAGTATATGGTGCAATCGCTACATTCGTTAAGAACGAGACACACAATAATCAAGACCAGAAGCCACTTGTTGTATCTGAAATCATGACTAAGTATAGCTAGTGCAGTAGCCATTTGGCACTTACCAACTCTCGCTTTTGAGGGGCCAACAGCGTAGAAAACTCGCGCTGCAAGTAATCGTTCAGTGATCCTTCTTTCATCCATGGAGACACTAGTGAAGGAAGCGGCCCAAATCCTTCAGTGACACCCTCGAAAGGGAGAATGTGGTCGTGCTTCAACTGTATCCAAATATAAGCCTGGCGACAAATGTCCTGGGGAGAAAATATATCAGTGATTGGACCTGTAATTACTCCATGCCCTAACCCTAGCCTTTGCTTGTACTGTTTCCCTATCCCATAGTGGAGGTACCCTGATGGATTTGACAGCGACCTTGAGATGATTAATGACGAGTCTTTCTTTAGCTACCCATGTCTAAACTCACAAGGCGCTGGGATTCAGAGTGTGTAGACATGGAACATTGCCAGATGTCGCTGTAGCCCTCTGCAGCATGAGGATATGGGCCTAGTTTTTGCAGAAAGTCTGGGACCTCGGAATTTCGCCCCAACGGGTTCCTTTCGCCCCACTAGATACCAAACAATACACAACAATACCTCCATTTTTAATAATATTATTTAATATTTGTCTCAATATCTATAAGGTCTGGCTGGGTGCAGTGTATTCCAATCATCAATAGATAAGGCACGTCATGGCTGCATGCGACTCTTGTCTTCAACCATCACCGTCAACTGCAACAAACGCCCCGCGCACTCCCTTACTACCTCCCAAAGGCACATATCATTGCCCGCCACCAACTAGACAACAATTAGTATGTTCATTGAACTAGTGCGTGCCATTTCTCTTTTCTTTAATACCACGAGTTCAATGTAAAGCTCAATCTTATAGGATCTTGGGCGTGTGACGCATTTACCTATGATTCATCACAACAGCAAATCCAGCAAACTCTATTCTTTTGTATGTACTCCCTGCAATAGGGCTTCATGTATGTGTCTCTCCTTGCTTCACAGTTGCAGCGCATCTCATGTAGTCCCTGAGCAGTTCTACATGACTTATTGACTATGCTCTCTCGCGCATACACAGCCACAATGTCTGACGTCCCACCAACTACACCATTTATGAAGCCTGAATGGGTGTCGGTCTGTGGTGAATGTGGTGATGAGCTGGCATGGCGCGTGGTTAGTTCAAGCAAGAACGACAACCGTGGGCGGTGGTATGCTATGGTAAGGTTTTTTTTTTTCATTTCATCGGTATGAATCTACCTATTGAATGTTCATTATGTTAGTGCTCTAAGAAGACGCCTGCAGGAAAACCTGAGTTCTTTCAGTGGGGGTCTCCAAAGTCTTCGCCGAACCAATCTCCCCCCGACCTATCACCGACTTTGCGTTCTGGCTCATTGTCACCTATCGCCATTCCTGACGCCAGCTCCAATACTCACTATTGCGCTGTTCTTGGCTGCAAGTCATGCCGTGTCGCTGTTGGTTGCGAGCATCAATGCTGCCGCAAGCACTGTCTTGCTTTTGGCGGGTGCCACCTTAAGAAGCATAAGCTATCTCCAGCTGAACGTCAACGCTTTGCTGCCATCGATCCTGCATTATTGGTCCCACCAAATCCTCACCACCGTAATTCAATGACTCCATCGGACACCCCAGATTCAATTCAACCCACCCCAGACCTAGAGACGCGTGCTCCTACCCCAATCCTACCCCATGAAACGTCTTATGCCACCCTTCCACCAACATCTATGACTCCTGCAACCACTCGAGAATCGTCTGCCGGGCCATCCAAACTTCCTATCACACGCACAAAGAAGGGTAAAGCTCGTGCTGTCGAAGATGTTGATATGCTCGCACATTCTCGCCATCCATCACAACTTCCACCGGTCTTCACGCAACGCTATGCTGAACAAGAGCTGATCCTCCAGCAGCAGAAAACCCGAGATGCTGAACAGCGTGACCTTGCACGGTGTGCAGCCAACACCATTCATGCCTATGGCTGGTCCAAGGTAGGTACTCAAAGCCATAGTCATAGAGCGCTCCTCACGATGGCTATTTTATAGGATGGCAATGAGGCCGAGATGTTTGAGGTCCAGAATGGATTTACCTATCCCCAGCTCCGGATGACTGCCTCCATCCTTTCCGCTCTAGGCTTGACTGCTGGCGAGGACGGCTCCTCCATGCTGCAGTACTATAACACTGCAAGGAGCAGATGGATCAATATCATCCAGGGTCATGTCATCACTCTTGACATGCACCATATCTTTGTGCGCAACATCGGTGTCTCTGTCATGCCCGACTTTGATACCATATTTCGTGGCTGTGATGCCAGTGAAGCTGGCGTCCCAAACATCCGAACCAATCTCCAAGCCGAGCGTGCAGCTGTTCGCAATGCCAACAACCGTGATCTACTGAAGCTGACGTCTTCAAAGAGACTAGGTTCAGTAATTGAGGTCTCTAGCGGTTCAGACGATGAAGTCGTTGCTCCTGGCAAACGCAAGACTGCTGCCCGCCATCAGGACCAGCATGGCCCTACCCGTCGTATACGTACCAATACCGGTGGATCATCACACCCTCCTACCATTATGGTGGAACGCTCACTGGGCACCATCGAGCTTACTTCAGATGATTCCGACGATAGCCTTCTTACGACTGGTCCCTTATTCCGTCTTCCTGTCATCACAGAACGAAATTCACTGGGCACCGTCAAACTCGCTTCAGATGAATCTGATGATGCTATCACAGCATCGCCTACTGGTCTGACAGCTGGCAACCCCATTGATGTCGACTCCTTCAATCTCAAACGCACCTGGCCAAGAAGTTTCTATACATGTGAAGTTGCCGATGTCTTTGAAGCTGCGGCAGTTGATGATGGGAGAAGCCTAAAGACGAAGTTCGAGGATGTGTATGGTCCTGATGTACGCTTCTACGCATCAACTTTCAGTGATCACCTCAAGCGCTGGAAAGCTGCTTCTCCCTCATCTCGTTCGGAGTTCATTGAAGCAGGAAAGACCGATGACGGTCTGTACTCAAGGTTTATGAAGGCAAACCCTGCGCCAGGGGGGGAAGTCAAAGCTGTGAAGAAGCGCCTTGCGCGCATGCGTGGCTAGCTATACCAACTCTTATTATTCATGATTCATTTTAGTTTTGTTCATTCATGATTCATTTTCGGTTTGTAACCACCTGATACGTTCTACTTTGTACTCCTGCAATATACCTAGCGCTAAACCTTTATCTCTTCACAATGATCTGTGGACGTGATTTCCTGCATACCTTGACAATCTCGTTCCCTTGTGATTACAATCTGTCCAAATCATGAGGGTATTTGCTCTATGCGCTTCAGTCAAGAGAATTGTGTGAGCCGGTCTGTGTCCCTCAGCAATGCGCTCTTTGATAGTTGCAGCTTATGCACTGGATGTTGTAAAGGATGGCTAATACACCGTCTATTGCAAACGAAAAAAAAACTACAGAGGCCAGTTTCCAGGTGACCGTTGTTGACTAGCTAGCTTTACTTTCAAGAGACGGTTCTTCTGAATAATCATCTCATCCAAAAAGAAAGCATAACGATCAGCGGTCATCTCACGACATATAGAATGGTAACCTCCAAACCACACATTAGTCTGTTCAGCTATCGATGAGTTGAACAACCATGTGTTATCGTCACCCTTCAACTCATCAAAAAATGCGGGGTTGCAGTGTTCCTGACACCATCGATCTTCTTCCGAGTGCTTGCATTTGAAATGGAACACATCGACTGAGAGGCCGACATTCTGAAAGTAAGGATCATCGCGGACCATGTAGGAGAGGGTGCAGTTGTTATCATAGAATATATGACTCGGTTTGATGGTCTCATCACGGAACACACGTTTGATCATTTCCTGTCGTTGATAGCAGTAATTAGGATGATTCATGTGTCGCAGAAATGGACTCACAATGACACTTGCTACACCTTCTGCACCAAAGAATGTTTCTCGTGCAAGGATCATTCCGCAAGGGGAAACAATCAGCTGCTCATTGTGAGTTCGCTTGCGTCCAAACTGTGCACGAAGCCTTGCCATTGGCTGTTGTGAAGTTGTTGCCTCGGACACGACCTGAAACTCCTCCTCAGGAATAGAGTCTGGTGGGGTAGCGACAAAAGTGCGCTGAAGTCGCTCTTGAAGCTGGAAGCGAGCTTGGCCACGTTCAGTATAAGCCTTCTCGACTGCTTGGTGGGTGGGTGTGTCACATGTCTTCATTGAGGGGACAACCACACGGTTGCATCCAATGATAGCACATGTATTCACGAGTGGCAAGTGATTGAGGCAAAAGCGGTCCCGGTTATTGAGCAATGGGTCATGGCAGTTATGAACACCGCAACAAGGATGGCCAACAGTGACGCCGTCTGTGACAACAACGGATAGCTTGGTAGTGGGAACCCCGTTGCCATTATCATCGTATAGGATGGTGCATTTTGAACAATAGTGGCGTAGCTCCTCTTGGCCATACATTTGGATGCGCAAGTTTCGGGCTCGAATGGCTTTTGTAAAGCGGTCTTTGTGGTCACCGCCATGGCACACAGCCAAAGTCTCTGCACGCAACCCCAAGTCTTCGATGAGGGACAATTGGACGATGCCACTCCATACATGGTCGCCAGTTACCTCAAATCCGAAAGGGAAGTCAGGAGGAGGAGAAGCGCCTTTGGAGAGAGCAACATTATATAGGCGTGCACAATTGGACATAGACGTCCTGCCACTTTGTCAATAAGGAAGGCAAGGGAGCGCAAGACAAGGCTTACCAGGAGAGAAGACATTGTGAGCGCCACATTCGTACAACAGCTGTCTCAACAAACTGGTGGCCTCCGATGTGAATAATGCTAGGAACATTGCCATAGTATGTACGCTCGCGTTTAGCGTGGGGTACCTTGTGGTCAACCGAAAAGGAGTGATGAAATTTAGTATTGCAAACTGGTTAGCTTGCATGAGCGGAATGCAGAAAGTTTGGATGGATTATAGCACGCACCTTCACATTTCAAATCAACCGAATAGGTGGCAATGGGGCCTAGCGCGAGGGTATACAGCACAGCTGGCCGCTGGTTTGCTGTCATTAACTTTCTGAGGTTCGAGCAGCTAGGTGTAGTGCAGGTTTGACTAGGTGGATATAGGGTGTATTGGGCTGGTGTTTATACATTAGTATAGTATACTGATATTAAATTATATACACACTGATCCCATGCTTGCGTCCATATCGTGAAAATGTTGGAAGGTGATCATTGACACCAAAGCAGTCTTCGTTCCAAATGACATGCTTTAATGCAGACCAGAAGGTAGGAATGTCGTCCATAATTATATCACAGCTAGCGGAGAGGAAACACGAAATACTTGGTGAGAGATTAGCGGGTGGTTTGCTGACATCCTGGTCTCCGAGCTGCACCAAAAGAATATCATTCTTGAGTGTAGTTGCCAGACTAATGAAGCGGAATATAGCAGCCAGTGAAATCTTCAGCCCAGATGGGTCAGCACACTGCAAGAGCTGCAGAAGCTGGTTCCGATTGTTCATGGCGACTGTTTGCAATGTGCGTTGTGTGTACGGTCACTGGCAGCTGAGCCAAGTACAAATTGGTAGCTATATTATATTATTTTATTATAAATATTACCAAAGATATTATTAAAATGGATTATGTCATGTTGGCGCGCATGGCGCGAAAGGTGTGGATGGGGCGAATGGGGCGGAATCTCAAGATCCCAGATGTCCTCCGTTTTTGAAGGGCTGTCGCAGGAATCCAAATAGGTTCAATTTTGAAGTCAACTGACACTGACTCAGGCTTAACTGACACTGACTTCTGCCAATAACATTAGTGTATCATCAATGTAGAAGTTATATCGACCTGCGGGGGACAAATCACTCATCGCGAAGTAAAGCACTCAGTGTTCAAAATGACAGATGGTTGACAACTAATGGGATGAATGAGACGAAGCGGGCATCCTTATCATCTACAACTTGAACCGACAAAATTTTGCAGAACAGTGAGTATCATATTACCTAATTTAGAGCAAAATTGGGATCAACTACCACCGGCCGGCGCCCGGCTGGACACAAATCTACGACCATGGTTCCAAATTGACTGAATGGTCTGGACAGTAGTAAGTGCGCTTACTGAAATTTCAGGAAACGACTCTGAATATCACTAATCGACTCCATTACTGTGATGACCACTTTGCTCGGAGGACACATTCGCATATTCATGACCTGGATCAGGCATACTGTCAGGACGACCGCATTTCGGTCATATACGACTCTCCTCTCGTTCTTCCTGCGACTGATCCGACGTTGTCAAGTCGTGGGTAGATATAAGAGAGCTTTTCGAGAACCAGGTTTAGCATTGAGCTCTCATCCAACAGAGCGAGATAAGGATGTTCCTAGGACCCTCGCAGTGCCTGAAGCATTGCCACAAAGCGAAAGTTCAAATGGCGTAGCTTCCAATACCCGATCCCTTGAAACCTCTTCTGCATCATTGATTCAACGAAACTATATGAACGCGTCCAAGCCTGATATTCACCATGTTAACACTGCGCCACCAGATCCTGCTGCGACAGAACAATTCTTTCATATTACAACTCCTATCATACCCGGACAGATAAAGCGATCCGGGAGCAAAAAGACGTACGCAAATCGAATCTTTCAAGTGTGTTGCCATTCTAATCCATACCGACAGTCAAGGCCTTGATATTGTAGTGTATGAGGTTCTGACCGGTCCTTTGGACTGTTCAAAGTAAGCATGCTGGTGACAGAGTGCGCGATGAGATTGAAAAGCACTGTCAGGGAGTTTGCTCCAGTGCCGGGATGGGAACCGCTCACGCACCCGGAAGGTGCTTTGTTTTTCTATCACTCCAATCGCGTACGTCTGCGATTCACTCCTAGTATCGTGTATCACTCATCTCTCACCAGAAAGTTTTCACTTATGCCAATATTCAAGGCCCTGGAACTGCAGTGGAAATGGATGAGATAGCTAAGAAGGCGTACGAAGAAGCGCACAAAGCAAACGTCTTTCGTTCATCTGTTGAGCTAACGTTGGAGCGCATGATGGTGGGTGAGGATGAGAAATGGGGCTACTACTTTGCCGATCATGACAAACGTGTTGTTTTCTGGCTCAAACCCTATAAGTCTGAAGAACTTATCGGTAACGTTCGAGGAGTGAATGGTGCAAGCCACATCAGTGAGTTGTTTCTGTCAAATTTTCATTCAGGTTTCTCTCATTACGTCACCCACAGAGTATGCCCTAGAATCACAGTACTGGTTTGTGGCCTCAAAGTACGCATCTTCCTTTACCTGACCGATTTCAATGCGTTGATGCTTTGTTAGATTTTTTTTTTTTTTTTTACCTCTAATGGTTACGCTTCATGATCTCGACAGGAAACACATTGAACTATTTCCGAACAAACGTTTCCTTCCGAAAGACATCGTTGTGAGACTCAGGGAAATTGTCATGTATACTCAGGCAGGTGGGTAAAGACTGATCAGTTTTTCGCGTCTCACTGGAATAACTCCTGACAGACAGCATCACTTCCGAGACTTGCCTGACACCTTTGAGTTCGAACCAGATTGCAAGTACGCTTAGTCTTATGGATCCTCTGATGAGTGAGTCATTCCCCGATCCGGGGGTCATTGTTGATAGTCTTTCAGGCAGTATTGGCCAGAAGCACGAGCATTCTGTGTGGATCGTCGGTAAGTCTAAGCATAGAGGCTCAGTGGATTGTTTCTGATACATTTGATAATCGTCAGCTCGATTTATGGGACATTTCTGTGAGCTTAGGCACGTTGTGGGTGTACTCCGTCTCTTGATCGCATTATTAGGCCACATGGACTTTGTGAATTTTTGCGGACAACCAGGTGCCCGACTTGACGCGAAACAGTCGTTATACGGAGATTCCAACATGCACCCAAAAAACTTCTTTTTCCGCATCATGAATATCATTCTGTTTGGATCCCTTGATGCTCATAGCAGGGCTCTTCACCTGATATGGGTTGATCACACCATCGTTCAACGGCGGTGGAAGGATTTCATCAATGGACTAAATAACGAGTGGAATGGATATACAATATTCGTGAGACGTGCTTTTGCTTCATATTGACAATGCAATTGACGTCCATATCTCAGTCTACTGTAATGCTTGCTGTTGATATCAGCTTTCTCGCGATCACATCCGTCCAGACTCAACCGCACGCGATTCTTGTATCATATCTGTCTATCCTCTGTGCTATGGGTTCGTTAGTGGTCTCACTAGTCCTGGCCGCACAAGTCAACGACGGCCGGCGAAGCTCTGCTGAAAGCGCGGTAAGCTTCTCTTTTGTTTATTTAACCTTTGTTCTTCATGACCGCTAGGCTTCGTTCATGGTGGGCATGTCGTATTCTATGCTTGGCATCGAAAGCCTTGCCCTCATGCTTACTCTGCCGTATGCTCTTCTGCTTTGGGGGTGCGTTTCAACTGGTTACACATCATAGGATGGATGGCGGCTCATTCCTTGACAGAATGACGTTCTTTGCTGTGGCGTTGCTCATGGTGATTGTCCGTACTTCTGGTGTTGTCACTGTCTCGATTGTATCCCCCATGTGGGTTGCTGTCGTCATAGTGGCGGCGTGGCCGATATTGGCTGCCAATGGTTTTCACATGTCACGCCTGTTTTCCTGGGTCTTCCGACGCAGGACATTCACTCTGCCCCGCTGAGAGTGGGGTTTATGTAAAAAAAAAACAGTGGTGGCTGTTTGGAAGCAAAATCGTCATGAGCAGTGAGTGCGAATATTTCGGCGGGTTGAGTTCTCACTAGTCTGCGAGTCCAGTGTCTGGAACCATACTTGCCTGTTGGAATATGCAGGCGGGAAGTGGATAATTATCTTCGATTGGAATTACACGGCTATCAGCGTGATGGTTTGCGTCAATAAGGATTTGTAATAGTGGCGTCGCTGGGCTTCATAAGATATCGTAGTTGGATGGAGATCACGGAACAATCTCCAGGGCATTTTTATTTCACGTACAACAGGAAATGACACCGCGCTCGATCGAATCGTCACCTGCACCAGCTGAGGTGTCGTTTGTCTCCACTGCTTCCCAAGGTACATTGTGCTGGTTGTTATCGGGGTGCCTTTCTCTTGCGCCGGAGGGATGAAAGAGAAGGTGGGATTGTCAAGGATATCGTCAGTGCGTGTCGTACAACCAAGATAAGGCATGAATAGAGAGAGCTAATGAAAAGCAACTCTACGATCTCTTTGAAACGCAACACCGCCACCTCCAAGTATTTCCTTACGTTTCAATCGTAACAAACCCGAGAGATCTCAGACACTGCCAAAAGGAATATCGACGATTCTGGGAGAACATTAATGTCAATCAATCGAACTAAGTCAAGGTACGAACCTGGGAGTGAAGCTTTGACTCGGAATTCGAACGATTATGGAAGGTGTTCAAAACGGAGTGCCGCCAACTGCAATGATCCCTTGAACTGAACACTCGATAAAAATACAGGTGATGACGCTGCGACATCGGTGAACGCCCTATATCAGGAGTTGCATAAAGAGCATTATGCAAGGTTTGATTTCAAAAGTACCACGTTGGGTCCGGTTGGGAGAGTGAAGTCTTAAAGTGCGAGTCCTTTTTTGAAAGGCAGCAATGTCAACCAGAAGGAGCTCAATAACAACACTTCTGGCTGGGAACCCATACAAGAGATGATGCTATGACTCCGATGAACATCCAGCTATGGTTATCTATCGCGTCAGGAAATTCAGCAACGCACCCATGCAGTGCCAGTTCGAGAGCGCGTGCAACACGGATTGCTCTATCGATGTCCTTGGTGAACACCGATGCGGCAAGTCCGTATCGTTAACTCGTTCAACCACCTGCGGTATTGTAAGCCTTCCCTGCAAGGTATGAGCCTCTGAGTCAACTCAAGAGTAGCAGTGACACGAGAGTACACACCGTTAGCAAGGCATCCAGAGCAGCGAACTCCGCAATATGATCCTCCATCAAAATGGCGAGCTTCAACCTTTTCACGCTGAGCTCCGGGAATTTTAAGTCCCTATGAAGTCTTGTAGGCTTTCTTGGCTGCCTTCGCAGCAATGTCCTTATCACCTTTTGTCCCGGCTGCGATGGAAGTAACCCCCTTGTCTGTCGCTGCAAGAATAAGGTCTGGGCCATTTGCGATCAAAGAATTTGTACCAGGATTGACAAACACTGTATGGATGAGACCAACATTAAAGTGTACGAGGAATACACTCACTCGATTGTGCCAATATTGCCTTACTGCGTTGCGCAAAGAGGGGGTCAAATGAGGAATCTAGCCTGATGCCTGCCAGTGGATATAATCCAATAACCATGTCGTGATTGCTTGCAGCAAAGCCCTCATCTCCCTTTGAGACACAGCACGCAGTGCATTCGTTTTTGAAGGCTAAACGACTCCTGAATAGATATCTATGTGCAAGTCGGCTGAGATCCGAATGCACTCACCAGTAAAGCATTCGAGGCAACACGTCTTCACACCCTTATTCATCATGCGCACCTTTGACCATGAGCCAGGATCAACTTGGTCAGCATTTGCATATCTTTCTTTTTTTACTGTGATCTAGTTCTGGTCAACATTTCTGGCGATCCTCGATGATATAAAGAACTACCAGGTCACTGTCCAGGGTGCTGAACTCGACTCCCATGAACGTTGGACAACCCCGGCGAGGCAGGCGTCAAATTCATACCCGAAAGGACGAGGCTTCAGGACATTCACATTCTCGCCACATCATTGTCTAGCGGGGGCTTTCTTTTACTTGCGCAAAATGAAACGCTGCACGATTGGAAATAGCAAAACAAGGAAGCCGCAACAGTCCGAGTTCTTGAGCGTCCTTGACCAAACCTGTCTAATTCTGTCTAATTTTGGTCTGACAGTATCCCACGGATTCTGACGATGCTCATTGCTCCAGTTCCTACTACGCCATCAGTGATCACGACGATGAAACAATCAAAGGCCAAATATCCAATAGGAGGCTGAAGACAAGTAGGAATCAGTTACAGCTCATGGTACCGTTGTTCCCTCAACACCTTACATTCGTAGAACTCGACATGCGGCTGCCTTTCCGGACGGACGAAGCCAGATATCATTAGAAGAAAGACAACGATAGAAGAGGTCTACTACTATGTACTCACTTCAAATGACTTTGAGAGAAGGGCCACACCACTAACACGCCAAATGATTCTGCGTTGCCAGTGACATCGCACCTCACCCCATCACCTGTGCACAACCAGCAATTTCTTCAAGTCTCGATACATGACTTCATCATGATGTGACAATACTTACTCTGTGTCAACTACGACAGGAACAGATATCATCCCTCCATCAAATTTCGGCGATCCAAACATGCACTGCTATAGGAATGGTCGCTTACCCAACACAAATGTCATTATTTGTATGTCCCCCAAGTTCACTGCTCCCTCACATTCCATCCTCTAACAGTATGACCCTAGTCTCAGACGACAACCCTGGTTGGTGGCTATCCATCAATTCATATCGCGTTACCAGCTATTTTGTAGATTCATGGAGAGCAGTTAGATGCTGGCGTTGCAACATTGCAAGACAATGTGCAACGCGATGCAAGAAACAAAGATGTGCGATGTAATCGAAACGTGTTTTGCGTTATTGCTGCAGGTCCCATCGTTTCACTGGGGCCCAAACGTTCAGGCCTCAGGCATCTTCGCATCTCTCCCAAAAGCCTTTTAAGCCGCATAAATAACACCAGCATGAATTACAGAATAGCGATTATACACTCCTCCGCACTTGAAAGCTCCCCGGCCATGAAGCTCTTAGCACTCTTTTTCGTCGTTGCCTCTGCCTGTACAGTGTTGGCTGCACCCACAGTAGTGAGTCTATACTAGCATAATACGATTTATTATTCGGTACTGAGCTATCATTGGTACAGCCAATGGGCAATGGTATGGAAGCAAGGAGTCCGTTGGGGAATTCTGGTGTGGTATGTGATCAGCAATGGTCGTCGTTCGTGTGCATTCATTTACCCAACACAAAGCCTCGGGGTGTTGATTGGAAACGGCTCGAAACTCCAGATGGGCACATCTCCACGCCCAAATCAGGACCATCTTACGACCAGTGATGAACGGACCGGACCCTCTACACATCCACCTAGTTCATTGGTTTTTCTTGTATTCGGTTCGTGAGTTCGACCACCATGTTGCTCGTGTCCCACTCACTTATCACCCTTTCTGCCATAGGTTCCTTACAGTCCATCTTAAAATCTCGGTTTCGCTTTGCAGTAATTTTGATCGATCTTGGCATTCGCGTCGTCTATAGAAAAGGGCGGGCTGGTTGTGGTGGGTTACTATGGAGTAATCTGTGTACTCTTAGGCAGTGGGAGACAGGGACGGACGCTCTTGTGCTGCAGTTGTACAAGAAGTCGACGTATTGAGCTGGCGATTGCACAATGCCGGTCTATAGATAGATTGCAACTGACACAGAAGATGCAAAGTCACGTCAGCTCCATGTACCATTCTACTTGCACAGACCATCCTTTCCTCTCCTCATATGTACGTTACTTGAGCCCAGAAAGCCTTGCCGCAGCTATGCAATTCTCTGGATCTTGATAGATTCGATGTGGTCTGTTGATGGTAAAGTTGCGCGCCAGGTTGTTGTGCCTGGTTGATAATTCGGGGAGATTGGACTGTAGACGTGTTACGGAAGCATTTCATAATATTCTGTGAAGAGGCGCATGAAGTCATTAAGAAAGAAGATTCCACTTGAACGGCAGATCGTATTTGTTCACATAGGTGTCTAGTTTGAGACTCGTGTAAGTACTTTTGTACCTTTGTAAAATCACAGCCTAGCACCGGGGTCCCGCAGATCGGAAGCCCACGGTATCATCCGTTGTTGACAATCATCATTTCAAGTTGTGGAAAGCGCCAGGCCCACAATGCCAAGTTCTGGCCGACTGAGTCTCAGTTCGCGGACTGGAACGGTAACACTCGTCCAGGAACTGTCGTTGATAGAGGCAAGGAGTCACTGCAAAGTACGGCCTCCACGACTTGCGGGCGAGTATGTTTTATATCTGATGGGGGCCTTCTGCGAGTTGTACCAGTACGCACTGCACTTCTATGTGAGTTTCTTGTATTCGTCATTTGGTTCTACCACAGAGTTACAGTTCACACTGCTTTCGAGCTCTATATGTTCTCCGTGACTTGGCAAGTTGGCATTCGAAGGTACTCTAGAACTGAATGATTGGAGCATCGTGACCTCCGACGCTTGGGAGTCGGAGTCGTGTCGTAGCTCCGACGCTTTGCCGACTCCGCTGGCAAAATTGTTCGTGTCCATACACACTCACATCTCTAGGACTCTTGGGCTACGTACTCCATCGACACCCGACTGATGCACCGGGCTCTGCACATTTTCGAAATCCTTCTGGAGATCTTCGCGCACGTCAATAAAATCCAGGACTGGCAATTGTCGCATCGCGAGTATGTATTCACGCGGAAAAGTGTTGCAGCACTTGCAAGGACATGCAAAACATTCTACGAGCCCGCAATGAATGAACTTTGGGCTGAGATGAATGGGTTAACACCACTGTTAGGATGTGTAACGAGGCTATATCCAATGATATATTGTAGTGGTAAAGAGGTCAGTGTACTCTGTTCCAATTTCCTTTCCTCGTTCAAGTTAGCTCACCAAACATCGAAAAACAGTACCTCTGGTTTAATCCCCCAGACTTTCGAGGCATTGAACCATTATCGGAGAATGAAGGTCGTCAATTCTTGCGTCACGCCGCCCGTGTGCGTTCATTGCACCTCATGATGAAAGACTACTATTTTCACCTTTTCTCGGTCCTCAAGCGCACAGTGCCATGCATGTTCCCGAGACTGCTGTCGTTATCGAATCCACATCCGAAAATATACTCGGATATATTCCTATCCCCGACGCTGCGTCGTTGTGAACTATGTGTCACTTATCCGGATTTGAAAGTTATTGCGACCCGTTGTGCTACATTGGAGCGCATATACATCGATACCCCTTTGGAGAGCAGATACGTCGATGAGAAGATAGCAGAGGAACTGTCCCTGCTGTCTGACTGTCTCTGCTTGTGCAAGCGGATTGCAACTCTTTCTTGTCCATCCCTCGATTTTGCTGCATGGGAGCATCTCTCCAACCTCCCTACCATTCTCAGAGTCACAATTCGTGGGGCAAAGATAGATCCTCCCCCATTGGACCTCAGCGATAATATCAGATTCGGGCATTTTCTCAATCTCACAGCTCTTTCTTTTTCTGTAAACACAGATACATACGCCACGGCACTCATGCAACACTCAGAATTCCCATCGCTGAAAAAGTTCGAGATGCGTGTCGATCGTTTTTCTTGGGCAGAGGTTGAACGGCTCGTTCGCGTGCTGTCCCAGCGCAAAGCATGCCAGACCCTTGAACATATTGAGATTCGCTGCAGCCGCAGTTCAGGAGTCCACAATCCGCCGGGCAGCTCATTGACAATCACACACTTCCGTTGTTTCACACAGCTTCGAAGTCTGCGGCTCGACATTCCTCTTTGCTGCATCCACCTTGACAATGTCATTCTTTTGGAAGCCATGTCAAGTTGGCCGCATCTCCGCGTTCTGTCATTAAAAGACAATCGTCAGACTCGCGGTACCATTACATTCCGCGGATTGTTCGCAGCGCTCCGTCAATGCCCCCACTTACTTAGGCTCGATTTATGGATAGACGCAGTAAATATCATTTCCATATACATCCCTACAAGAATGGGATGTGGAGTCCGCTCAGGTAATGGAGGTTGAAGCTGTCGCTCGTATTATCTTCTCTATGCTCCCTTGCGTACACACACTCTACTACAAAGCCATGGCAATGGACAGCAGACCCCCGTACGCGTGGCCCGATGTTGAAAGGCATCTCGACCATCTCAAATCTTCTGCGGTCCCTTAATATCGCAGGTGCAGGGATCTGGGCTCAAGGTATACGCATCCCTATGACGTTGCTATCAATACTTAAAATATGAAAGGTGGAGACGAGCAAGGGAGCTCTGTGATGACCGTTCCTTAACTGCTTAGTAGATGCTGCTTTACAAAATCCACGAATGCCCCTCAACTCTGTATTGTCTCGTTTTCTAAGCATGTGTCAGTTCTTTAGGAATTTTATTGTTCACCTTCCATGTTTAATCTTCGTAAACGAGTGATTGATGGTATATGAAAGAGGAGAAAACTCCGAGTCAGTGGCCACCTTCAATTGAAGGACCTGGTATGATGTAACTTGGCTCTTCAGCGTCAAGGCTTCTTCAGGCATGGATGTGCGTCAATGATAATGATATCGATGGAGCACAGGTGCGGGTTTCATTTGCGTTCCAAGTTGAACAGATCATTTACGCTGGTCTCCACGACGAAGGCGTTCTTGACACCGCGAAGTGGCGTCGGTGTTTGCGTGTGTATTCAGTGAAACGCTGAGAAAAGGATGACATAATTGGTTGCGCTCAAGCGACAACCTAAATTTTGGGACCAGTGTGGCTGCTGGAGGACAAACTGCTGTCCACTATATATTAGACACTACTGGGCCCCAAAAACCTCATGGCCCGTCGACGAAGATCCGGAACGCACCGTTTAGCATCGTAATTCATGCCATCGTGACAATCGTTGCCATATACGAAATCAGAACCCTGGCATACTTACTAACGTGCGCACAATAGGTGTTACAGCGCAGCGCCGACAACAAGATACCGTGATCCAGCGCCAGCTGCGCTGCACGCAACGAACCCCAAAATAAACCACCTTGCAAGTGGCGCCCACTGCCCATAAGCGGAGGTCTCGGTCTTTGGTCTGTTGCACAATTTGCGGTCACGTCGCCCACAGGTATTGCCATGTCCTGATGGCAGGTATCTCGTTGATCTGAAACTTTCTCGAAACCACTGATTCAGTGCTGCCCGAACGGAATTCTGGCTGCGGAGCTGCGTAGATCGATCATGTACCGTTTGCCGCTTGTCGAGTTCTAGTTGAAACCTTCATGTCCGATAGAGCATTTTGACGTAAATGTTCAGGGCCACCTACAGCCTGGGGGGTGATCACACCGACTTGAGGATAGGAGTCCAGCCTGAGCTGTGGTGTGCCTTGCACACTAGGACACGGGAAAAATTTCATCACAGAATTTCCATGCAAGGACAGTTAGGCGTCAATCCAGGGACCAGTATCCTGGGCCTGATAGAAGTTGGACATGCTTCACACTAGACGTAAATTACTTCATCCTCTTCCATCATATATGTGTTCTGCTGACTATGACAGTCGGAAGACGAACTCATCCGAGATGACCTGCCCGGAGCCCTCAAATATCATCTTAGGAAGGGTCTTGAAGTTTGACCAGAGCTGGGACCGAGCTGGGACCGAAATTATTTTCAGTGGTCACATAGTAATCGGTAAGCGCTCAGCGCCCATCATTCAAAGTCCCTGAGATAGCAGCCTTCGCTTCGTGCCTTCTAAATGCGTTTTCATCCAATCATGAATCGCATGCCTAGCAGTTAGCGCGTCTCCGTGCTATCATTGCTGTGCGCCGCTCATGTGAATGATATACATGCGTATTTGCAACGGGCACCGGCACCAGACGCTTTAAATCCCCAACATGCACTCATCCCCTTCATTCCTCGCCATGTCTGATACCGTCTCATACGACTCTTTCAAACTCTCCCCGCTGGCAGCGCAGGGTGCTATCGATGAGATACCAAGCATGGACGGACCCAAAATTTCACGTACGAAGCAACACAAGCCCATCCCCGTTCGATGGCGACCCCCTACATCAACTTTCCCGCTTTTTATCTTCCGCATGATGTGCTTTTGCTTGACGTTTCACTGGGATTTGAATTTCATGTGGGAAATCTTCCGAGAGCCTCAGGGTTGGGAAGACTTCCATGTTCAATACCTCTCTCAAATCAATCAATTGAGTACTGTGGTGTGTTGCTAGATTTTATAGCGCTATAATTTTTCCTTATCGATTTTGATAGCAAGGATTGGTCCTTACGACTGTCGCAGTCTTTATCTCCACTCCGCCGCCTGTGAAACAGATCGATTACACAGCTTATGGACCATATACACTCCTATCAGAGTCATTAGTGTTCTCATTGTTCGGTCTGCTATTCCAGCTTTATATCTCTGTGATTGGGCAGAGTTATCAGAAGCGGAAAACTTTCAAGGTGAGCAGCGCATGCGACCCCCGTCAAACTGGTTACTAACCCCCAACAGGCATTGAAGAAAAATCGATGGCTATTTCTATGCCATATCATCATTCTCTCAATTCCGGTCTATGTATTTGGCATATCTCTACTGCTGCTCCTATTCGGTGAGTTTTTGTCCTCTTCCAGACCATATTATGCCTGACCAGCGCACCTTCACCAGCAATCTCTGTGACGGGCTTCCTGTCCTCTTCGACTTCAGCTCAGATTTTCACCGGAGCAACTTTCGCCCTGCTTTGCGTGTGTCTGCTTGCTTCTATCATCCCGTCGCCATTCTATTCGCGACTTTATGTGATGTTGTGGGGGTCGAGAGGGCCGAGAGACTTAGGTGATGACGACGACGACGACGACCACGAGTTGGAGGAGTCTCGTGAGAAGACGGTGGCGGGAGGCACTGCATGAGGTTCATTTCAAGACGTCTTCTCCTTGATGTACCCGTCCTGATGTTCAGTAAGTTTCATCCTGTAAACTATGTTGTATTCGAGAGCGGACCACGAACCCATGGTACAATCATTCTTTGATCTCTTAGCCTCACGTAATGTCTTGGATCATCATCTGAAGATCAAACTGTTACAACAATGACTTGTAGTTGTAAAACGCCCTTACTGGTCAGTCGGCGCAGAAGCGGTGACCGTCGCCTCCTGAACTGAAGTCATCAATGATCAGCCACAAGATTGATAGTGGTCGTGCAAGCACTGCTTGTCATGCAACGTTCAACGGTGATCATCAACCACATTTCTACACGATGATTGAACACTGAATGAGCTAATGATGATGCAGTCCGGGGACCATTCCCAATAAGAATGAAACAAGGTGGGTTCTTTGGGTTCTCTCGACAGTAATCATGACATCAATGCACCCCTGAAAAATTGTTGTTCGGTATCAGAATTTACTTTGCGAGAAGGTCAAATGAGGGCATTACGCGTTCTAGGAAGAACGACCATTATGACAATCACGCGAACGTTATACAACCTACAACGACAAGCAACGTTGATGATGTCGTAAGTATAGCCAACTTGTGTTGAAGGCTCTGCGAGATGCGGAAATCGAAACTGCCAGAATGTTTCAGAACGAGTTGTATCACTGGTTTGGGTTGTTAGCTGATACAGCCTTTAATAAGAAAGATAACAAAGAATGAACTTTCCAGAGGGCACTGCTGGCCACGCCCATTGCGATGACGCAAAACGGAGAGTAACATTGGTCCGACACTCCGACGTGTCATGAAAGCTGGGTATTATGAGACGATAGGTCAGAAATGAGCTCATGTGAGCCTGATATATAACCACATCCTGCTAGGGTGTGTAGGGGGGCTGCTTCGATGGGACTTCTTTCACGCAATGGACTCAAAGAACGTCCGAAGAATGGACGTGTCAGTCAGCGGACCCTAGTTATCACGAACAAATGAGAAATGCGAAGCAAGTGAAGCTGAGAAACCCAGTGCCCTATTGAAACTCGTGTGGAGATCAGGCTGGATACAACAGGCTATGCTCCGAAAAGCACTGCCAAGTGCGAGAACAGAAGATCCGGTGGGTTTGGGCCAGGGAGAATCAAAAATTGGTGATGGATGAATGATGGCAGGCCGGGTACGCCTAATTCAAGTGTTGGGATGGCCGTGGAGAACGTGTGATGAATATTGTAAATGATGGAGCATCAGAGATGGCGGACCACCGGGACCATCGGAGGGACGGTCTAGTAGTCCACAGTGGACCTTCGGCATTCTACCGGCGGCATGAAACTCCACTGCACAGCGCTTTCGGTGAGTTATAACCACTCAAAGAACGGTTTTGTTCACATCCAACACAGTCGCAGTTCCGACAACATCCATAACAATGTCCACGCACTCTTCTCCAGAACCATTTCAACGTACGTACTGCGTCTTTCTTTTTTACTTTTAAAATCTGACATTCGTTGGCAGCCATGACCATGTCGCCATCTTCCAGTGTACACCACTCGCCCCCTGTTGATCTCAGACGTATGACCTCCAATTCGACACTGCTCACCCCCCAAAAAGATTCAACTAGGGAGCATAGACTCTCAACTCATCCTTCTCAGCATTTGAACACGAGGATGGGCTCTCGCTCACCTTCTTCAATTCCTTCATCACCCACATCTGCGTAAGCCACCCCAATTTTATCAAATACTCACACTTACATTTATTGCCATCACAGCCACTCATCATCATCCGCAATTTTTGAGCGCGACATTGAGCCTATGCACCCCCCATCTCCCCCTGCTCATCCGAATCCCCATCGCATTGCACGCGCAAAAGGCAGCGAACAACTCGAGCACAGTGTACCTTCTGTGCTCGATAGCGCTGCTTCCATTCTCGCGGCCTCCTCTCCCATGGAGGAAGATCATATTTCCGTCGTTAGTCCTGCGCGAGATCGAGATCGCCTCACTACCAGCGGTTTTGCCAGCCCAATTGGTAGTTTGAGAAGCAGAAGCCCAAGTCCAACTGGAAGGACAAGCTTGTTACTGAGCATCCCGTCTCAGCAGGGGTCCATCAGCCCCCTAAACATTTCTGCATCAGGTGTGGGAGCGGGCAGTCCGCAGCGGCTGAGCATCCAGACCAGCCCACTCGCTTTTCCCTCAAAGCAGGGTACGAGTAGCAAGGCCTCGGCACCTTCTATCAACACGCCTGCATCTGTGTATTACTCCACCCTCTCATCAGCCGAATCCTCACCTACAACCACGACTCTCGAGCATCCCCCCGTCGCCCTCCCCCCTACCGCCATCTCAACACTCTCACCCTCATCAACTTATGGATCTTCACCTCATTTGCGTCCTATCACCATATCCCACCCTCCGTCCCCGACGCACGGATCTAATAAGCGTCTCTCATTTATGAGTTACGCCGATCTGCTCGCATCAACACCTGCATCGATGGTTCCGCTGTCATCGTTCACTAGCTGCGCGACTCCCGACCCGCCGCCCCATATTCCTGGTGTCGAGGGCTACGCGCTGAACCAACACGATGCTGGGAGTTTAAGTGGCCGTGAGCGGGACAGCATCGCCATGCTCGACGACGTTGGTGGCGAATGGCAGCGCGAGGGTCTCGGACGAGGCCTCGAAGAGAGATTAGAGGCATTGATGATCCTTCCTAACAAAGCATAAATTTCGAGCCGTTGAAGTCAAGCACGGCATACGCATCTCCCCAAATAGTCTCATCCAGCCTTTCCGACATGCGCTGCGAATCCCAACACGAAACTAATGATATTTTACGATTTCACGCTGTATTAATCTGTCCTTCGTTCTATGCATATCTTTCGCTATTCCTACTCCTATTCCCGCCCTCTGATACCGGCTACCTACTTCCTTGTTTCCCATGATGTCGAATGAATAAAATATCTATGTATGATCGTCTTATTTCGTTACTTATGATTTCTTCTTCGCGTTTAGATGCTATGATGAAGGGGATACTTTACTTTCTTGTGTAGATTCCCTTGATGTTTACTTTCGGGTATTGGCATGTTGATGCGATGCGATGTTTCAGATAGTTGCCAATTTAATGGCGTTTAGATGATATGCCTTTGGTGAAGCTATCAGGCGCTCGAATAGTGTTGCAATAAGTCAAGAAACTGTAAAATTTGGTATGTACAACTTGAATGTAGAGCAACGAATGAATCTTAGTAATTGTACATTCGTAGAAAGAAAAGACACCACCGAATGTCCATTTGGAGGAGTAGTCGATGACTACTAGAACACCTGCTAGTACCCTCGTCCGACCTCCAACACCAATGTTCAAGCTTCACCCGTTTTCTGACGTGTCTTAGCATGCGTGGCGTAAGCAACACTGACGCATAAGTTCGACATATGGTGGTAGAATGGTGAGCCCAGAATCGACAGCAAGTGACAAGCGCCAAGGAAAGCAAATGTTATGCTCAGATAAAGTTGGACAGTTTCGGAGTGAGATAAGACCCCCGTGAGCACGATGGCTGAACTGTTTAAGTCACAGCCACGCAGTAAGTACGAGGGGAACTACTCACCTATGAGCAGTAGAACCACCGATATAGTAAAAATGATGACTGGAACTGCCAAACCTAGCAGGTGCCAAAAAATTCTCCAGCGCCTCTCGATTATAATCTGTAATGAGGTCAACTCTAGCCTCCCACCCTCCAATGCGGTGACGTACGTTTGCAGCGTGCCGTTTTTGAAAAAGTATTCCACCGGCGGATACCCTCAGCTGAAATAACAGCCCAAACAACGAAAAGACAAGCGACTCCGCCAAACAGGCGTAAGATGCATTAGATGTATAGTTGACATCTTTCGAAAGTGGTGGATTTGAGGAGATAAAGACCGCCGCAGTGGTCAGCACGAGTCCTTGCTGCGCAAGGGCGTATCAATGCGATCAGTTTCAATGAATGATGCCTAATACCTATCATTGACTTACCACGATGCTCATTTGATTGAGCTGGGTCAGATACTGTTGATGCAGCTCTTCCCAGGTATTTCCTTCTTTCAAGAGGTTGTGTAACCACACCAGATCCCCACGCCAGGTGAATATGAAGCAGCACGTTTTGAAGATACATCGCGAGATAAAGAACTTTGGAACTTCCCACTTGGGCGGAAATTTGTCGAAAAAGCTCATATTTGCAGCAGTGTCAGGCGGCGATGGCTGTGGGTACCCGCTGGTCACTTGAATATTCTGTGTTTGGCTGGACATGAGCAGCGGTAAGGTGGTAATCGACTTATGTCAGTCAGGATCCAGTTCGAGGTTATATAGGCGGCGGAAAGGGTTTAAGCTGCCTCGTGTAGACTGCACCTGTGACCCTCATGGCGCAATGCCACCTTATTTCAGTCTTACAGCACAGAAGATTCGAATGCACGTGTAACTTACCTCTGCAAATGAGCGCCAACAGTTTTAGGAGGAGCATGTAACTGTATGACTGCACGGCTCGACGATTCTGCCCTAAGCCTCTCTGAAAGAACAGACGACTTTTCAGAGGCCCGGGAGAAACTATGCTTAAAATTTGAATTACTTGGTGAACTTGAAATTTTTTTCGGGAACCTCATAAGTACGTGCATATTCGTAATTGATACGCACCGTCCAAGCAAGGCTTGATTCTCAGCCCTGAGCGCTATAGAAGAAGTCAAAGTGTGATCGCCTGTCGTCCATTGAGGAAATTGCTGAAGCGCTCGCGAAGCCTAGATGCGCGGCGGATTGTCACTGTATCAGCTCCAATGTCCTGGAAAAAGACGGGAGTCACACGCAAAACCGAACCGAGAACGTGAAACCGGTTGAGATTATGATGAATAGCCTAACACGAGTAAAGGGGATGGAAGAAATATACAGCGGAAGGGCATACTGATGCGCATGTACGTTCGGAGGCTGTAAGAAAATTCCCAAGGACAAGAAATAAGCGCACATGTCGTAAGAAAGGCTGAATGAAGCGATATAACCCTTTCCTCAACGTTTGTCACTGTGAACACCCCACCATGCAGCTGCCCAAAATTTTCGAAATGGAGGCAAAAGGACAATGGACAGGAATTCCAGCAAGGTTAAAGCAGCGACGGTTGTGATTGTGAGAACACGAGTCAGGAGTGACTGTGACATGGACCCGGTGATCACAATGCCTGAAAACGGTGGGTCTGTCGGTGGTATATTCAAGTGGGCAGCCAAAATCGCACCTGCTAAGAGCCAAACTAAAGAAGCATTGAAGAGAAGAGCTGGAAGAGCCAAATTGAAGAGGTGACAAAAGACCATCCAACGTTTCCCTTTGAGTTCCTACGTCTCAGGGTTCATTTACTGGGAATTTGTATTTTCACGGGGGGTTACTTACATCCAATGTTTCCGTGGTTTGATATCGTGGTCCCAAGTAGGCGGAAACAAACAGTTGCAGGAATAGCCCGAATAATGCGAAGACGAGCGACTCAGACAGACATGCGTATGGAATATCCGCGGCATAGTTCAGGATAGGCAACGGGGCTGGGGTCGAGGTGAAGACAGCTGCCGTTGCGAGCAACAGTCCTTGCTGGGAAGTCATTTAGAATTTAGTAAACTCAATGACTGTGTAGTACTTACTGCGGTGCTTATGCGGTTAAGAAAGTCAAAATACTCGGCATGATAGTCTTTCCAGCCCTTCGAACCGTCTTTGCTGATTTTCTTCCAGAAATTTTCAAGGTTCGAGTCTGCAACGAAAATATAGCAAAGGATAATGAAGCAGTGCCTTAGTATTGGCCACGATGGCGGCTGCCATCGAGGTGGCATACTATCCTCGCATGGGGGTTCGTCGGGTTGTTGTGATTCAGAACTTTGTATGAGAGTTGAGCTCTCGCTGAATGCAATTTCTCTAGACATTTGTAGGGAGGAAAAGCAAAGTCAGTCAAAGGTCTGCAGTCAAGATTGGCTGCGCGTTGTCGGCGAGCCCGTAAGATAGTATCGAAGCTGCATCATATATACATACATCAGCATGCCCCCAGCACGTGCACTAAAATGGCAAGTGTACATTGATTGTGCACAAAAGCTCTTCATTTGGAATTGGGATCTTACCCATCATTGAGGAGAAAAAAAATAGTTGCAGAGATGAAGCTTGTCCACGAAACATGACGAGATAGCTACGTCTCACTGACGACTTATGTCGACAGGTCACTCTGCAAAATAATCTGTTAAACATTGTGCTGAAATGGGACCGGCACTCACAGTGACTTGCATAGCAAAACACGCCGCACGCAGCGTGAGGCAAGGCTGTGTAACGTTATAAACAGCGGCAGCCTCAACAGGATTGGATCAATTCACCCTGAAAGCCCAAGACGTGAGACTATTGTATTTCTACGGAGTGCAGGAAGACAAAGTCGAATTGGGTTCAGGAGCAAGCTTCGCGTAGTAATTAGGAGCTGCCGATATTGGTAAATGTGGTGAGATAACGCAAATTGTCCACATGATGGATGACGTATCCAATGTGCTAGGGACGTTGGTCCAACCAATTACGATGTCACTGACGAGTCAGGACTCGGAACCTGCAGGGAATCTTGCAGCCGCCGGTTCAAAACAAGTTTCAGAGCTCATTTCGAAGCTGAATAAACAAGGGGTTCCTGCAGGGATGATTTATCGCGGATGGAAGCCGAGTGGAAGTAATGGGGATAACGGGGGCGTACCTTGACTTGATATCCGTGCGGTAGGGACAAACAACCCCGTCTCAGCTGGCGCCCAACAATTCGATCATACAATGGTTTTCTGTTGAAGTCAGCACACGAAATAATACAAGTGCCTAGGGGGTTGTTCTATGCGAGTACTGTCAGGGTATGAATGAAAACGCGCATGCGCCAAAATGTATACAGCTACAACATCTCTAACATCCCAACGTCCATCATGTCAGCAACGGAAGCCATGTCCTTGGCCTCTGCGTTGGTCCGATGCGATTTTCTTATACTTCCCACCCGGATGGTGCGTGTCTACCGGAGGAGGGGCAATATCAGTCAGAGGGCTGCGGTCGAATTTAGCTGTGCTTAAAGAACCATTGGGAGCGATGAAAACCTGTCTACCGGGCGATTTGAGAAATCCTGGAGACGCGTTTGCATCGGCTGATAACAGTTCTGATCTAGTCCCTCATCGAGATAAGCGGGGAGGGAAAACTATCAGTACAAAATCTGGCGTCAGTGCAGACAATTGTTGATATGAACCACGGAAAGCTTGAAAATGAGTACAGTGCATAGCGTACCTGATATGTAACACCATCGATATTGAAGGTGTGAAGACATGAGCGCTTAGCGATCGTTCCGCGTCCTCTTTATCTCGTGGCGAAGCAAGGCGCGTTACAAATGTTCAAAGATGAAGAGATATTTGCTCGCAATTTGATTTTGATGATACCCAACGCATGTTCTTTCGAACATGTCCAGCATGAAGGTTTGACAAGGCCATCAGACTGAACAGATGCCAGCATGACAGTGATATGAAACGGATGCCGTGATAGTGTGTGTGCCGGCGATAACCGTGGAAGGGAAGAAAACCAGCGCTACCAACCACACATAAGATCCACAACGTGACCATATCCAAATTCCCAAAAGTGCGCTTCTTGTCGACTTCAAAGGCTAGTGATCGTCTATCTCTTCATAAAGGCCAACCCAACATGTCGGGAGTGCTTGATGAAGCAAGAAACCCGTATCTTAATGTGCTGAGAGGGCGGCTGGTACCAGTGCAGACGGTCCGAGGGCACCAGGATCGAGCGGAAGCAGTGGTGTTATTCAAAGACAGCTGGCGAATCATAACTGCTTTCGGCGACTGCAACCTGCGAATGTGGGACGTGCAGAAAGGAGCATGGGTAGGAGGGCCATTCGAGGGACACGGTAAATCGGTACTATCAATCGCCTTGTCCCCAGACGAGAGGCGAATTGCGAGCGGTGGAATTGATAAAACTATCATCATCTGGGACGTCGAGAGCAAGCAGCCAATATTCGATCCACTGGTGGAGCATACAGACACTGTGAACTCAGTGTGCTTCTCCCCAAACGGCAATAGACTCGCCAGCGGTTCGAAAGATACAACAATTGTTTTATGGGATGCAGAGACTGGCGCTGTCCTCACAACCCTCCACGGTCATCATCATTCGGTGTTGAGTGTCGCTTTCAGCCTAGATGGGCTAAAATTAGCGTCCGGATCGCGGGATCACACCATCCGGGTTTGGCGCACTGACACTGATAAACTCGAATGTCTTCTCCAGATCAATGCTCATCAAGATTGGGTTCAAAGTGTCGTGTGGTCGCATGATCACCTGCAACTTCTTTCTGCCTCAAATGACGGGACAGTCAAATTTTGGAACTCGTCTAACGGACAGCAGATCGGTCAACCTTGCACCGGTCACAGTGGTTGGATTTGCTCGCTTGCCATCTCTTCCGATGACTCCTTCATTGTCACTGCCTCAAATGACAAGACTGTGCGACTGTGGAGCACAAAGACGCGCCAGCAGATAGGGCAGGCTATTGGTCACCCCGCAGAGGTTTACTGTGTCGCAATTTCTTACATAGGAGAACTGCTCATTAGTGGGGGCAGGGATGGGGCAGCTAGGCTTTGGTTTATTAGGCCCATACTCGAGAAACACAATGCAGAGCAGAAGATGAAGAAGGATGAAGAAGATGCACGGCGATCACAATCTCTTCCCAGTGACACACAGGTGTGCTCTACCCACTATTGTTCCGTCTGAAAAGTTTTATTCGCTCACACTATTCAGCGTGGTAACCCGCAACTGCCAGTGCGCAGCTATAGTTCAGGCAATCATCCCTTAGAAACTCATCAAGCCCCTAGCAGTGACGACAAACGCCCATCATTTGACGTGAGCCGTTTGCCTTTGATGCGTTTACATAACGCGGAATATGAGCTTGCTTCATGCAGATCTTCACTGAAAACTCGCCGGGCCGCGCTGCATGCATTGCCGGTGACCTGGATACTGCTGAATACCTGCTGAGCCAAGAAATTGACGCAGATCACAACCATGACTCGTATGCTAATCGCTCAGTTGTGAGGGCGCGAAATTCTGAGTGGGACAATGCGATTGAGGACGCGAAAATGGTCAGACGTTCTGCCTATCACAACGCCGTTGAATACAATTGACTCTGCTCGGGGACATAGTCCATTGCTATCCAGCCCTCGTTATTAGGCTATATTTCCAAGGGCATCGCCCTCTTCGGCGACCAGCAACTCTTGGATGCGATGGAAGCCTTTGATCTTGCTTCCACCTTCGCTAATCGCGATCCGATTACTATCGATGTTTTACTATTGATCAAGGTGACTTCGTTACCGTTTGAATAGTCAGACTTTTATGATAACATTTCTATTGTCCTTCTTTCAGGCTGTCGCACTTTTCAATGCCGGTCGCCATGATGAGGCAATACGGCGAGTCCAAGACCTCGCCACCGTTTATCAAAACACAGATGCCATTCTGTGTAGTATTGTCAATGTGAGTGCTATTTCAGACCTCACGAGTTTTCTCACCCTTGAGCACGCTTCGTCAGACATATCTGCGCGTGCTTCTTGCAATCACTGCTTTCGACGATGGGCAGTACATCGAAGCCGCTGATCATTTCGGCGATAGCATTCTCAGGCTAACCTCTCACAGAATATTTGTGGAACCGAGATTAACGATATTCACGCTAGTGCGTTAGTCCGAAGCGAATAACAATTTTCCACTGATGTATGATGTGCACTGAACAGCTCTTCGGCTGGGACTTTCACTCCTTATGGAAAACTGTCAATCAAAGACGGTGCGAAGCCTTCTTTCGCGCAGATCTAGTGGTCGAAGCGGTCGAAGCTCATCAATACATGATGTGCACGATCAACGAGGTTGTACAGATAAATTGCCACGAATGGTCCACTGGTGAGTGCATTCGGGTCTTAGCCGACTTGCACATAGATACTCATTCTGGCATCGTTTAGCCTTCAAGACAGAATGCACCACGCGCTGTGTCTCAAAGGGGAACGAGGCCTTGGCTGCGAGCAATCACGACATGGCTATTGAACTGTATTCGGCAGGGATCAGGCTAGATTGCTCATGCGACTCCCTCTTTGTGCAACGCAGTAAGGCGATGTTTCAACGACACCTCTATGCAGAGGCCCTTCAGGACGCAAAAATGGTGAGGATGATATGTTTCTGGTTTTGGAGTACTTGAGTTGATACCGCCGACGCATAGGTCATTGAACTCAACCCTTCGTCATATGTTGGGTACGAACTGAAGCATGCAGCGCTTCACGCGACACAGCGCTATGATGAAGCAATTGAGGCCTTCAAAATCATGATTATTAATTTGAAATATGCTCGCGACGCGCAGACACGCGGTATGCCCTGAATCACTCATGTGTCAACGTGAAAATAACTCATTCTTTAGAGTTGTGTCGGCAGTATGTCAGTCCATATGAAGTCGGAGACACTATTCAAGAGGCCGCTCGCGCTTACCTGGAGAATGCACCAATTCGTGTACTCAACACCTCCACTGGGCGTTTATGCAATCAACAGGCCCAGATAAACGCTTTCGTGGAAAGCACAGAGCACAAGGAGCTTTTGTCTTCATTGATCAAGCATTCGCACCTCCAATCGCATCGCATAAAAGAAGCGGTTGTGAAGTACTTCTGTTGGGTCATGTTATCGCATAGGTGGGAAAGCAATGAGCCGCTCCTGCGTGACATCGAGGATCAGAGCGTGTATGATTTAGATTCAGTCGGGACCATGGTGAAATTACAGACATTCTGCAAGATTTCTCGGGATGCTGGGTATCGCTGGGCGTGGAGCGATACGTGCTGCATCGACCAGAATAATCATGTCGAGCTCCAACGATCGGTCAACTCCATGTTCGTCTGGTATCGCCATTCAGCACTCACGATCGTCTATTTGTTGGATGTCTCGCCTTCAGCAAAATCGGGCGCATTGGCAAATAGCGTGTGGAATACGCGAGGATGGACTGTTCAGGAGTTCCTGGCTCCTAAGGTCGTTCTCTTCTACCAAAAAGATTGGACCCTATATCTGGACGACCGCTCGTCCAACCACAAGGACTCTGTCACTATCATGCAGGAGTTGGAGAATTCGACAGGCATAGATGCGCAGGCCCTCGTCGCATTCCGTCCAGGGATGTCAGGTGCACGAGAGAAGCTGCAATGGGCGTCAACGCGTCGCACTATGTTGCAGGAAGATGTCGCATACTCATTGTTTGGCATTTTCGGCGTCCACTTATCTGTGATCTACGGCGAGACGAAAAAAAACGCACTCGGTCGGCTCTTGGAGGCGATCGTGGCACAGTCGGGCGACATCACTGCCCTGGACTGGGTCGGAAAACCATCCGAATTCAACAGCTGTCTCCCAGCTGAAATCACCTCGTACAAATATCCACCATGCACGTTGCCATCTCCGCTGTCCGAAGATCAGCTGCAGACATCAGTCTCCTCGCTGAGAGATGTCGTAGCTGTCGAGTTAGCTTCGACATTGTATACCCGTCTTGACAACCTGAGCTCTCCTCGTTTCGCGACCCGCAGGCTGCAACTTCCTTGCATTGCATTTGTTGTCAAGGAAGTCAGACGAAGGCGTAGTCAAGCCCGGGAGACATGTTTCACTTATGATATCAAAGCAGATGGCCTTCAAGACCTGGCAATCGTCTCGGAAGACAAACTGATTCAGTTCTCTCCGACACGCCCCACTCCACAGGCATTCTTGCTCATCCGTCCATGGAATCGCCATGATGTCGGTCTGCCTGACTTTGCAGATGATGCGAAGAGCATGGTCACTTGCTCCGAGCATATGTCTGACTTAGACGAATCGCTCGGTGGATGTTCTGGAGAAAATGAGCCGGTCAATTCGGAGTCTCACTCGCGAGCGTTGAGACTGATCGTGCGCCTTGGACAGCCTTTTGGCGCGTTTTTACTGGCGCAGCAACGAGGTCCCGGGGAGTTCAAGAGGATTGCTTCAGATCACAACATCATAGCGCAAGTCAAGAACACAGCTGCTGTTCATGACATGATGGACATCAGGACGCTAGATATATTGTAGTTGCATGTATTTTGAAGACAGGGAACTCTGATGTGTTTTCATTCGTACCTTGCCAGTATCTTCATGCACAAATACCGTCGTTGTATCATATCGTGTCGTAGATATCGTAGGCTGACTTACAACAGGCAAACCACCAACGCAATTATATCGTGCGTCAGGTGAGCAGCTTAACAGCTCAACTGCGAAACCGCACCCGGCACCCAAAAATTAAATTGTCCTCTGGCAGCAGATATGTTGCAGTGCTCAGAGTAAATCAGACGATGCCGCACAATTGTCATCGAGACTCGAATGAATCACTTCGCTAAAGTAGACAACAACGTGAGAGAGGTATGTGCAAAAGCAAGAAGACTATGCCGGAGCTCGAGAGTAAGTATTAGGATGATATATATACATCTGGTGGCTCGTTCCCATCGCCCGACAACACCACGAACTTCATGTACACCGGGATGAAGAATCCATCATTAACGACTCGTAAATCTGTACAAAACAGAAGTAATACAACATGGTAAAACTACACGCCAATGTGAATAAAAACCATTCTCTGCTCGAGCGGCACTTTCGTCTTCACAGCGTGAGTAGCACGGTTGAGTGCCCAGGCTGCCTTCGTATAGTCCATAATACCACCATCCTCCAAACTCTTGAATATATTCTCGTAGAAAGCTTCAACAATATGTTTTGCGACAGCGTCATCGACCTCCCATAGCGTGCCAACGACGCTCTTGAAACCGGAAAACTGCAGTCCAGCTGCGAGGTGGATGACTTCGTCGGGTGTCTCCTTATCGCCGACGGCAGTATGACACGCCGACAAGAATGCGAATTCAGCGTGCGGAATGTCTTCCTCCATAATATCAAGCAGCGTCAAAGATTCATCTCTCATGACGAAATGAGAATTGTAAGGCTGGTCGTGGTCCTGCTTGCCATGACAGGCAAGGTGAACCCAGGTGTTCTGTTCTAAAGCTTTGAGTGCACCTGCTCGTGTAGCTGCTTCGCCGGAAATAGAAGTATGATTAGCTATCGCGGGGACGAGCTTCCGGACAAGTTCGAGCTCGCTGTCCACAGCTAAGAGCGCCTTGCCTTTCCCGCCACCCGGTTGACCTTGCCCGACCGCCACGAAAGACGGAGTCGCACGTGTCTTCATCAACTGTCTAGATCTGATCAGAGCCGAAAGAGTCGGCGTGTAAGAGCAGATGTAGAGATCTTCCAGGCATGGCTCCTTCCCAGAGCGATCTGCCTTCGTTCGAAAGGGGTGAGCTGCGTGGAGAGGAATGGATGTGAATGTTGCAGTTGGACACAGCCAGATTCGAGACCCGTGCTTTAATTCGAGGGCATGCTCGAGTACGTCAACGATGGGTAGCATGATGTCATCCCATACTGCCCGCAAGTGTACTATTAGGTCCGCCCTCGATTCCGTTGGGCCCATCTTACATGCTTGCGGTATCGCCCTGGCGAAGCGATCCTTGAGATTCTCCAGATCTGCGAGAACAATAGACGGTAAGGGAACATGATAGGGGTCCCCTGATGTCGGTACAATGATGGCGCTGCATAAGTATTTACTCGCAACGAGGATGATAACTGGGCCCTGACGTGCTGCCGCTTGCAAATCTGTGTACGATGGTGGGAGCAGGAATCGTGAGAAACCTTGACAATTATGTATCTCAGCTACCACAGCGTCCCATTGTTCCGTAAGTTTCCTGTACTCTATTGCTGCCCGATCAGCAGCAGCTCTGTCTATGCTGCCGGCGGAACCCTGAGCGTCCGAAAGACATTTCCTGAGCTCCGAGAGCTTGTTGGCTAGGATTGGATTTGTGGACTCGAGGTCTTCGAGTGGAGTCCTCAGGCGAGAGGCCAATGACCACTGTTGGCCACGACCCTGCTCTGCGAGTTCGACTGCGTGTTTGGGATTATCATGGCGTATGGCGCACGATGCTGCATCTACTGGCAGTGACTGCGCACCGTGAAAAGCAGTTGCAGCCTCGCGCCGCGAGATGATTGATGATCGTGTCATCACATGATTGTCGAAAAGCTCCAAGCAAATTTGGTATGCTTCGAGGGCAGAGTCATGTTGATGAATCTCAGCTGCATCAACCCACCGCAAAGTGGTCGAAATGCGATGTGGAAAGCCTTGAGTAGGGTGTCGCGATGCCAGTCTGAAGTTCTCCACAGCGAGTGACAAATCAGCAGAGTTATATTGCGCCCGGTAACGAACCAAATAGGCTTCTTTCAGCCATCTGTAACTGAACCATCTGTCTGGGTGCAGTGAAGGCAGAGCCTCCAATGACTCTTGGCAGAGTCGAATGGCCTCCTCGACATCTTCATTCTCCAGAGTTTGCGTAAAACGAGATCTGAGCGCGGAGCTCAAATTGAACAGAGTTATATGGAAATTTGGATGGCCATGCCCCTGCAACCGAAGCGCTTCGCGATGCAGATCGATAGCCTCGTTAAAATCCTCGCTGACATGCAATTTTCCATATTTGGCGTTGAGTGAGATCGCGAGGTTGGAAAGTGTGGTGCCGCGACGTGGATGCCCCAGTGGGCGCAACGCCAGTGCTTCGCGGCGGAGGCTGATAGCTCGCTTGATGTCATCAATGTTACCGTATTTGGTAAAACGGGTGAAGAGAGCGCCCCCTAAGTTGTTCAATGAAATATCACGAGATTCGTGCCCAACAGGGCGGTACAGGAGTAGTGCTTCTTCGCACAAAGAGATAGACTCATTGAGGTCATGTGATTTGCCTTGGTGATCGAAGCGGTAGTCGAGTGAGACGGCCAACTCATTCAAATAGTCACCACGCTGAAGGTGTCCCTCGGAGAGCAGAGAAATGGCTTCACGACCAAGTTGTATGCTCTCATCGATATCGTCAATGCTACCCCGTCGTAGAAAGCGTGTGGATAATGACTGAGAAAGGATTTTGAGAGCGCTTGGACGGTTTTGATGGCCCAGAGGACAGAGCTCGAGTACGACTCGTTGAAAGTGGATGCCTTCATCAGATGAGTCTACTGAAAGACTGTGGACCACAAAATCGATACCACGGTCTACGCCTGTGCTACGAAGGTAGGTACCCTCTGGACAGAGGGGCAGTAGCTTGCTGCACAGCTGCGCAGATTCGCGAATGTAGACAGCAGTAGGCTCCCTACTGTGGTGCCAGTGCAATGCTATAATGAGTTGGCAGAGAGATAATGCATGATCTGGGTGGCCCTGAGGACGCAAGGTAAGGGCGTCGCGGAAGAGAGAAGTCGTAGAGTTAATGTCTTGAAGATCGTTGAGAATATACCCTCGAAGACGTGCGTAAGCTAGGTTGGTGAGAGCCGCTGCATGGCCAGGATGGCCGACCGGGCAGCGGTCTAGAACCAACTGAAAACGTTCTACAGCTTTGTTCAGGTAAGAGACCCTCTTGCGTCTCATGTATCTGGCGAGTCGTACATGACCCGCATCTGTTTCCCGAGCGATCTCGCAGTCTATGAGGGACTACAGTTGGTGTTCCGTCAGCAAAAACGAACAGCCGAGGTCAGTGTGACCCACATCAAAAAGTGTGCCGTTCTGATTGTCGCAAGCATGTACAACAGCGGCCTTCAGCGTGAGGGAAGGGTGGACATCATGAACAGGCGGGAAGGACAGTTCTATCGGATGTGAGTAGATGTGCAGGAATAAGAAGTAGGTTAGTCACCGAATGGCTCATCACCACGATCGAGTAGCTCATCCCACGACGTTTGAAATTTGCCGATGATTTCTCCATTGCCTAGCATTCGGTCAACCTCATAGGACGCCCTGATCTCCACTGATACTGCAGGTGACGCGTGTGATGACCTGTACACCGATAATCAGTTCTCGAATCGCGAAAGTTTCCACGGACTTTACGCGGTCAGAGTATCTCCCCATGTCACAGATTTGTCAGATAATAAGACTCCGATGGATGATTTCCAGTGTGTCCTCGAGTCGAGATCAATGGATATGTAAATGCCTGCAGGAACGCGCGAGGAGGGGACATCGATATTGTTTCCACTGATGACTGAAGTCAGAGCGTGAGTATCACAAAACAGATACAAAGGTGATACAGAGTGACCGACCTTCAAGTCTGATAGATTGGCTTTCTACGCTACCGGGCATGATGTTACGATGAAGCAATGATGAGGATCGAGAATGGGCTGAGTAGTAGGTGGATTAGTGGTAGGACTCAAGACGGGGATAGAGATGATGAGGACTGTGGATGGAATTCGGCTGAGAGGGAGAGGAGAAGAGGTTGAGGGTTCAAGTCATGCTGCACGTGTTGACGGTCGTCGAAGGGCTGTTCAGCAGGATACACGCTGGTATATGGTTACAACAAGCGCGCTGAGAAAGATGGCCAGCTAAGTCTAGTGTTACCAGGAGAGCTTGACATTCCGCAGGTTGAAAAATTGAAATGTAGCATCGAGTACTGTAGAACATCGCGGCAATTACCGCAACAGTCGAAGCGGTGGCGCAGCAATAAGACACGCCTTTTTTGCTACATCAAGCATTGCTGACATGTCGCATTGGGCTAAACAAAGAGACATTAATCGGTCAGCAGCATTTGAAGTCGGCAAGGTCACAAGAGGCGTACTTTGGGGATATGGTTATGTCGTGGATCTTTTGTGTGGTGAGTAGCACCGTGACTACCAGGGTTTTCTGCCCAATTGAACCCGACACACGCAATATTACTAGTAAATATGTAGCACATGTAGCAGGTGGGCGCTTGGTTCTTTTTGGCTCTTTGGACAGACTGCAACTTGCAGTACGTACACAGTGACCGTGACTCACGGCGTGGAGCTCATTTCGCTTCGCACCGTTCGAAAGAGCATGCGTCTGGTACTACCATGCAGTTGCACCACGGTCAATTTGGCGACCAGATATATCATCTACGCAGCTCGTCTTTCATTATCCTTTATACTCCGCTTTTCCACAGTATCGATAAGGCCTATGAATTGCAGACCAAGCACTAATTTTGAAATTCTTAAGCAGTTGATATTTATATATCCGGGCTGAGGTGAATCTTGTTCCTTTCTTCATCCTGGTCACCCATGCAAATATAGCTTTATCTTTAATTCTAATGAAAATAAAATGTTGACGCATTCAAAAACAGATGACTGCCTCCTGGGAGTCCTATGCTACCAATTGGACTGAGAGCCTGAGTGGTATGATAGTCTCGACACAAACACGTATGTCACTAGTACCTCCACGTGGCGGCCGCTCGGTGAATCAGTGGCGATCCATCTCGCCTTCGCTGCGGAATGCAAAGTCTAAGGCTCTGATTTTCAATAGCCTCAAGGCCCCTGAAATTACGTCTTGAAAAGGTAGGTGAATGGTAGAAAATTGGAGGACAAGCCGCCTTCCATTTCGCTCGCCACCAAGAGATTACTCTGCTATTCTTCAGCTCCTGCGCACGCCACATGTATCTTTTCTACTAACAGTAGAAGATTCACCAACTCAGATGTTTCATTGGTAAACGCTATATTATCTGTCCTACAGGCGGTCTGCTTACCCGGTACATCATGACTCCCTTGCCTTTCTTGCATGAGCGGCCCAATTTCGATGCCGCGTTCTAGCTCCGGGCACCTCACAACTACAACCGCACTTTCTCGTTCAAGTCGAAGATAACATGTACCTTGTTGGCCTGCTAGTGTCACAGTCAGTCTTTCGATCGTGCCTCCGTTGTGATCCACGCCGAAAGCGGCTTCCAAGAGGGTATAAAGACCTGTCCAAGCAACACTATCGCTAGGACTCTGCCGCAACTCATCGATAGTTATGAAGCGTGTTGTCCATGTCGTGTCTTCAGCAATGCTAATGATAACCTCCACCGTCGTTGCCTTTGACATCCAGTCGAACAAGAATGTAAGTTTTTGGTACTGTCATGTAGCTTATACCGACGTCCTGATGTTGCGCAGTTGGCTGTGTGAGCACAGTGCTTGCTTTCATCGAATCTCATTGAGAATCATCGCATTGACAGATACTGGGGTCAAAATTCTTACGGAGCGTCCCACCCCGACTACACAGATCACTGGCAGCAGCGCCTTGCACACTACTGCAAGGTCCGTCACACTGTTGCAGATAGGCTCGAGTTGATATTTTGCATCGATTCAGGATAGCGTTATTGATACAATTCACATCGCATTTCTCACCGAGTTCTATGGGGAGGGCGACCTTCCCTCTATAAACCTCAGTAATGTATGCGTTTTGGTTTCTTCTCATGCTTGAATCCCTCATTCATGTGCACATCAAGACTTGTAACAGTGGAAACAGCGCAGAGTTTCCGGGAACGCAGCTCCTCGATTGTTCTTTCATTGCATCAGACATTGAAGAATGCCAAGTTGCTGGCAAGATCATTACTCTCTCGATCGGCGGCGCCACTGGTGGCAGCGTTGTGTTCCAGAATGACATTAAAGCTACTGAATATGCACAGGTTATTTGGGACACTTTCCTAGGCGGAACGAGCTCCACTCGCCCTTTTGGAACTGCGGTGCTTGATGGGTAAGAGCTTCCCCATGCCAGTCTATCTGAATGCGGATTGATCGAGTAATAGCATTGATATGGACATCGAGGGTGGTTCCCAGACGGGATATGCACCGTTTTTGAAGGCACTTCGTAAGTTGATGGATGCCAGTGAGAAGAAGTACGTCGGATCTGATCCACCCTCCTCAACAAACTAACACCATTATAGATTCTATTTAACCGCAGGTGTTTATTCTGCAATAACCAGAATTGTATTTGTTATTAATGATTGCTAGCCCCTCAATGTGTCTTCCCAGACGCGAACTTGGGTGATACGCTGAATGCCGTAGGATTCGATGCTGTCTATGTTCAATTTTGTGAGTGAGCGATCCTGTCGTGAGGAATTTCTGTTATGCAGACAGACAATAATTGGTGTGGCGTTCAAAACTACGACAATCCTGATGTAAGTCAAATCGTGTTCATATGCATCTACTTCTGATCCACAATTGTCAGGCGTGGAACTTCGGCACTTGGTACGCATTGGTTCGCAAACTTCAGTCCCGTATGTAAATATGCGGACAGGGACAATTGGGCGAAGACCGTTTCTCCTAATCGCGATGTAAAGGTATACCTCGGCGCTCCGGCTTCATCGTCAGCCGGATCTGGCTATGTTGATGCTGGGAGGCTGTCAACAATAATCCTAGAGACTATGACCCAATACTCTTCATTTGGTGGCGTCATGCTTTGGGACGCTTCACAGGCATATGGTTTGTGTTTTAGGACTCCTAATCAAGTTTGATGGATAATTTATCTCCTCCAGCGAACAACCGCTACGACGAGTCTGTTAAGAATGCGTTGGTTCAAAGTGAAACGGTCGTTGGTCCGACACCAACGAGCACAACTGCAACGGAGACCTTTACCACTACGTCTCCGACTGCCTCACCTACCTCTTGCACTGGGATGAAATACTGGAAGAAGAGCTCAATTGTACGTGACTAAGTTATCTCCTTTCCTCAACTGCTTATAGCTTCATATAGTACGTCAAGGGCAACCGAGTGAAATATAGGTATGTTGGGTAGCCAACACTTCGCATTCAAATATGACGTTGGTCTCTAGAGGACATCTGTGGATGGCGAAATGGTGGACACGAGATGACGTTCCTGGAGGTGAAATTATCAGTGATTTTCTGGCCTAATGCTGCTTACGCCACTACTCAGGTGATGCAGATGTTTGGGTGGATGAAGGTTCTTGCTAGGATGCAGCGGTACCGCGTCGTGCCTGATAAGAGTTTGCCTATTATGGACCCTTTGCGAAGGTTGGTGAGTGGATGATGATCAGTCCCTTGCCCCTTGGACATTCCGTGATCTAGAAACCTGTTTTTTGCAAGCGGGACACATATTTTCGGAGCTTGGACATACTACTAGTATATGTCAATGATGTTTTCTGTAAACTTTCTTTATATTACTCTTCAATTTCAAATATTCAGAGCCCTCACAACAAAGACTACCCAAGGAGAACAAATAACAATAATAATGATAAATAATGGGCAGGTACACGCTCACGCCGGTTCCGTTTCATTGCCACGTTGCTTAAAACTTGAATGCCGATGATGTTCTCTCTTGTTCTCTACCTACATAGTCAGACGCTTTTTCTGAATTAATAGTGTGTGAAAATACCAGAAAGTACGCAGTTCACCTTCAATGTGGGATTTATTCTACTGTCTACAACGTTACCGCGAAATTCGAATCGCAAAGAAAGTGAAGGGTCGTATATCAATTATAGAGTCAGGGGGTGTTTATGTATGCAGGTACTATGAAGAGCCCTGGCTGATCAGGCCGCAATAGTCATGACGCCTTCGGAAAGCTGCGCCCCTACGGTACCGCTGCGGCCAATTGACGAGGACGGACTGGACGGGTACGGACCTGTATGGACCGTACAGCTCCATACAGTTGCCTTCGCTTCGTCTCGAGGCTATAATTTAAATTAGACTCGCGTCATCGACTATTTATATCAAGTAAATTTTTCGCAGATCAATGTGCTTGAAGTAAATTACCTGAAACTAGATCAAACATCGGGCCCGAAGGATATTAGTAACAGAATATTAAAGAATATTGAGCATGTCTTCAAGGTTGCTTGGAGACACTGCGAAATCCAAACATTTAATCCGAGAGCAACGATCAGGCAAATAAGGTGTACCATGGATTGCTGATCATGACGGAGATCGATAAATGGGGACTTTGGAGCGCACCGAAATTGTGACGCATAATATTCATAATGCATTGAGGGACATAACGTACGTGATACATAATAGCAGACATTAATCATTAGTACATGGTCTCATGACTCGATGGTATACAACTTATCAAAGTTAACTGCGTTTCATAGACCCCCACAGCCCGGTCAGGCTACCCGTGATTCCCGAGCGCTGCACCGGCTTTAAGCTATGAGTACTACTCGCACTGAACCGCGAGGGAGGTGGTGGTCCGCTCTTTTCCCCACTCGTGCTCGAAGGACACAACAGCCGCGTATTCTTCAGTGCCTTCCTCCGCATGAACGGGAAGTGCTCCGTCAAGTGCGTTGTCAGCTGACGGCCGAGTAAATTGCGCAGCTTCGGGGGCTTATTGACGGGATGTACAGATGAATTTCGTTGGGGCTTCTCTGATTCGTGTACGCTGAGGATGCTGACTGTGGTTGCCCCTTTGATGGCGCGTGACTTTTTGCTTTGCAAATCACTCATATCCCTGCCATATACGGCGAGGGACTTGTCAACATCGGCTTCGTCATCGGCTTGGGACAGATTCAGTGAGGAAGTGGAGCTGATGATGCTCTGGGGTGGTGTTTGGCCGAATATCCGGTAGAGGTCTTTGGATCGTTTTGTTTTGCGCAGCGTTAGTCCGCGTGATTTGACTGAGTAGTACGACGAAAATTGGCAAATTGCTTCTAGCTCTGCTTCAGAGAGTGGGTTCCCTGTATGGATATCAGATTTGGAAAGCATGGAGTGGCAGGAAGCACACCTGAGTCGCTGGACTCGTCCGATTCGATATATACAGACCATCCATCCACACTAAATCCGCCGTTAGCCGTCTCGTCGGACCTCGTGATATTGTATACATCGTTCCTCCGCAAGCCAGCCTTTTCAGCCTTCTGGAGGACCTTCTCTACTACTTCAATACTGTCTGCGCAGTCTGCGACATCGATGACATAAGACTGCCCTTCTTCTGGTAGAATGAATTTGACCAGTTTACAACGGAGGTTATGCAGGGATGGCGTGGTGATGCGAGTAGAAGGGGAGGACTTCAACGACGCTGCGGGGTGCGTCCGCGATCTTGATGACGATCCCGAGCGTCGCAAGTTAGACGACCCCGAGCGTCGCAAGTTAGGCGACTCAATGACAGGTAAAAGTGCAGCACTATTCTGACCATGCGGCGTAGGCTCTCGCGTGAGCGCATGCGGACACGGACTCGTTCCAGTCGACGAAGGCCTTGGAGCAAGGTTTACTTCTGTGGGCATAGGCACAAAGGGAGAAGGGACGCTAATGGACGATATATTTCTGGTGTGATCAGGGTTGGCAGCGCATGGCGCTGATATGGATGCAAATGGGCTTGGTGACCGCATCGGAGGTTTCATGTTGGGTGGTGGCGATCGCGGATTTGCAGGGAGGCCAAAGGAAGGGGATGGTGATCGCAGATTTGCAGGGAGGCCGAAAGAAGGGAATGAAGAACGATTGGACTCGGGGTTGGTGGATGGAATGGTTAGCATGCTGGAGACTGCGGATATGGGTACTGGTGTGAGGGGTGAGTTGGCGTGGTCGACTACGTCTTCTTGGCTGGGTGTGCGTATAAGTGGGATGATAAGTTGTTGAAGAGTGCGTGGTTTCGCGCGTGGAGTTGGAGAATCGGGGGGAAGAGGTGGAAATGATGGCCGTGGGGTTGTGTCACTGTTTGGTGTGGTACACTGCGAGGATGAATCGGATTGGGGGAATGGAAAGATGGCGGTTGCATTGCGTATGGTGTCGGCGGATTGGGGTTCTTGGATGATATGAAGGAGATCGAGGAGTCTTGCGCCCGGTGACGGCACCCATATTGGAGAAGGCCTATTGCGCTTGTAAGCGCGAGGCGTTGTTGGAGAGTCCTTGGGACTTGTTGAGGAGTCCCAGGGATTTGTTGAGGAGTCCCAGGGACTCGTTGGCACGTCCATTGAGGGGAAGCGTGAATGCGAGTAATACGTGCCGTTCGTTATGAGGGTCTTCCGTGTCGATTTGACGGGACGTATTCCAGTGTGCACGATGGCAGACACCGAATGACTCGCATCCGGTTGTGAACATCTGTTCCTCAGAATCCTCACGCCATTAACAATCCGCAGCCTGTCTCCAATGCTGTCAATGCCCATCTCTTTAAGCATGTCCTGGTCTAGCTCCAACAAAATGTCACCACGAATATCATGATATCTAAATGTCTCGACAAGTGTGCCACACTTGATATCTGTGAGCCATTGCGCGATGTGACCGTCATTCCACGTCCGCAAGAAATCCAAGAATGCGGTGCCGGAAGGCGAGTCGAGTATGCTGCGGCTGCAGCTGGCGATACCGGACATGTGTATTATAGGGTATATAGCGGTAGGGGGCGGTTGAGGTGGTGAAGTTGGACAATGTCAAAGCTGCAAACCTACTGAATGCGCTAATGACTGCCGCCAGTGATAGCTAGTGCCATTTTCAGGCGGGAAGCAGTCAGTAAAGCAGAACGGAAATAGTACACACTGCATTGACGCTATTATATGGTTGCGATAAGAATGAAATGTGAAATGACGCCAATTCAACGTGGGTTGTGTTTTGCTGGCAAGCTGTTGTTGCTAATCATAGATGGGATGTTGAGAGCATTCTCGGTCGACAGACAAATTCTACTCGTTAAGTCCTTGCCTACTGGATATTGCGGGAGCCTGTACTATAGGGGATATGTCAATATCTAATGTAAGGATGACCGGACGAGACAACAAGCTTTTGCTGGTAATACATCCGAAATGGACAGCTTCGACAAAAAAGGCACTTGTTTTGGCTTATTTGGCCACCAGACCCTCAATCACCCTCGCGACAACAGCATGAATAAATGTAGGGTACTACTAAATATCGACGTGTTGTTCACTGCACACAGTGTTTCGACGCGCTGCGGCCTGCCTGTGCTTTCCTGTGCCAGCCCTATCTTATTGCACTAGGTATGTGAGCAATCAACATGTATATACACGAGTCTGACGTGGGTGTACTACTAGTGGATTGCAATTTGGAACATGAAAGTGTTGAACATCTAGTCACCAGCCTAGTGACCCCATGGATGTTATGTGACTCTCTACATGCAGCGCCTGCGCTTGCGATAACAATCTGACTGCTACTAGGCATCTACACATGAACTAGTGAATATGATGCGGAGGAGTTCGACCATGCCTTTACTAGTAAGTAAGTCACTACGACAACTTTATTTACATATCAAAGTACTGGGTATGCATCTTTCTCTCTATCTGGGCTCGCAAGATCAAATTGATACGCGTATGGCCCTGTGTGGCCTCAAAATTGCTCACCCAGTCCAGCGGGACTCCACGAACTCCTTGTGATCAAGGACAAAGGATCCACAAGTCATACATTTTTATGAACCGCCGATGGCACGGTGTGTTTCGTCGCCTCGTATCTACATTTTCTGAGACGACAGTCATGACTTGGGTTTCGCATTCCACAGGGCATATTCTGACCAGGGGAAACTATCGAACACGAATGTTTCTATCTGTGTTCTCTTGCCTTCTGCAGCCTCTCAGGGCCTCTCCCTGTGCCCGAACGCGGTACGTTCGGCCCATTGTAGTAATTCTAATGTCTCGCGACACCATACCATGCACCCATAGAAGCCTCTCTCCTCCCCCCACCGTAAAACAATGATATTCAGTGGCACTCGAGCCCCCCGTTCACTCCTGTTCCCCCCCTGCCGACCGTCGTATCTGCAGCCCGTGCCTCACTTCCAAGAGCGTCCTATCTATCCTATCTATTCACAGCTGCTTGTTTAACTCCTACCATTTCCACCTTTCGCGATTGTCTATCTAAGAGTACATACTCGCATTGGCCTCATTCTATTTGCAATTTCACGAGACCAATAATTGGGAAACATAGCCCGGACAGTCAATAGTACCCGCGCGGGCCTTCTAAGGGGTCTCCCATACTCATACTTCGCTGATAGCCCTACCACCCTAGCGCCTCCTAGCAAACCCGGACAGTACGGAATCCAACTGAGTCTAGCAGTGGTCGGGGGTCTGACAAGTAAATGAGGCTGGAGCGGCTTTGAAACCATCATTTCGGTACCGCATTATCAAAAAAACATATTGCTGTTGTTCCTTGTCATAAATCTGGTGAGATCTGTAGTCTCGATCACAAACGTGTCCCAGAAACAACAAGTTACGGCCAGTTGCAGCTCCGGCGGAACAATTAATGTAGAGATCTTTCAGTAAAATCTAAGTACTCGAGAGAGATGGATAGAGATGGTTGTCAAACTTTGCACAAATTCTCTGACATCGGTTTTTCTCAATTTTTGTTGAAGATGACGCCTGGCAGAGCCAGCGCCCGCCTTGTAGAGGATGGTGAAATTCTGGAAATTTCTAAGGCATTCTCACCATTGATGACTCTCACCTTCGAATGCGCATCAGCCTTCCCAACTTCCTTGATACCATCAACCAGGGCAGCAAATCGTACGGCCTCGAAGTTATTGGGCGCTGCCACGTATTCTCCAGCATTGGGGAAGCTTCTGTACTCAGCCCCATCCTGCCATATCTCACAAATCGAACGAAAGCAGCACACGCCGTGATGTCTGAGTTCGCGCCGGTGCAGAATATAGTCCCCGAGAGATGCTTCGTCATGCTGGAGGCTTAGTAGTAAGCGGTGATATATCATATAACAATATGACTAACACTGTCTTGGTGTGGAGGTTACTAACTTACTGTAAGCCAAGGTAGGAATTGGCTGCGCATCTTTTGCGCCTCTCGCCCATCACCCGCCAACAATTTCTCCCAACGCCCAAGGGCGCGACCGGTCGGACCTAAGCTCTACGTGAGTATCGCACCCCCGTAGTCTCCTCACGATGAAATAATAGGCTGCACGAGTGCCATGAATTTCCGCCAGACGTCGAGACAATGTCACAAAGGCCTTTGCTCGATGCTGCGTATCGGGCACTCGATATTGTATAATCTTTTGGAGTGGCATTGCCGCATTTTGGAGCGTCATACGAAAATACAGTCAATCAACTTCAGTTACACAAGTACACGCAGGTTGTTAAATCATTACTTGATACTCACATAGTGTCCCCGGTCGACCCGATGCAGATAGTACGAGCGGCCTCTGCTGCCCCAGGAGACGTTGCCAGAGCGGTACCGTTGTTCAACGACATCAAATATCGAGATTAACTACCGCAGATATACTCTGCCTCGTAGCATATAGCTCAGTATGCAGGCCTTCCTAGCGTTGTGATAATTTGTTAGTTTATACGTACAAGCACGCTTGATCGTTTAAAAGCGGCATAACAAGAGCGTATGCATGCCTCTGCAGATAACACACGACATTAGTTAATATCAATGTGATTCAGATGACTATCTTGACCGAGGAAAAAATTATGCCACATACTCCATGTGTCCGTGGTGCCACCCCATGCGCTCAATGTATTCTTCCTCCGAGAGCATGTTGATCACCTAAAAGTCGGATCAGCTGATATTCCAGCGACAAAACAGGGAGTTCTGACCTTCATTATATTAGAAATTAAATTATAAGAGTGAATATTAATCATTGTGAAAGATGAGAAACCACCTCCTGAATCAAGGGTTGAGTATTCATTGTCTTGCGCGCCATAATTCGAACAATGGTGGCCCAAGTCACATATGTACCGGTCTTCCTCGACAATTTTGATCAGGCGCGAACTCGCAGCCTTTACCTCAGCCATTAAAGTCTGAAGGGGATGTATCAAAATCACAGGTCGAAAAAAGGAGACATACTCGGATTTAAATTGTATTGATGGCGTCTTTGTTGATAGCCTTTACCAGGAGCGCAAGTACAAAAGCCTGCAATAGAACCTTCTTGCCGATCCCCGTCCCGCCAATCAGCTCCTCCAGTGGTGTCGTATTTTATTTCAGGAGCACTGCTATGTGGTCGTGAGTTCGTTTGTCGAGTGATTCCAGAGCCAGATGAGCTTGCGACCAGAATGCTTCGTCCGGTAGTACTTAGAGAAGGGGTACGTACGGCTTCTATCTGCCGAGAAGAAGTAAGTGATGGAAAGGTGAAGAACATAGTATTAGGAACACCGGATAAACCTGAAAGCATCCTTTACATCTTGTGGGTGTACTCCAAACCACGAATTTCCTTCGGCTTGGGGATCTTGCTCGCTTCACTCTCGTCCGATGCAGATATGCTGCGAAGGACGCGCTTGGAAAATTGCGTGGCATAGAAGGTCTAGAAGACGTCCTCGATGTACCTGAAAAGCACTACCTAAACACACCAATGAGAAATCAACACGGGTCAATAGTAAAGGTGCTTACTACGTGGTTCAAAGCAGCTTCAAGGTCACACTCAGCCGCCTCGTTAAATTGCGAATTAATCCATCCGCGTGCTTGACACGCACTGTGGTGGCTTTGTCGTTGACGAACCCGTTACAGCATTGCGATTGACGAACTCTCTGCACGTCTTATCGAGTGAATTGACGAAGCCGGCCTCTCCGTAGAAACAGTTCCCAAGTACTTGTGACAGACCTCAAGTAGCATGTCGATGTACGCTTTGGGATCCAATGAATCCTCTCCCTCTGATATTTCACCCAAGAGTATCACAACAGCCGCTAGACCCGCCTGCATGGCGTGTTCCTCATATTGCTTTCTCAAAGGCTCCAGGTTGTATGTGTGCAACAACAACGTATGCATCGACTGCAGGTCTGCTTCTTTGTCAAAATTGAGCAACCTTCGGAAGGTCTCCTGGATGAAGTCGGGGTTTGATTGGATCAGCATATGCTCGCGCTTTCTCAAGAGCTTCTTCCACGTGCTAAGGTTCACGTATCAGTCAGCACGGTCCTGCTTCTCCTTCAGGCACTGTCCTGCATCTTTCAGATAGTCGAGTAAGTTGTTGGCCAGGACCTGGCTTGCGATACATCTCTGTTGCATCCAAGAATGGCATCTCTAGATATTGTGACCAAGGGAAATGAATGGATTAACCACAATTTTCACAAGAGCTTGATCAATTGTCTCGCCGTCTCGTTGTCGTTCGATCAATGAGAGAATAGCGCTAAAAAGATTCGTATGCTTGCTCTGCAGGTGGAAAAGGAGAATATTTTTCCACGCAGAAGCGCAGGCTGTCAGAGGCAAAGCATGTCAATGACAGTACGTGTGAAGAGCATGGGGACGCACAGTGTATACCAAAAGTCTTCTTTCCAACCTGGGTTTTCTCGTCGATGGCAGTTGGCGTTGAGGGGCTAGAATTTGGACTGATTTTTTTGACACCTGTCGTGTATCTGTCGGATTCTGTCCCATGCACCTGTGTCAATATTGTAGGAGGGCTTCATCTTGGAGGGTATCAGATTGCTGCCAACCGTAGGCGTTTGGTTGAATTGGTTGATTACTCGTGAGATTGGGAAAAATAGGTAACGTCCATTCATGACTCAAGCTTGGAGCTTGACGTGAGTGCAAAAATATGGGCCCATCGGAGTATGATTGCATCACCAACCCCATAGGCCTAGACCTTTCACTTAGAAAATAGTTGGCGCTTTATTTATTTAACCAAGGAAAACCTCGTGGCTGCCAATGACACTCACTAGTACTCCGGTTCCGAGTCCTTTCACTATCATATGATATTCATCTGGTCGCCTTGACTCTGAAATAGTTGAATACCACGGTATAGAGACTCATCAAATTATCATAGGCAATGTTGGTCATAATAAGGTCCAGTCCCTGCTCGACTAAAGCCCGAATGTGTTGTGTGCATCATGATCATGAGTGTTCCGAAGATGTTGTTAAAGTCGAGTACGTAGTCACGTGCAAAGAGACTCTTCTATTTTTATGTAATAAATAAATAATTTGCTACTTCTGTCTATAACCACAGCTCCAGCCCCTCGCACCCATTCTCTTCCAACCCACAAAGAAAAGCACAAACACTGACAGGCATCGCAAGCCCAAGGTTATTAATATTGAGCAAGACTATAAACAGTCCGACGAATGATAAATCTTGCAAAGCGAATCTGTATTACGTTGAAACGAGTTCGGTCATATGAGCCCGCTGAGCAATCGCATGACTCAAGAAAGATGCGGCTTCGGGCATCTTCTACGACGAAGACTTCGATGACGGCATTGGACGGGACAAGAAAACTCAACGTCTTCTTGCTCGACTTGGCGTCGAAATCACGTGTATGAGATGTTCTTGAACTCCATGTCTGGGTGGGGGCAACTACACAAGATTGTGCGATCTCACTTGAGAGACTCAGAGAGAGTACTTGTGACTTGTCGGAGCCAAGTACGAGAGACACTCCCCAACCTGATTTAGGCAAGTTAGCGCGCGCAGAAGCAAAGCAAAATAACGTTCGTAATCGTCAGCATTGCCGAGTCAACGAAGAATCTTCTTTTGTATCGGAGCGTTCGATCGTACGTCTCTGTACCGCTGCCGTTCTCCTTGTGCGCTTGTCCAAATGATAGTGGCGTTGCAAGGCGCTGCTGGTGGCTCACAACATAGGCACATGTCATGTGGACGTTTATACTGCGTGTCAATACTGTGGCAAAGAATCAGTTGCGAAACCTCGAGAGCTATCAGCACTTCCAATGATATTCGAGACGTCACGCTGTCGTGATGAATTCGCGCTGCAGCTTCCCACTTACTAATGGTGCCGGTGAAGCTTTGCTGGCCGCCATGTGTGAATGAAATCTTTGTGCGCATCCGTAGCTGTCCAACGTTCGTTGTGTGAGTCACCATGAGCACTGCACGTCGCTTATGCTCGAGAAGCTGGAGTTTATCGTGACCATGTCGAAGATGGCGAACTGAAATTCAGTCAAATAACATCACACGCCAAAAACACTCTACCGCCACCCACCATGTTGCCTTGCTAGGACCAGATTTGTTGGCCAACATCCCACTGACAGCGGCCATGCGTACTAACAGGGTGTAGGCCACGTCGATTAGTCCAAGTAGAAAAGGACTTGGCTGTTGACAATTGAAAATGCGGACCTGGAAGGCCGAAATAGAAAGCATGTGTTCCATCAACGGAAGCCGAGGAACCATATAGTAAGTACTTACTTATTTAAGCACACGAGTTATACTTAAGCGCGGGTAAGTAAGTCTCTGGGCAAGCCGTAAAGTAAGTATAGGCGGAGGCGAGGAACGGGCGTGCCGCTCTCGGTTCTCACAATTCCTGCAGCTTGCGGTGTTTGACGACTAGCGCTACCTTACATCCAACCCGTGTTGAGGCAGCATCAACCACTCTCCCTCACACCGGTGGATTGCCAATTAGTGTAATGGTGGCAGAACGATCTAGTTCTGCTGGCGGCGAAAAGGTGCACTTGGACAACTCTATAAACAACTCTGTTTGGCATGAGTCGACCTTTTTCGATTCGCAACGTGAAGATCGCATGGTCAGTCCAGCCGAACCCGATGACGACCAAACAGCCCAGTGCATTGACCGCGATGGAGCACGACATTCGACAGTCGCTCAATACATGCAGTCCTCCCAAACACCCAGCACATCCACCTTTGAAACGCCCCTCCTCCCTCCAGATTCACCTCAGTTGAGACAGACGCCCACACACTCCTTATCCCACAACACCACCTTGAACTACATATCCTCTCCCTTGAACCCCAATCTCTCCCATTCCAGACCAGGCTCTCCTTCGACCAATCCGCGGTTTCGGTCGCAGTCGCGCCAAAGCATCCAATTCAACCGTGTCGCTTCGGAGGACTCCCAGGTCCTCACTGCATCCAACATAACCTCGCTTCCTGTTGGTCAGCGCGGTTCAATGATACTCTATCGTCTAGCTGCAGAAGACGACCGCGGTGCATTGACACGACCAAGGCCACTTCCTAACCGGGATTCGGTCCTCAGTACCTCAGGAGATTCCATTTTCTCACTTTCATACGACAGCAAGTATCCTTCTGGTACTTGGCATGCACGTGGCGCTCTCGTACCCTATGTCTATGACCCAACCCTTGATGAGCCAGAAGATGATGACCCTCTTGATGATCCTAATGACGACACATTCCACAGCAATAACTTCCCTTACAGAGGTGTGCTCAATGTTGGAGTGCTTCTCCTCCTCATTTTGGCCCTCCTCAGTCTCTTTATCATCTACCCTGTCCTCAGCTATTACCAAGATCGCGCACAGAAAGATGTGATAACAGGAAATGTTCTCGTCAATGGAACCGGTCAGGTCCCGTTTCTGTGCGTACCATCACTTCGCTGTTCTATTTTCTTTCGTGTGATATCAGCCACCTGACTGACGTTTGTGCCTGCCCAGATTCCAAATGGCCCAACTCATCGATCCTGATACGCCCAGTAGTGCTGCTACCCGGACAGGCTTCGACGGTCTCCCCTACGAGCTAGTCTTCTCGGACGAGTTCAACACACCCAATCGTACATTCTGGCCAGGGGATGATCCTTTTTGGGAAGCCGCAAACATCTGGTACTGGAGTACCAACGACCAGGAGTGGTATGACCCCGCTCAGATAACAACAAGAGATGGGTACCTGAGCATCGTCATGGACCAGATCCCCGAGAACGACTTGCCTTACCGGAGTGGTATGCTCCAGAGTTGGAACAAGTTTTGCTTCACGGGCGGTTATATAGAAGTGTCAATCAGTTTACCAGGCCCAAATCAGGAGACACAGGGTTATGTGAGTGGCTGTGGCGTTGAGCAGGCCTATTAAAGGGAGTAGTTTGTAATGCGTGGTACTAATTAATGGTTTGGTTTAGTGGCCGGGTGCATGGACAATGGGTAATCTTGCACGTCCGGGATACGGAGCGACTACAGACGGTGTATGGCCTTACTCGTGAGTTTAATGGTTTAAACGGCGATTCAAGCATTTACTCTGGTTCAGCTATGACTCCTGTGATGTTGGCACTTTTCCGAACCAGACGGAGCCGGATGGTTCCGGACCAGCTGCTGCTCTTCAGTCAAATGCCTCGAAGTCCAAGTACAATTATGAGCTATCATGGCTGTCGGGACAGCGCCTCTCGTAAGTCATACCCGACTTCACAGATGCTTATATGTGCCCCTCCTTACTGGCGCACATACTTACCATTGGACGCACACACCACTGACACTCTACCCAGGTCATGCACCTGCCCAGGAGAAGACCATCCCGGGCCATCCGTGAATGTCGGCCGTGGTGCCCCAGAAATCGATATTCTCGAGGTCGAGCATAACAAGCTTGGCGCAGGGCAGGTCGTCTCGCAGTCCGGCCAGTTCGCGCCCTTCTCGCACGACTACAACTACCTCAATGACACCCAGGATGAGTGGTATATCAACACGCCTGATATCACCAATGCGAATAGTTATCGAGGGAGTCCGGTGTGAGTGCCATTTTCATTGTGTTTTGTGGTTTTGTAGTTTCTTGCTTCCGACAATTTTCACATGGCTATTGTTGCTTTAGAGACTAACACCCCTCTTCTGCCACCAGCCAGCAAGCAGTATCGGCTTTAACACTTCTTTCCGATAATATTTTCCAAGAATCTGGCGCGCAGTTCACGACACTCGGTAAGCAATTTCGGGATCTCCACCTCTTGGTTGTCTGACGTTATGCATAGGCTTCGAGTATTGGTCGGATCCCTCAAATCCCTCAGATGGGTATATCACATGGCAGACCGCCGGCGTCGAGTCCGCGCGTCTTGGTGCTGCAGCCCTCGGGCCCGATCCTTTGCCAGCTGGCACGGGCGTATCGCAGCGACTGATCTCTGTAGAACCAATGGTGTGTACTCATTTTCCTCCGTTTCGTTCCGCCTGACGTATCCAATCTACTAGTCCATCATCCTCAACTTGGGCATATCACGTGTGTTTAGTTTTCTTCCTCGTAGAAATGTCCCCTGACGTCCTTTCTAGCGGATTGGCAGACGATTGATCTAAGCACGATGATCTTCCCTGCTGAGATGCTCGTCGACTACGTTCGTGTGTACCAGCGGAAAGGGCAAACGAATGTTGGGTGCAGCCCCGCAGACTACCCCACGGAGGACTATATCAACCGGCATATGGATTCGTATATGAGTTCGTCGAACTTGCTGACTTTCTGAAGAAGTTACTGATGTATTCCACCGCCAGATCCCAATCTCACGTCGTGGAATTATCCAAGACCAAAAAATGGCTTGGTGGGTTGTCCTTGCGTTTTGGCTAGCGTGGCGGCTCATGTTTCTGCTTTATAGTATTCCGGCGGGTGCTAGGCCGAGCTGTTTCTTGATCCGTCCTCCTGATTCAGCACGACCTAAACTATTCTAACCTTATCTGCTCGTGCAACTATTATACCAGCCAGGGACTATTTCACGGTGTCATCTATCTTATACATTCATCCATTACTTACCACACACTCACTCACGCAACTAAACACTCGCTTGCATAGAATTTTGGAGATGCGAGGTGTTGCACGTCGTCATACATACATCATCTACATTTTTATGGGACGGCTGTTGTCACTGATGCCACGATTGCGCGATGTGGCGGTGGACAGCTACAAGTGACCACCCTCACTAGGGTGAGCTTGTTTAGCCACGCACTTGCAGTGGCGGAGGAATCTCGCATGCTTATCTGGCGAACTAGCGAGGTTCGGAAGTGTCACTCAGGTGCGAATGAACGGAAACGCCCTAACCGCGCTACTCGGGGGGGTGGCGTGCGTGTCAAAAGTAGTATTCCTCAGCAAAGATGATAATCGTATGATACAAGGGTACTTGTTGGATGTAGTGTTGACCAAGACTGCGGCGCCACTTAGAAATACATGCTCGCCTGACTTGTCAGCGCTTCAGCGCTTGATTTCCTTTCTGCTCGTGATTTTCAAATTGACTGCTGACCGCTGATTTCAAAGTAGTTCAGTGATCTCAAAAGTCATCTGCAAATGTATAAACAGCTTGAATTCGGAACGCCGGGGACATCTCGGGTTGGACACTCTGACGGAGAGCTAAAGACCGTAATCGTAATCTGATAAAACACGAGGTGTTCTTGATTGACCTGATCGACACCGATACGGGTGGTGGAGCATGCCGGTATATAGGCCGATTCTCCAATGATTCTGTCGGAAGAGGATCCTCAGGACCCCTCACTTCACGACAAGCGTTTTGATATGGATTGAACCACAGGCACATTGGAAAAGAAGCGGTCGGGTAATGGGACATACTGCCCAGGGCCTGAAAATAGAACGATGGCACCGGAAGAAGTGATTGGGCGCGCAGAGGCACACGGGCAATGACACCGTCACATGGACTGATGATAAGATCAGTGCCTTGGAGTTTTAGTGCCAAGACGCGTGCGTGGTGGTTGTGGGATCCTTTGATTGATCATTATGGGCGCGTGTTCGACAAAATCAAAACAACGGCATGAGAATGATGGTACTGTTCGCTGCGCTGATGGCTAGGCTGAGGAGTGTTACTGCGGTAGAATGCAATGATTAAACACGTCGTTTAGACGATAAAGAGCACGCGGATCATAAAAATGCAAAAAACACATGTATCGGAAGGACTTTGAACAAAAAATGTAACATCAGTCAAATTGAGCTTTTAATACTTACGTAATGACCTCTTTGTAGCAGGTGACAGGAACTGGGAATGGGGGTTGCACATGGCACACCGATAACCTCGACTGCATAAAAGCAACGCCATGACCCAGCCCATACCTCTCGGCTCCGACGTTTTCCTGTCCGCCCTCTCCCACCAGTAACACCGTCCAGGATGGCAGATGATGATCTTGTCGTAGCTACTCAGCATAGCGACCCTGTTTATACCTCGGAGAAAAAGCTCTCTGAGAGCGTAGTCGGTGATTCTCTTGACAACGACTTCGACAGCATCCACGATGGCTTGGAGTTCCCCACTGGGGAGGAGATGCTCACTCTCAGACGTGTATCTGACTCAATTCCATGGAACGCATATCGTGAGTTGTATCTCGCCCAAACCTAGCCCGCTGAAGCCGACATTCATTTCCCAGTCATTGCTGTCGTGGAGCTGGCGGAGCGATTCTCTGTGAGTTCATTTTCTCGTCTGTCATCCCATGAGCGCTCACTTAACATGCTTCTCAGTACTATGGTATGTCACACACCTTGATTGCTATTACATCATGCCAATTTGGAATACGTCGCTTTCAAAGGCTCCAGTGTTGTTTTCGTAAGTAGAACGTTCGTTACTCGCCGATCAATTATTTACACGAATGTCTATGCAGACCAACTACATTCAGCAACCCCTTCCTCCTGGCTCCCGTACGGGTGCAGGTGGTGCACTTGGCCAATCAGGTGCCCTTGGCGCTGGTCAACAAATGTCCACGGGCCTGACTACGTTCTATCAATTCTGGTTCGTCCATCTTCCCATACCACGTCGTCAGCCCCTTGATCACGGTTTCATTTAGGGCTTACATCTGTCCAATTGCCGGCGCCTATATCGCTGACACGTACTGGGGTCGTTACAAGACAATCTGCTGGAGTGTCGTCATTGCCATGTTGGGCCATGTCATAATGATCATCTCTTCAATCCCTGGCATCATCGGCGGCCGTGCATCACTCGGCATTTTTATTCTATCCATGATTGTTACTAGCACCGGCACCGGTGGCTTCAAGTCAAATGTCTCCCCTTTGGTTGCAGAGCAATATCGGATAACAAAATGTTACATTGCTACGACTAGTTCGGGCGAGCGCGTCATTGTTGACCCGGCCATGACCACTACGAGAATCTATATGGTGCGCCGCGTTCAACTCACATTTCAAGCTGCCACTAACACCACTCGCAGTATTTCTACCTTTTTATCAATATTGGCGCTCTCATTGGTCAGATCGGAATGGTTTATGCTGAAAAGGTACGTTTCAAAACACTGACCCTGAATCTTCTGATGCGGTACTCTAGTATGTTGGCTTCTGGCTGGCATTCACATTGCCCACTGTTGTTTTCTGTATCTCCCCTATCGTCCTTTGGTACGGTCGTTCTCGTTATCGCAGATCTCCGCCTCAAGGCTCCGTTCTTCCGGCCTCGCTCCGCATTTGGCGGTATGCCCAACGCGGACGATGGTCGTGGAATCCATACACGACAATCAAAAATCTCACAGCCGATGACTTCTGGGAAAGTGCCAAGCCCTCTAAGCAGGTTGGTGAGAAGCCGAAATGGATGACCTTTGACGACCAGTGGGTTGATGAGGTCCGCCGTGGTTTCAAAGCTTGCGGCGTGTTCGTCTGGTTCCCGCTTTACTGTAAGTTCTCCCTACTCGACCCTCTATCGTTTCTTTTGTAGCTCATTTTGCGCCATACAGGGCTCTGCTACAATCAACTTAACAATAATCTGATTTCACAAGCTGCAACGATGACCACTAACGGCCTACCTAACGACGTTTTGTCCAACCTCGATCCCCTCGCTCTCATCATTTTCATCCCGATATGTGATTTGTTTGTAAGTATCGTCAAGGAACATAATTTCCTTGGTCTCATTATGGCAATCACAGATCTACCCAGCACTCGCACGTGCCGGTATCAAGTTCACTGCTCTGAAGAAAATCACTTGGGGCTTCGGAACGGCAGCTGCATCGATGATCTGGGCCGCCGTTGTGCAGTACTACATTTATAAGACAAACGAATGCGGACACTACGCTGGAACCTGCGTGGACGCAGCCGGGCTCCCAATTGTCTCCCCCCTGAACGTATGGATTCAGAGTGGCTCGTGAGTTCCTTTCCCAAGTTTTCACCCTGTTTGTAAAGAGATGTTAATGGTGCACATATCATAGATATGTGCTGATTGCCTTCTCTGAAATTTTCGCATCGATCACGGGTCTCGAGTATGCATTCACAAAAGCACCGAGGAACATGCGTAGTTTGGTCATGTCTGTGTTCCTGTTCACGAGCGCGGCCTCGGCTGCCATTGGCGAGGCGTTCGTCTGTACGTCCTCGTCGTTTTATCGTCATCTGTGAACGCACACTCACATCCATTTAATTTCACTAGCACTCTCACTGGATCCTCTGCTCGTATGGAACTATGCCATTAGTGCCATCCTTGCAGGTGTTGGTGGCATACTGTTCTGGATCGTCGTTCGTAAGCTCGACAAGGAAGAGGATAATCTCAATAATCTTGCAGATGGGCACTTTGGGAAGGATAAGTGATGTAATGAGTTGATACCTGTGAAGATGTTTATATACCACACCTGGGTGTATTTGGTTTCTGTTTACTTTTCACGCTTTATGATAATTAAATGATATCCTGGTACCGGTTTCGCTTCTGCGATTAGCCTCTGCCTCTCAATCGAGCGTACGAACCCAGAATCTGCAACCGTGTTAATACTGTCATGGGTTAATGTTACTTGAAGATGGGCATCATGCCGGTAGGATAATAGTTGAACTACTTATTGGAAGTTCCGTACAGTAAAACAATACAATATACACATTTGCCGACCGTACCAGCGGTTCATGGTTTACTTCTCAACACCGGAGTTGCTCCCAGTTAACCTATCATAGTGGGCGGTGCCGGGACTGACGACTGGACTCTCCTCATTTCCAGATACAATCAATGCGCTGCGAGAGCCATGCAGTGATACAGTGGGCGTGCTTTGGCTAAGTGGGGTCGCTTCATGATCACCTTGCGGCATTCGCACGGGTAAAGTGCAAAATATGAAGGCAGGCAAGGCCCATATCCATAACATGAGTTCCAGCCCTACTATAGTCCGGAGCCAGACCACGCTAGGTGTTAACACTGCGTGCAACATCGCTTTCGAGGAAATATGTCAGCGACGTGGTATGAAAAAGATGGATCTATGCAGTACTTACCAGCCATGAGGAAAATTATCGACAGGAACAGCGAGACTGACGGCCAAGCGATGAGAAGAAGAATGAGAGTCTGAGACATAGACGAAGCCGTGTTGCTGATAGATCCTGTACCATATCAGGATCTGAGTAAGTAGTGCATATTAGCAGATAGGGACTTGCCTTTCTTGACCATTCCCTGTCGCAGGATTGGTATATTGCTATCACAGCGGTGCCGGTCAGAATGCCACCAAGTGCATGGGAAAATGAGAAGAGTGCAAGGACATATGAAGGTGTGGTGCCATAATCTAGGACTGATGTCATTGGCGGAGGCGTCGTTTAAAAGACAGCAGTCGTGGCCAAAAGTAATCCACACTGAATGATGGCGGTCTAGATGAAGGAGCACGAGCAGGAGAACATGAGTTGGACCTACCGCAACATTACTGTTGTTGATTTATCCTACTAGCTGGCTCATGTGCTTGTCCCATTCTCGGTCGTCGTACTTGGATTTCCAGTGGTGGTCCAAGGACGGTCGGTGAACTGAGATCAGACAAAGAGCTCGAAATAATAACTGAATGAGAGGACCAAAAAGAGGGTGTTGAGATTCTGGGACCTTCCAGTGGGGAGGGAGCGGGAGCGGCACGGTGTTCTCATTGTCAGGCATGGTGGAGGTCGCAGCACATGGGCAGTATCAGTACTAGTACGGGCAAGATTTGTACATATAACTGGAAGAGAAATGAATGTGGCTAATTCCTGCAGGGGATTAAGTAGCCACTAGTGCGCAAATGGGAGAATTTGCGTGACATTTATCGTGTGTAGTTCGGCTCACCATTGCGACAGAACAACGCGCGACCTCAAGCTGCATGTTTTGGAATATACGGCCACAGTCAACTCTTTGCCCTCAGTAATCCTGTCGAGTCTGATATTGTCCGAGCATATTTGGCAAGTTTGTTCGTACCATTCTTTGGTCCAATACGCCATGATCATGCCTGGCAGTGCTACTAACGCTTCTCTTCGTTTTTGGCCCGCCGATTCAGATGCATAGCACCCGTTCCGACTTGAAGCTTTGACAACGTGTATTCGGCGTGCAGCGCACATGAGGTGGGGATAAACAAGCGACAGCCTTCAGCCACCGGGTTGTCCTGGTGGCGGTGGCGCTGGAACAGTTTAGGTAAGAGATCAGCGAGACAAAATGGAAGAGAATATTTGATCAGGCACTGTCAGCATCAAGGCATGCATCATGCATGGCGGCCTCGCTGAATTCGAATCCAACCGTCACGCTGGCGACTGGCTTCCCGAACTCTGAAGCCTGTATACTGGTACCACACGTACCACACCAGCCTTGACGATATGGCGATTTCCTGATCGCTTTCGTGCTTTCAGGCCCCGAATCTCATTATATTCTTGAAAGTAGTCCATGACCAACTGAAGGCATGCAGAAGTACATCTTCTACAGTTGGTTGGTTGTCATTAAATCAGCTTTCACTATACTCACCGCCTCTACCTCTATTGATGATCTGTTTGCGTATCGAATACGACTAATATCAAGACCAAGGGGCCGACCAAAATATTGGCGTTCATATCAGCTACGGACACGTTAAACTGAATCCCTAATCAAGTTCTTGATTCGTCAGTATCAAAGTACGCGCAGCAGGCTGCTGCACCCTGATCACCTCAACAAAAACTTACAAAAACCAGCTCCGGAAGAGGTTCACAACGAAACATATGACCTCTGCGTTCTTGCCAGACGGATTGAGATCGAGGCCATTCGTGCATGTTAATGGTTGTGCTGGAAGCGAACTCGATTGGTCCTGGGCAACTGCAAAGATACGTCACCGTGGCCGGTGAGATCGATCGATCGATATTGTTGGGGGCGAAAGCACATGGCCACCGGGAATTCTGATCCATCTGAACAAGATGGGCGAAGAAGCATAAAAAAGACAATATTGTAGAGCTATCGGCCGCGGAGAGGTCATGTCACTGAAACTTGATGAGTGGCTCATGCGCTGGTGGTCGTGTGCAGGACTGAAGTGTATTATGTCAGCGATGTGAAGCTGGACAAGAGGTCATGGAGGAAGCTGGTTCCATTAGTGTAATCGAAGAAACGATGCCTGTTGGTACTTATTGCAGGAGGTTGACTGAACAAGGAGGAAAGAGTCTTGACTCTTGACTCTTGAAGCACTTTATAAGGCATCCCCTTGGGCGTGGCCACATCGCACGGGGAGGTGATTTCTTTAGAGGCGTTGCGGTTAAGGCCCTCACCTGCACTATAGCTATGCAGGAGTGGGAGGGGTAGGACTGATAATAGGTCCAGCAGCCTGCGCCGACCAATTTTCAGTGTCTTTCCATGCACGCGACATGCTTGATAATTATTGGTGAATGAAGCTTGTTCTTCCGATACTGTGATCGTCAACACCGCTACACCAGCACATAACCCACCCACCATAGCCCACAGCCATATTTGGGGTGCGCACGGTCGGCCCGCCAATAGAGAATGTTTCACCTGAGCGGTAGTAGAATTTTGCGGCTCATTCACGAGCTACGTAGAAAAGTCGCAAGGTTACTTTCCAATTTGAAAGGAAGCAGATTGAACGCAACGAACCTGGCCAAATGCGAGGAGTAATAACAACTGAGGAAGAGGACCAAGGAGAGGATGTCGATATTGAGACCTTCCAATGAGAAACCATGTCGTTAGTAGTTACGGTACTGGTTGGCCAACACGCCACGATCATACCTGACATTAATGTTCCTCAAGGATGACTCGGAGCGGTTCTACTTCGATTTTGGCCCGTCGATTCAAACGCGTAGCACCATTCCGACTTGAAGCTTGAAGCTTTGACAACGTGTATTCGGCGTGCAGCGCATATGAGGTGGGAATAAATAAGCGCCAACCTTAGCAGCCACCGGGTTGTCCTGGTGGCGGTGGTGCAGTGGAACAGTTTAGGTAAGAAAACAAGACGAGACAAAATGGAAGAGAATATTTAAACAGGCACTGTCAGCATCAAGGATCGTGCATCATGCATAATGCATGGCGGCCTGGCTGGATTCGAATTCAACCGTCACGCTGACGACTGACATCCCGAACAGTTCGCAGCCGAACTTTAGAGCCTGTAAGTCATACCAGTTGACGATATGGCGATTTCCTGATCGCATTCGTGCTTTCAGGCCCCGAATCTGATTATATATTCTTGGAAAGTAATGTTCCATAACTTACTGAAGGCATGCAGAAGTACATCTTCTACTGCTGGTTTTCATATCGAACCAGCTTTCACTAGTTATTCACCGTCTCACCTGTGGGCTCGACAAATATGGCCATCCGAGACCCAGAACGTTTCTGACGGTCGATGATCTGTTTGCGCTATAATGCGCTGCGCTAATGACTCGCTGGGCTTTGAGTCAGGTGAAAATTTCGGTGAGCAACCGGCCAGAGTTGAATCTATAGCACGCCATAAGTATACTTATATCGAATACGACTAACACCATCTTCTAGACACCTATCCGAGAAGAACGGACATCCGCTGAAGAACTGTGTATGTAACCGGCGATTGAAATTGGTATTGGTCAGTTGGCACCTCCTTTGCTCACGCTCCCCTGTCATGACTCCCGTATCTGTAGCTTTCAGCACGCATCGCATGATGGGGCTGATGTCTTGCCAACAGCAATGGTTGTCCCTATTTCACGAGTCACACTTCGTTTCGGTTTTGGGGGGAATCGTACCGTTTTCGTAGAGAGAAGCTGGTAGGTTTCGTGACAGAAGTTTATTCCTTCTGAGCTGAAAGGAGCACAAGGATTCTTGGGGCCAGCATAAAAACCTGGAGTGCACGATAGCAGTTCACCATCGAAATCTTGGATCCTGTCTATTCTCTCCCTGACAACTATGGTTGTTGCGGGTTTCTTACGCCTCACACTATCGTCTCTCCTTCTTGGCATTATGACCCACGGAACAGTTGCATTCGACATGTTATCCAACGAGAATGTGAGGCTGTGTATATTTTCCTTGATCCTAACCATTGATCCTTTCTCCATTAGCTGGCCGTGTAAGTGCCATATGTTATCTACGAGGTCAGCCACGAACTTTGGGGTGTAACAGCTACTGGGGTCAGAATTCATACGGAGCCATTAATCCCGACAATACTGCTCACTGGCAGCAGACACTTTCATACTACTGCAAGGTTAATTTCCTTTCATCTAAAGTTCCGAGTCGCCGCTTGACTCTGAGTCTCTCAGGACAATGTTATTGACACCTTTCCCATAGCCTTCCTCGTAGACAGCTATGCGGAAGGTAATCTCCCGTCGATCGATTTAGCGAATGTGGGTAATTCGTGACCTTCGTTCCGGATCGTGCTGACTCTAGGCTCATGAGCAGATCTGCAACTCCGGCAATGCCGACTATTTCCCAGGCACTGGCTTGCTGAATTGCTCTTTTCTTGCCTCGGACATCGAAATGTGCCAGTCGGCGGGAAAGGCAGTTACCATCTCACTTGGTGGCGGATCGGGAAATATCCACTTTCAGAACGACGCTCAGGCCGCTGCTTACGCTAAGACTATATGGAATCTATTTCTGGGTGGAACGAGCAAGACACGTCCCTTTGGATCTGCAATTCTTGACGGGTCAGTTGGTTTTTTTTAGATCTTCAGACTTGTCCTGAACATAGGGTAGAATCGACATGGACATCGAGGGTGGTTCGCAGACAGGCTATGTTTCCTTTTTGACTGCGCTTAGGAAACTTATGAATCGGAGCAAGAAGAAGTGAATTCCATTTCTCTTCTGATATGAGCATTGGTTTATGTATCACTTGTGCAGGTATTATATTACTGCTGGTAAGCCAAAACACTTTCAGTTGACACTCATTTTGTTTTCACATCCGACATTTACTCCAGCGCCACAATGTCCTTACCCAGACGGCTACATCGGAAAGACACTCAATACAGTGGGATTTGATGCAGTATATGTCCAGTTTTGTCCGTCTTTGTCTTAATGGCCCCGCTGTTTTTATGTTTGACCATCACTCACAGACAATAACTATTGCGGTCTGAAGCACTACAACAATCGAAATGTAAGTTACGATGTCTTCTGTCCTGTACCGTATTCCTCAATAGGGTCGTTGAGCACAGGACTGGAACTTTGCCACCTGGTACGTACCGACATGTGTAGTTCGCATCTTACTTCCTAACCCCTATTAGGGACAAGTGGGCAAAAAACGTCTCACCCAATCGTGACGTCAAGGTTTATATCGGCGCGCCCGCGTCATCTGCTGCGGGGTCTGGTTATGTCAACTCCAAGCAAATGACGACAATAATCCAGCAGACTCGGTCTAACTACTCTTCCTTTGGAGGGGTTATGTTATGGGATGTATCAGACGCGCACGGTGCGTCGAACCTACCCTTCTTCACAGCTTTCCATAATTCTACTGCCTCAGCCAATCATCGCTATGACAAAGCAGTCAAACAAGCTTTGAAATCTCACCCATGACGAAGACTGACAGTTATCTTTACTTAACTGCGTACCTCGGTGGTTTCCTCCCATCGCCAGGTACCGCGTCTTATTAGAAATTGTTTGTGTCAATAGGTGTCAATATAGTAAATGGCTCAGTGTGCCTGACTGTTCTAGATCTCTGAAGTATTGTTATAAGTAACTTCAACGTCAGTAGATGTGCTCATACTGCCCTGCATACTGTCAGGATTGTCAAAAATTAGCGGTATGCAATACTTATTACTAGTACTGTATTATATATATCGCCAAAGGTGCGACAGCAGATCCTCAACAGCCTATCTGTGAAGAGTGCGTTCATCGTATCGAGATAAAGAAATTTGTTTTCATGGTATCCATAGTTTTCGTAGATAAGCGATGTCAAAACTAAGGATCACTTTGAAAAGATATGATGTGATATGATACGATACTTAGTTGGATTACAGGCATCCAACCCCAAGCCGCTGCCACGAATAAAGTACAACTGCGCGCGTGATTGATGCTGCAGCGCTAAATCGTCGCTGCCTCCGTCGGAGTCGAAATCGATATCTTCACCATTGGCTTGGAAGTTGGAAGTTTGCAATGAAGTCTCACGATCTTCAAGATCTGAGATTGTTATCACATTTCTCCTCTGGCAGGGTCCAAAATCTCGCTCATGCGATCGTCCAAAAAGATGATCATCTGGTTTGTTGTCTTGAAGCTCGGAAGAAACTGGTCAGGTGGGAGCCTTGTCATAGGCGAGAAATCCGAATCGAATGAGTTCGATGACTCAGAAGGGAACATCTACGGAGGCTTTTACCTAATTCCCGTTTACACCTGTCGTGACCAGCCGCATTATACGACGATGACAAGGAGTGCGGGGGAATAACACAGTATAAAGCCGTTAAATCCCACATGACGCAAGGGGCTGATCACCGAAACTGCGGAGGCGAGACTTTGGCTAAAATTCATTGTTCATATGCGACCTGATCGCTCTAGGTGGACGTCGAGACTTAACTGACAGCAACAGTAAGATTCCATGCCGAACATGTGCCAAAAGTAGGCGACGGCGAACAGTCTCGATGGTCACCTGCCAGTGAGGATCCAAATTCCAATCTTAGCGGATATGTTTGGACGGCGATGTGGTCATCATATGATGATGTACTTACCTGGAGGTGCGCTCCTGTGTGTCTATCCAAATTGTGCCCAATGGACTTTAGAAACTATTCCGACAGAAAATAGTGGTACCTGAGCTGACGATGGCCCATAACAGTGTCGTGCCTAGCATTTACGCGACGTCGTGGGGTGTCCAGTGTCCACACCTTCCGCTAGTGATCGCAAATGCTGAAGTTTGGGTTGAAGGCCTGTGAGGGAATCCTATACAGTTCGCTGTTCTAACTGAGCACTTGAAGAATAAAATTAGCAGTATTGATGAGTCATGTTGTTTGGCGAGGCAAACAAAGATACTTTGAGACTTCTCCTTGAAGCTACGACCAGCTCCCGTCGATTACCGGAACAAAACTAACTTAAGTTGATCTAGGTGCTACTGGTAAGAGCTTCACCCAGCTCACGTGCTCTGAATCTGGCTCGGCCGCCACGACCACGCCGAACCTTTAGGAGCACCTGGTGGTTTGTTGATTGTACCCGTGCACAAGCTAGACCTCCCAGATATACATCGACCACATCAAGTACTGAGCGCCCAGTCAAAGTGTGAAGTCCAAGAAGATTGTTTTGATACTTACTTTGAGTTGCCTCTACTTCCATTATAGGTCCTATCGGAGTATTCCACGGATCTTCTGATACGCATCGGAAGTATTTCGTGGGCAAAGCATGTGCTTCAAAGGTTCGGCTTGTAGTGACTTCGGGTGTGCCAACATGGAAGTTACTAGGCTTGATATACACTCTGACGGCCACTTGGCGGTCCTAATCTAAGTCACGACGTGACGAAGAGGGCCTTGTGGATTTCCTCAGGTACGTCGCCCTTGCCTCATGTATTCTTAGGGGATCTCGCTGGAGAAGAAATCCCTTATCTAAGCACCGTGGAAGTCACTCCTCCAGTGCCGTTGACAAAGGCGCGTCAAGTGCTATATTGTATATTCTTGGATGGTGCAGAAGTAACGAAAATTTAGCAGATGACCCCTATTGGACGCTCACTTGGCTCTAACAAGGCCCTAGTCGTTCATGCTCTTGTTTGGTCGTATCACATGGATAGTGTACCAGAACTCCATATGCATCCCAATGACATGCGACTCAACTCCTGCATGAGCAAGACTCAGCTGCCCCGAATGGTTCAGCTGAGTTGTCCATCGCCGATATGGCAGGCACAATCGTTGCAGTCATACTATCATGAAGCATGACCCCTTCCGTATCAGGTTCGTTGAGACTTCTATCTGCCATCGCATCCGCATTTTGTGCTGCATAAAGAGGAAGCGGTACTGTGCAATAATACGTTGCCGGCCATTGACCCCCGTTCTGTCACTGCTCTACTTCATCAACAGTCGTCCCGATGTTTTCCATATCAAGCCTGACGTGTGTGCTGCTGCTGCATCTCATCACCCGCGCTATTGCGGTGTTCGACATGTCATCAAACCAGAATGTCAGTTAGCCTTCCTCTTGTTTGACGTGTGATTGACAACTTTGACTAGCTGGCTGTGTGAGTGGATTATGAACATAAGACGCATATATCCGTTACCGATGACCTATGGTTGCAGGTACTGGGGTCAGAACTCGTATGGAGCCGTGAATTCCGCCGATACTGCACATTGGCAGCAGACGATCTCTTACTATTGCAATGTTGGCCCTATTCCCATATTATATTGGAAAATTAACCTCAACTCTTTATCGCAGGACAACGTGATCAACACCTTTCCCGTAGCCTTCCTAGACGAGTTTTACTCGACTGGCAATCTCCCGTCCATCAACCTTGCAAACGCAAGTTCTCATTTCTGATTGCCTGTGCCTGTCTAACCGGCTGCAGACTTGCAACACTTCCGATGACCCTGTTTTCCCAGGGACGAACCTCCCCAATTGCTCGTTCCTCGCATCAAGTATTGAGACTTGTCAAGCTGCAGGAAAAATCGTCACGATCTCGTTGGGAGGAGCGACAGGTTCTAACGGCTTTGCAAATGACACTCAAGCAGCAGCATATGCCCAGACTATCTGGGATCTTTTCCTGGGAGGTTCAAGTACCACGCGTCCTTTCGGGTCCGCTGTATTGGACGGGTAATAATGCAACATCTCTCTGAAAAATGTGTGATCTAACTTCAAATCCAGCATTGATATGGACATCGAAGGTGGCTCTCAGACTGGATTTGTATCCTTTTTGAGTGCTCTTCGCAACTTGATGAATGGTGGCAGTAAACCGTACGTCATTCCTCACGCCTTTGATTTTATTTCTAACAGTCCTTACAGGTACTACATCACTGCGGGTTCGATATCTGATGCTTCGCACGACGAGTGTTGCTAATATTGATCTTTCAGCGCCTCAATGTCCTTACCCCGATGCCTACATTGGTGCTACTCTGAACTCGTTTGGATTTGACGCTGTATATGTCCAGTTTTGTGAGTTATATTTTCATTTTAAGTTTCAACTTCTCACACGGTCCTAGATAACAACTATTGCGGTTTGACGAATTACAACAACCCGAATGTAAGCATCCCATAGGTTGATCAATTATCAGCAGCTAATAATGTGAATCGTAGGCCTGGGACTTTGGCACATGGTATATGACCTCTTTTGACTGGCCCAGGTTTTTTTGGCCTTACCAAAGCACAGGGATAACTGGGCAAAGACGGTATCCCCTAATCCAAATGTCAAAGTATACATTGGTGCCCCAGCATCATCGAGTGCAGCTGGATCCGGATATGTCAGCCCATCGACGTTTACCACGATCATCCAGCAAACAATGGCCCAATATTCATCCTTCGGAGGCGTCATGTTGTGGGACGCGTCTCAGGCGTACGGTAAAGCGGTTATGCACTGCTTCTATGCACTTGTGACTTATTTTGCGCCTTCAGCGAATAGCAGATACGATATATCTGTAAAGAATGCACTGACAGGCGGTACTGCCCCTCCGCCGACGACTACGACTACGGCCACATCGACTACGACCACATCGACTACGACTACAACGACTACTACCACGACGAGCACGACGAGCACCAGCAAAACGAGCACGACTAGCACAAGCACAACATCAAGTCCTTCTCCCACAACAACGTCGGGGACTGTATCCTGCGCCGGTGTGGCAGCATGGCAAACCGGTGTTGCTGTGAGTTCATGTATATAATGCGCAATTCTTCGAGTCTAATCACTCTACTTAGTATGTTGGAGGCAACGAAGTCACATATAGGTGCGTGTGCAAGGTGACTTGTATTTATTGGAATTTGACGTATGATATTATGACAGCGGGGACCTCTGGACTGCGAAGTGGTGGTCGGAGAATGATGTTCCGGGCGGTGAGTGAAAGCTTCCGGTGTGACGCTGCTAGTTTCTCTGACACCGGTTGTGATGATCTTTAGGCGCGGCTGGTGACTGGACGTACGATGGCGTGTGCGCATGACCTTTCTGCTTCCGCGCCTTTGTTTTTTTAGATCTGGAGATTTTGTCGGCCGTTGTTAGACTGGCCTAATATTTTCTACCTATGTACAACAAATTTTTATAATATGACGTGTTCTACAATGTACCAATGAATTTCAACATTCCCCGCTATTTGTTGCTGCTCTGGACGCCTTGATGCTCGCATGCATCTCTTTGTCCTTCACGTGTTGGGGTAGAATGTGATCATTCTTTCCCTGTCCCATCCCATCCACCCAATATAGAAATTTGAAACGTTAAGATGGGTGTCATTCACAATAAGCGATAAGCGCTAAGCGCCAAGCTGCTGTACATGCTGTGGGCTGCGTGCTAAACACGCCTTGCCCTCGTCTCGTTGCTGATCACGACGTGCGGCATGATTGTGCCCGACTGATGTGGTCCCATTTTTGCGAAGACTTCTCTCCACTACCCAATTGATACTAGTCTATCTGACTTTATGGAATACGGGAAAGCCCGAACAGATAGGACACATCAAGTTGATGGCCTGGCTGAATAATGAAATAAAGTAGCTGGGGTGTCAAGCGCGAGGGCCACATCTGGGCCAATATCGACAATGGTTCTAGTCTTTCCGCTCGAGTGCGGTCGTCGCTCCTGAAGTTTAACCTTGGAAGTTGAAGCCCTAGTCTCTGGACAGCAGTGCGTCGGCCCGACATGAATTGGGATGTCCAGAAGCTTACACCCGTTTCATGTGAAAGTATCTGTGACAGACTTTGGTAGGCAGCCCCAGTCAGAAAATGGATAAAGGGTTCCGAGGATACCCTCAGTGAGGGGGTTGAAGCATTTACACGTCATCACTGACGGTACCGTTATCTAGTGCTTTGTGTTGTTTATGTAAGCTCAGTTTAGATTGAAAGGTAACTGAAAAAGGAAAGCTTTCTTGGTTTCCCAGCTTACGGTTGCTGTCCTGTCTCATTACCCCTGCGGACTCATACTGCGTGCTGAACACGCCTTCGCCCTTCATCTCATTTCTGACCGTGCTTTCATTCTTACTAGACTTTGTAACCCTAATGTCGTTTCTTCTCTAATTTCTTTCTTCTACTACCCGTTCCATACTACTCCAATACCATAACCCTCCCTTACCATGTCCAATGACATACAGAAGGCCGACCAGATAGCACACAGATTCTACACAAAGCTTTGTCTCGTCGTCTCAAATGCTAGGGCCACTTCTGAGCTAAAGTCTCAGTCAAAGGTCGACAAATGGGTATGTAACTCCTTCAGGTCGACAACAATGAGCTAACCTCCTTCCAGTTTAACCTTGAAACACCAGACTCTGACCTCTTCAAGGACCATCTGCGTACATACAAGGCAGTATCTACTGCACCTGCGCCACCTCAGTTTGAACTCCAGGTCCTGCTTTCCGTTCCAGACCTCGTCACTAATCAAGTCTTGGTCCACCTTGCACATGATTCCTCTCGCTCGCGCGTCGACCCCACTCCAAAGCACATCGTACTCGAGAATTGGTTGCTCAATTTTACTCCTAGCTTTTCAGAAGCTCCTGGTGACAGTGACGCCGACAGTGTAGCGCCATCTACCATTTACAAACATGGAATACCTCTCTTCCGTAGTATCTACAGTCTACTTCGTATTCTTCCCTCCTGGAAGCTTTACAAGAAGCTTAGGAGGCGCACAAGCAATGCATACCGGAACGGTAACCTAAGTATCCATCTGCGCGTCAAGGGCCTCGACGACGGCGTTAGCGCGACTGACATCCTCGATTTCGGTAAGTCACGTTACCTTTAAACCTCGTGGCTTCATCTCATTTCATCACATTCATTTCCGTCCAATGAAGACACGCCCCCTGCACCCAATGCTACCCCTCTACAGCACCAAACACATCTCTTCCCTGCTATTCCACACCCCACGGGTACACTCTCCCTTTCTATCAATTACCTCTCTTCTCCCAACTTCCAGCTCGACGAACTCGAGTCTCTCCTCTCCTCCCGTTTCCTCTCTCTTGATGAAGGGCCGGAGTTTACCCCTACCCTTGCGAAGAACCAGCAGCGTGATTCCTTAACCGGTCTTCCAGGAAGTCTATCAATGCGCCCATCTCTGCCAAAGTCACCGCCGTCGTCCTCGATCGCAGATCGTTTTGTTCTCCCCGCCGCAAATTCTCACTCACGTACAAACTCCATGCCAGCCAGCCAGAGCCCACGCTTGGGTGGTTTCCCCATGAGTCGTACCTCCACTGGTGCCGGGATCACTGCAGGATCCACGTCTGCCCTCTCGATCGCCTCCTCACGTCAAGACTCGAGTACCGCTTGGTCCAAGGAAGAAACGGGTCACTTTTCGGGTGTTTCCGCTGCTGCACGCGTGAGATTGGAGAGTATGGGAGGGAGGAGTAGTAGTGCTGTCAGTACCATCATCTGATTCTATTCGTCGGTGACTGACGTGTCTTCAGGACCTTCCCTCTGCCCCGGGGCCACTTGCGATTCGAAGACCGGGTATCAACCCGGTCCATCCATTCAAGACATCCACGCTGTCGTCTGGCTCTCCGTCCCTCCACTCACCTTCGCCTTCTCTACGTCAACCGTCGCCACTCGCCGCAGGCAATCCATCACTGCCTGCTCGCCCTGTCCCAACGTCGCCGAACTCCTCTCGTGTTCCCCACTCCTCGATTGGATTTGGCAGGCAATCACCCAGTAGCATCGGAGGCCGGTCAGAAGGCGACGACACATCTCCGAAGATTCCAGCCAGGAAACGTTATTCCAGCAGTTTTGGACATCGCTACGCTGCAGCAGGAGGTGGGGGGAGTGTCGGAAGTACAGGAAGCGGGGAACGAGCAGAGGTGAGCGACCTCGTTGCCTTATTATACATTATCCCTCACATTGCATATCGACCTAACTGGTATTGCATTGCGTTGCACGTTGCTTCATTTTTCATCATTGTTTCATTGTTTATTTATAGACGGAACGTAGTGCTGATAACGTTCCTGTGCAGAGCACCTCCTTCCTTGGTGTACCCACTGATGATGATGAGATATCCATCTTTGTCAAGGATATTGATGCGCGGAAGCCACTTAACATCCAACGCCAACCTTTGCCCGCGTCTGCGCAGGGCCCACCCACTACGCCCTCGCATACTAAATCCGACTCCACGGGTTCCGCGGGTCCGATGTTGACGCAACAATCAGAAGTCGACGAACGTTTGCGTCACATGAACGAAATGTTCCTTGCGAGCTTGGAGGGACTTGGTGGCAGTGGCGGCCGGAGACGAGGCAGTATGGGTGGAGATTCAGCGGGCGGTAGCCCTATTTCGAGTTCGAGTGGACATGGAGAAGGAGAGACCAGAGGTATGAGACGTGCAGAGGGTGTGGGGACCCGGCGGGATACATCAATGCCGAGACTTGGCTCCTTACGCAGCATGAGTGCCAACGACATAGCTTCGAGTGGCGGGTCTGCAGAAGTGATGGGGAAGTTGGAGCTCGATGAGGAGCCGAGGGCGCGAAGAGTGGGCCCTCGCTGACGCATGTATGTGATGTGATCTCTTGGTCATATGACTGACTTGCGGGGGTGGGGTGGGGTCGGCTTTGCGTTTTCTGTTTTCTGCAAGCCGTGTGGATCAGAAGAGTTACCGGGCGAGTCTGCTGATTTTTTTCATGGCATCGTCCTCGTTGTTATATTATCTTCACGCATTTTTTTAGCCATTTGCTTCATTAGCTATCGTTCATGCATACCCGAACTCTCGTCTTTATCATATGCATAAGTTCTATACGCAAGGTTGACTGGATCCACGAATGACATGTATTCATGACTTGGTCTGTGTCTGGGAGTTTATTGAGTTCCAACTTCCAACGGCTGCCTGGCGCTATTAGCTAATCATATTTTGGCGAGGAGTTGAGTTGATTCAATGATTGCCTCTGCCAGGCGGTTGATCGTTAACACGTCACATTTTCGTATGACCGAAAACTGCACTCGAAAGTTTCCGCGCTCCTAGGCTGGTCACGTACCAGTCAACTTTTTTTTGTAACAAACTTGCAGGCCTGCGCTATAGCGTAATTATAAGGTTTTCATGATCATATTTCCGGTGTTGACGGGATTTTTCAAACTAATATGTACAGGGTGCTACCGGCGTTCCTCTAATTTCCCTGTCTCCTGCACGATAATTACCAGCTGGGCTGTATCTCTCGACAAGCCTACTACTAAGTCCACATCAACATCATCTGCGCTGGCTCCAGATTGCATGTTGATTTAATTATAAAGCAAGCTACTGGCGGAGGCTGCAATACGCTGGTCTTCCGAATCCCGGAGTGGCCCTGGCAGCACTTGATGTACGTATATGCATACACCGTATTTGAGTTTACCTGTCCGAAAAGTTAAAGGCAGAGCTTCAAGACCGCATAAACGACGAAACTTGAGCGCCCATGGCATTGCCCCGCTTTTGCTTGATTCCCGGCTGGAGATGAGAAGGTGCGCAGTGTGCAACCCTCGTGTACGAAACCCATTTTTTGCCTCTTCGACCAAATGGAGACGGAGTATTCGTCTGATGATTTCACACTGGCGAAGAGTCTCCAGACCTACACAGTGCGTCTCTTTCTTGTCGATACGAGGGCCTTGATAACAATAGATGATCGATCGTGTACCGCCAGTATATATACAGTGCGTACTCGTCTGAACCGCTCTTCCTTGTCCTGACACAACACAGCGTCGATGGCTACATTTTGGGTGGGCTTGTCTTGACGTGTTTCCGTCTATCCGTGTTTAATTGAACTTATCCAGACCTATGATTATGCTTGTTCACTTCACCAGGAGGTAATGCACTTATGTGTTCATGATAAGCCTACCTTTCCATATTGACCATAACTCACTGGTCAAAGTGGACGTTCTTGCTTCAATCGCGCTGGACTAAGGTGAAAGGTCTTTATATCGTTACACGATTCGTGCCCTTTCTCCTCTTAATCGGCCATCTATATCGTGCGTTCGGCTTCAACACGTATTGTTCCAGCGATTAATTGACATGACATGTTTCAGTGAACTTCATCCCGAATGAGAACCCTGACGTATGTGAACGTGCGGTGGACGGGCCGTATCAACTACTTACTGCGTGACATCGTCAGGAATGCAAGATGTTGGTCAATATTTCCTCATGTACGTTCACATCAAATACATACATTCGTGCCGAGTGCTGCCCTTTCCTCTCACAGGTTTCAGCCTAATATCGCTCTCTTGCTCTGAATGTATCTCTCTCTTCTCTATGACATACACACGTTCTTGATCCCATTCATCCAGGCTTTTTTGTGCTCAGAACATATGCGCTCTGGAAGAACAATAAATTTGTGCTCGCAGCCATGCTGACCGCCTTTCTTGTGAGTCCCATGCCCGCATTGCGCCTGAAACTCGTGGTAGATACATCAGTCAGGTTTTCGTCGTCGCATTCGTAAGTACCACATTGGTCACTACCGCCACCATATCATGTACGCGCTCTCACCCTCCCTTGGAGTTCCATATGCTTTATCTGCTTTTATAGATGCGACCAGCGCGATCCCGGGCATCACAGGTTGCTCGGACAGCGTTGACAACTTCATGCCGTTTCTTCTCTTATTTGCATTTGAACTTGGTCTGTCGCAGGGAGCATGCATATGCAGATACGCACGCTGATCGACGCTCTCCAGGCCTCATGTTACTCACGCTCATACGTGCTATACAGAGTTGGCGCATGACCAGCGGCCCTCTGTACGCCGTCCTGGTGAAGCATAACATATTCTACTATGCATGCGGCCTCTGTGAGTCAGAATATGCATTTTTTCCGTGCTCATCGATGATAATTATTGTTCCGAAGTTTTATCGGGGGTGAACGTTCTTGCATTGCTGCTCCTCCATGTGGGTGAACCACTCAGCCCCTCTATGACCGAACCATTGATATTCCGCAATCCAGTACCAGTACCAGACCATGTTCCAAGAGTACGCGCACTCCCCAGCCTTTTGCGCCTTCCTACTAATAATACCCACAACACATGCAGTTTCCAGATTATCATCCTGACCATTCTTGCCTTGCGCATGCACCTTCATCTCTGGCAAATTGATCAGCACGTACAAGGCTCCGACGTTCTTGTGTCGAACATTGTGTTTATTATTCCTCAGCTCGACATCTCATTTGCGAGTCGTTCGGCGTAAATCCTGATTCAGCGTCGTTTGAGGGAGGTGTGCTTGGTCAGATTCGGGACTCGAGGAGGAATGCATGTTTCTAAAGTTCGTGCGATGGGGTTTTTTGGGTCGACTGCGTGTTGATTTTGATTGCTTGTTGAGATAAAGTGCCCTAGACGTGTTGAAGATTGTCGTCTTTTAATCCAAAACCTCCACAGAATTGCAGGTAACCAGAGGCACTTCCTAGATGTAACAATGACTAAGTCAAACTTTTGGATGAACGCCCATCATATGGTGAATAAGCGGAGACTCTCGTACCAGAGGAGGTAAGAACGCGATACATCGGTGAAATAATAGCACTTCCATGGGGTCTGAATGTAGATCTTGTCATATTAACACACCTCGGCTGTTAGGTGTGGATCATGATGATCACTCACTAGATATTAAGACGCTTCAAGTTGTCTTAGATGAAAATTTGTGACGTGAAACCGCATATAGTGCTAGATATTATTGTCGAAAAATTTACATGTCAGTACTATGTGAGCTTGAGTCGTACCGTACACCTTGCTGTGACGGCCGCCGACATCTCCTGGACCCTGCACACGACCAAAATGTACAATTCGAACTAATGCACTCACGAGAGTCGTCCCAAACTCAAATAATTCATGCATTCCCCGCTGTTCGTAGCGGTGCGCAGTGCAGTACACACTGATAAAGAAGTTTGAAGCTCTGAAGGATGGTGTCAATTTCAAACCTTGAGCAGGGCTTCGAGCGAACTTCTGAATCAAGCGAATGAACAAATCCGCAAATGCCCGATGGGCCCGAATTTCTCAGACTAGTAGTAGCTAGCCTATCGTAGCACAAGCATTTGACAGTCGCAAGCACGCAGCCTCTGAATTTACTAGGAGGTACGACGGTGTGAGGATGAGGCGACAGTGCCTCTGCTAACGTTTCAGAATCGGCTCATACTTCTTCATATGGAGGGCTGAAAGTTAGCAGAACTTTGATAGAGGTTCTTGAAGCTTACTTGTAAGGTTCGTTCTTCTTGCCAACAAATAATCGTTCCTGTTGACTTGACTGAGCCGCACAGCGTACTCAGGGCCGCATGCTGCTTTGTTCGTTCGTCCACCAAGCATGGATCAAATCATTCGGGAAATATACACGGACTATACTGGTACGGCTTGAGTACGGCCTCTTCGTCCAAAAAAGCCCGAGGCTTGTCGCCGCTTGTGGAGGACTTTCAATCCTCAAAATTCAGAAAATCGGTCGTCCTCCTGGCAGTTTTACTACCGTTAGGTCGTTGACGCAGTTACTAATACGAAAACCCAAGTGCCGATCCACAATAATACTTAATACTTGAAGTAAATTGGTGCAAGTTTTATCATTCGATGGCACAAAATTCCGGCCATCAACACACTCGTCGACACACAAGAAGAGAGCCCGTTCAGCGTCAAGGCACTCAACTTCAACATGACTACCACGGTATCCGAGTTATATATTTGGCTACTGCTGATGTCGGACAACTTGCGGATTACAATGAAGCAAGCTCCCACGTTGCAGTACCTGCCAGGCCTGGTATCGCGAGAAGTTCACTGCAAGAAAAGGCCCTTTTCTTGTGCAACGTGATCACTGTTTAGACCGTTGGGAGTGTGCCATCGGTGATTTAAAAGAGACGATTTTCCGTCACCCTCTAACCGCGCAAGGCTCAACGGGCTTTGATGCATGCCATTTCATCGAGAAGCTGTACGTCACTGATTAAAATATCTTTTTGAGTCCGAAGTGCTCATGAGGTGTCTGACAGTGAAATTCGGCACCGGTTATCATAACCAATTCCCTTTGATTGTGATGTTTGATTAGTGACCGGTCACCCAAAGTAAGTCGCGTAATGATTGTGCTGATGGCTAGTCAAGGGTCAAGGGTCTAGGACTAGGACCCTGGTCGGCGCCGGCATTCACCCATACGCCTTGATCTTCTCTATTGTACACAATGACTCGTCCCGTCTCTTCTCTCTCGGTGCTGTTGAAGATAAGAGCTAATTCGTAAAACCTTAGACTGCGTGTTCCCATAGACATGGTCGCAACTTTTTCACTTGCGATGGAGGCTGTAGGTCGGACGTAGAGCCCTGCCGCGTTATTAGAACAATCTCCAAGTCACCCTATCCCATTCCTTTGAGGCGATACACATTGCAGTGCTGGTCTCCACTGCATCACTTCTGGCGCCTCCGGAGAGCCACCTCTAAATTCGGCAATCTCTTCGCACATGGTGCTAAACTACAGCTTCTAGACGAACAAAGTTACAAAACACAGCAAATGAGGTGAAGAAAATCGCTTCCTTCCCGTGCTCGTTTTGATTGTACACAGGTCGCACACAATGCAGGTCGTGACATACCTAGATCGGTGTACGAGAACCAATTAGTCGTTCGAAGTTTCCGTACTCATAAACATTCCGTGAGTGGCGACGTCATTAAATGATTTTCATGACCTGGTAACAAGGTCGGCGATTCAATGGTTACCCCATGTTATACACAGAAGAGGTGAGAAAGACGTATGACACTCAAATGAGATAGGTGGCTACACGTAAAGCATATCAAACACCGACCGAAGTGGTGAAATCGTGCACGACGAAGATAGCGTACCTGTGTTTCCTCCCTTAATAAGTTACCACAAGCACGATTGGAGGTTATCAAAGCCACCCATATCACCACACGATGTCTCAGCCGATGATCATACTTTACGACGTACCATCCCATATTCCGCAACCTTGGGCCCCCAATATCTGGCGGGTACGGTAAGGTATTTCGCTCCAATATATACGTGCGTGCGCTAATATATTTCAGGTTGATACTCAATTTTAAAAGGCTCCCCTATCGTACTGCTTGGGTGGAATTTCCAGACGTCGAGCAAACCCTCCATGGCATTGGGGCTCCACCAACGTCCGTCAGAAATGATGGCCGGCCCGTATTCTCTCTACCAGTCATCGTGGATCCTATCCGGTCGCCCCAGGCTCCCATAGTCCTATCAAATGCACATACCATTTCTGAGTATCTGGAGGTCACATACCCAGGTCAGTATGCCTTTCTATATCCGATCCTTACGTCTGAAACGAATTGCAGCGCGTCAAGTATTTCCAGAAGGATCTCGTGCACTGCAGGCGCTATTTGTGCATTATATCCAAGAGATATTCGCGAAGCCCCTGCTCCCTATTATGGTCCCTCTTAGTCACCAACGTTTACCGGAACGCAGCCAGAGTCATTTTCTCAGCGGGTCGACACCAAGTTATCTTTCCGTTACTCCAGAGCGAGAGCAGGCTTGGAGGGTAGTTCAAGAGCAGTTCGATTTTCTGGCAAATATCCTGGACAAGAACTCGGGCACCGACGGCGATGGTGTGGTCGCCATGGGCCATGAACTCACCTATGCTGACTTCGCCATCGTGTCGGTACTCATTTGGATAGAGAAAGTAGCACCGCATGATGGCTGGGTGAGGATTCGGCAGTGGAATGGAGGGCGGTGGGGTAAATTATGGGAAAGGTGCAAGAGCTGTATGGATGTATTTTAATCGCTGTGATGGGCGTCATCCCTTCTATACCTACTTTGAGTTTTTTTCCCCCTTTGTTCGAGTCTATACTAGTAAAAGTCGATGCATTCGACGAGAGAGGGGGTATGAAAGAGTACACCGCTGACGCCATGCAAATCGGCAGTCTAGTTGATGTATAAATGTATTCCTCTTGGTTGACACAAATAATTCAACTGGTCGACCGCTATAAACATTTAAATTTGGTCTATTCGTCTCCCTCAACTTGAAATATGACATTATCATCGCACAGGCTAACGTTAGTCTTGGAAGCACTTAATGCATTGTCGCTTATTTTTCTCGTTCCTAGTAGGCGTTCCATCCTTGCCTCAGGCTAATTTAAACGGCGAAACTCCTCATGTTGGTCGCCGATTGGAAGGTTGTTTGTGTTTGTTGCTTCCAACTGATGCCGCAGGCATCGTGCTCTACTTGTTTTCGGAGTCCTCCTGGAGATATTTGCATCTCAATGAAGCTAAGAAAACCCTTGCAGCCCTTGCAAGGACATGCAAAACTATTCATGAGCCTGCAATGGACGAGCTTTGGGCTAACATAGATGGTTTAGAACCATCGCTAGGCTGTGTAACGAGGTTACATCCAGTGATTTATCCTCGCACCAAAAAGGTCAGTCCAGAGTCCAGAGTCTAGACTAGTCACACTTTGTTTATTCTTTTGGTTCGTTGGCTCACCAAGCATCTAAACGCAGTACTACCCAGACTCGTCCTCTCAAGGCGTCGAACCGTCATCTGAGCACGAGGCCCGTCAATATTTGCGCCACTCCACACCCGTATCTGCTCATTGAAGATATCACCCGACAAGCATTTTCACCCTTCTCTCGGTCATCCCATCGATGGATGCATCTTCCCGAGTCCTGCAGTCGTGAACCTAGAAGTTCCTCACTCGCAAATACTTGAATTTCTTCCTGTCCCGTACGCTGCGTCATTGTTCTCTATCGTCTATTAATGAAGTCTTGAAATGTATTGCGACTCGTTATGCTGCTTTGGAAGCCTTATCCATCGACTGTGATTGAATCACAGCGGATGAGCTGTTCTTGTTAACTGACAGTGTCCGTCTATGCAAGCGGCTTGAAACTCTGCCTTGTCCGGCGCTCGGCTGGGCAGCATGGGAGCACCTCTTTAACCTCCCTACCCTTATCACAGTCGCGATTGATAAGGAGGTCAGACCGTCAGAGTCCCCCCTCCCCATTGGACCTTAATAATATCAAGTTGGCACCTTTCCTCAACTTCATGACTCTTTGTTTTTTTCGTAGAAACAGCTGAAACCATCGCGGCACTCGTGCAACACTCAGAATTCTCCTCGCTGAAAATATTTGCGATGGTTGTCAGTGCATTGCCTTGGATAGAGGCTGAGCGGCTCTTTCGCGCACTGTCCCAGTGCAAATGCTGGAGTCTTGAACCGAATATTCTCATTGACTCCAAACATCCAGGAATTCAGGAGCCCTCAATCAACTCTTTGACAGCAGTTGCGCAGTTCCTTTGTTTCAAGCTCCAAATCTTGCACCTCCATTGCCACCACCCCGTTCTCCTTAACAACGACATTCTTTTGGAAGCCATGTCAAGTTGGCCGCACATCCGCTCTCTGACACTACATGAGGCATGTCGTTCAGGCACTGTCACATTCCGCGGATTATTCCCAGCGCTCCGTCAGTGTCTCCATTTGCATACCCTGCTTATATCATTGGACACCCACCCTACGAAAATTGGGCTTGGGAGCTGCCTCTATTGCAGATGCTGAAGATGTTGCCGGCATCATTTTCTTCATGCTCCCTTACTTTGACCGAGTTCTCGGTCCCAAACTGGAGTGGCAGAAAGTTAACAAACATCTCGAACATCTTATATCTTCTTCGGTTCCTGGTCGCCATATCGCAGGAGCACCTCGGAGAATTGAGCTCAAGACGATTATCCTGGATCTGCTACGTTGTGATTATCATCGACTATGGTTGCATTCGTTTTCTGCAGAGTACCCGTATCCGTCTCTGCCCGAATGAAACCTGACCTCCTCAACTGCGTGCGCATCTTGGATGTCGAGAGTATGAACAAAGGGGCATCAAATTAGCAATGGTGCAGTGAGAGTGTCTGACAAGGCTTGTACGCCGTCTGTTGGATCTTGTAGCGAGCCGCGAAGTAATCCACGAGGAAGAAGAATGAGCTATGGTGAGGGCTCAGGGATGCAAAAACCAAAGTGGACCATTGACAAACCCAGTAACGACGGGAACGACGGCGCTCCAGTGGTAAACCAGGTGTTACAGCACGCAGTGTGAAACGTAGTCACGTTGCTCACATCTTTGGGTCCTCGCAAAGGTTCTGTGACGAATAGGACTTCGCAAGGACTTCGTAGAGTTATCCCGGTGTTAAGTCGCGCAGTCAACGCAGTCCATTCGCAGTACGATAGGATATTGTGAACTTGTACCCAACAAGATGATCAAACGACACGCATATATGCACCTTAAAACCCGCGTAGCAAGCAGCGACGAAACGAAGACGATAGTTTAGCTGTTTAAACCAAAATTGATGATCAGCAGAGCGGAAGGCTTCAAGGAGCCGATCCAGGGAGCGCCTGGGTCCGAGGTCTGATAATTAATCTGCGGTGATACGTTTGCATCAAGTCGACAAAAAAAATAACCTACGTCAGCTGCAGGGTTGGTGTCAAGCAGTATCTAGAAACAAGCTTCATGGCGGTTTAGAGGAAGAGCGGGTAGTGCTTGGCGGAGCTTGCCAATATTCGGTCTTATTACTTATCGGACCTATACTATAGTAGTACGTATTGTCCCAAGGTCAATAGACCGCTAAAGCACAAGCACCTAAGCTAAGTAAAACCTCAGTCTCGAACTTTTGAGATGTCAAGTCCGTCTTCATCATGTTCGCCCTCTTCATCAGCGGTAACCATTCCAATACCTGGCAAGTCCATTTTGAAGCGTCCTCCACCCGCGCAAACCGGCATCTTCTCTCGAATCAAGGGTTTTCTTCCAACACAATCTCCCGCTTCTGTTACCGACGACATCAAACCTCTCAAGCGTGCCCATTTCATACTTCCCCAACTCGTCACAGTTTACCCTATATCCTCTATCAACCCTCCATCAACACCCACGCTCAAAGATGAGAGGCGGGCAATCGAAGAGAGAGAGGCGGAGAGACGCAGGAGAGTTGTCAGAGGCAACTCTATTGGTCCTAATGAGACGGAAGATTGGTGGAATTTGGAAAAGGTGGAATCGTTTTACAGAGAGTGTTGTGCATCAAGAGAGGAAGAACCGGACCCTGCGATTTCTGCTGCCTTTAAGGTGACAAAATTTACTTGTGGGTTCCAAGAGCACAGTAGGCTAATCTCAGTTGCTGCACTCAACAGCGTGCATCAGGCACGAACCCTCGCTCTGTCGATCTGTCTGGTGTACAATTGACACCTACATCTGCCGCGATCCTCTCTGACGTGTTTACGATCGAGTGGGGTCTTCGAAAGCTCACCCTTCGAGAGTGTGATTTGGATGAATATGTAAGTCGGCTTACCCTGGTTGCCTCTATTGTCCTCACCACAACCTAGAAATTGAAACTTATGCTTCATGCCCTGCTTATACCTGGCACGCTTGTTTTCCTCTCCGTCGCCTCAAACCGTCGCCTCAAAACGCCGGCGTTTAAGGTGCTAGGTTTTTATGCTTCAAAAGTGCGCTATTTCCCCAGATAATAATGCACTGCTCATATATTCCATTGCCAGGCAAAAAGTTTACAATTCCTCGACCTCTCACAAACAAATCTAGACAAGAAGGCAATAGAGTATATCGTAGTCTCATTGACAACAGCACCTGAGCCTGGTTTAATCTCTCTCCGTCTAGACGACTGCTCTCTCAGAGTGCCAGCGCTGGACGTACTTGGTAAGCCATCAACTTTTATACCGCGTCCAATCTCCCTTAAGTCTGGCAGCCCGAGTTATTCGTAATTCATCTCTTCGTAACGTTTCTTTGCGGCATAATCGCATCAATGCAACAGGAGCTGTCGCACTTGCTCTCATGATCCGAGACTACCCAGACGTAGTCCCTACTACTCCCAACTCATCTACCTTTCCTCCACAAGTCTCTTCCCCACCTTCCTCTCCAAATCCTCCTTACGCACATCTACCTCCTCCGTCACCAGTTGCCCGCACAGGACCAGTACTGCCTCCTCCACGCCATCCATCGTCCATGTCTCCTCAAACAACTTACACGCCGTACGTACCTCGTACTCGCCGAGGTGTTGCAGCAGCACAGCCTCCCCCTCTCTCAGCTTCTGGTCAACCCGTCCCCATCATCACATCAAATCCACAGGGAGGTGTCACCACCCGCCATCTTGCACCAAATACCGGGCCTCAACGATTGGAGGGTGGACTCCATCCTAATGGTACAGCCCACAGACATGACGATGGTCCCAGTGCTGCACTCTTGGACAAGGTGCGCGCTCTCGATGCGTTGCCAAGGCTTGGAGCTCTCCGCACGTTGGATTTGCGAGGCAACGACCTTCGCGTGAGTACATTTCTGGAGTATGGTATTATCTATTGATGACGTCGGCATAGAATGGTGTTACTTATCTGGCACAAGTACTCAAACGAAACAGGACGCTCAAGGTCCTGAACTTGAGCGAAAACAAGCTGGATGTTCAGTGCTTAGTGTCAATTGCCGAGGCGCTGGTAAGCGTTTAGAGTCTTTGACTGGTCGTCAATTTTAACAGGACCTGCTAGAAATACAATCTTTGCTTAGAAACTTTGGACCTCAGTCGGAATCCCTGCTCTGGTCCTGGTCTCGAAGGCGTGCGTTGATAACTCGCTGCATATGATGCCTAGACTGAATTGTATTTAGATTCAATCGCTCCGAACGGCCTTCACATTGAATAACGCTCTCAAGCGCCTATTTCTCTCCTCTACCAACATGACTTCACAAGGCGCTATCGCGCTCGCAGAGTTCCTCCCTGAATCAAACTCCTTGCTCCACCTTGATCTCACGGTCAATAACTTGGACATCGCTGCCATTATGGCGCTTAGCTCGGGACTGAAGGCCAATCACACGATGAGGTGTCTCGATGTCAATATACCTCCAGATGACGAGGAATTTGCCAAGTGAGTGCTTAGTAATCTGTACAGTACGTTTCTTGAATATGACCTCACACAGAATGTGTCGCGAAATTCTCAACACTTGTATCCGGAATACGGAGGAAGCGGAAAAAGCGGCACATGTTTCTGATGGAATTCGTAGTCCGGCGAGCAATAGAGGACTCGGTAAGGGTGTATGGAACATGATCCAGGAAAGCGAGCTTGCGAAGTCGATACGTCAAGGTGGCGGACTCAAGGTAGATGAATGTTCCCCATACATGATCAGCCTACTCACGATTCTGAAGAATAATACTGAGATTGTATCAAGAGCGTATGCGCTGCTATCTCAAATTCAGAACTCGACGAATAGCCCAAGGTCTATTTCAGTTACATCCTCTGGCGCATCCTCCCCGACCGTCGTGGCACCCGCGGACCAAGACCTCGTTCAGCAAGCCAAGGCCACGGTTGATGACATTACAGAAAAAGTGCAGACTGCGACAGACATCGTCCTGCTCGAAGAGCTGTTGGGCCTCTGCGATAAACTGAACAGTGCTATCACACAGTTGTCATTGAATCCTTCAAGCAAATCACTACTTCATGGTCTTGCGTTAGACATTCCCAGCGGGGTCGTCGGTTCCGCTGATGGAGATACTCTACACGAGAGCCCTGCAGATCTGTCAGAGGATGAAGCACCACTGACTCCGAAGGTAGATAAAGGAAAAGGTCGAGCAGAACCAGAGCCGGAGGAACCGGAGAAAGTGTTGAGTCCCACTTTCATGATAACCGAATCCGAGGACGAGGATGAAGACGACAACAGATTCTTGGTCGAGGAGGACCAAATTGGTGTCCCTTCTCCTGTGGTTAGGTGTGTTATTATGCGAGTGAAGTATCCGCATGCTCTGATGATGTCTGAAGGTCGAAAATTTGGGTTGAAGAAGAAGGGGAAATTTTCCGAAAAGGCGCTGTCCTTCTCGGACCTGAGGAGATGGAAGGAGAGTATGCTGGCGAAGACCTCCGTCGTGAGGTGAGTGTATTGGTTGTTCAGTTCTGCGCATAATTTGAACACTGCTGCAGTTGTTGGAAGCGATGGTCGAACGGGCTCCTCCTCGCGGAATCATCGATGAATTTGGCATGGATCTAGACGTGATTGTGCCTGAAACAGTTTCTCCTCCACCAGAGGAACCTCTGCGGCCGCCACCACGCCCATACATCTCCCGCACTCGTTCCACATCTTCCAATGGATCAACGGGAGACCTACATTCCCCCAATTCGCCTACCAACTCGATGGCTGCTGCGAAAAGCCCCATTTCGCCAGCATCACCAGCCTCACGGGCATTTCCAGGAAGCTTCTCATCAAGCTCCCCTGCCGAGCCTCGATAAGGCCTTGTGCCCTTCGTACACCATTTATTTCACTACTTTGACTATTCCATACGGACACGCCATATACCTGTCATCCATATTAGTTGTAAGATGTGAAATATCTATCGTTCAAAGATATTATTTTGCGTTTGCCTGCTGGGAATCACCGTATATTATCTTAAAATTGTGCATTTAATGTGACCAGAACGTACGAGTTGGAGCCCCTGACAGGCGCCGTAGCAACGTTATGCTTGGGTTCGCTTAAGCAATCTCTCCAATTATATAACTCTACCTACCCAAGCACTATGGCCTCCGAAGAGCTTCAAGCTCCAAGGCGATCCTCGAGAATTTCAGGGCAAGGAAAAGTCGAGACTCCTGCGCTTGCTAAGAAACCGAGAAAACCCTCAAAAGCGGGGACAAAAAGGGCAGCCGAAGAGGTTGGCAGCGACGAAAAGTACAAAAAAGTGCGCCATTTGAAGCCAAATTCTCTTTTTCTGAGTCTGACTGTAGCACATTCAAGGCCAAAGCTAATGAAGATGAAACGGTCGAGGAGAATCATGATGATGTAGATGCAGATCTAGTAGGGCCCATCGACATTGGCGACATTCTCCCCTCGATGACCCTCAAAAACGAGAAAGGCGAAGATGTGGATACTGGTTCGATAGCAGCAGAGAAGGGCGTCGTTCTCTTTCTTGTCCCGAAGGCTGACACGCGTAGGTTTTTGTGTCTATCTCGATGTTCATCTTTGCAACGTTTTTTCTTCTAGCTGGATGCACTGCGCAAGCATGTGGCTTCCGCGACATATGGCAAGAATTTGCCTCGCTTGATTATGATGTTTATGGAGTCAGTGCCGACTCCTCAGCTGCTCAGAATAAATGGCAAACCAAGGTGCGCTTGCCATACATTTATGCAAACGACAACTTGACAACTGAAAATGATCCTGAATTCAGAAGCAACTCCCATACCCACTCATTTCTGATCCAAAGAGGTTGTTGATAGGCGTTCTTGGGGCTGGCGATGGAAATAAGACGAAACGTAGTCATTTCGTGTTTGAGAAAGGTGGCAAGCTTTTGGACAGGAAAATGCCTGTGAAGCCGGCAGACAGGTGCGTTTTTATGTCTACTGTATTTTATTTTCATTCGTTGATGTGACATACGTCAGTCCTCGTCTTGCATTGGAGTTTATCAAGGGCCTGAGCGAATAGGTCGCGAATATGGTCTCTCGATCAAGTCGATAGATTCCATGTAATCCATCTGATCTTGTGTTGTTTTCAAAATTTTGTACACCACTTACACATTGCAATTTCTCGTTATGACAAGCACTGACACTGGCCGGTCTAAGGTCTTACTCATTCCCGGGACGCTAAGAAGTTGTCCCAGGATGAACCGCTGCGTCTCATCCGAGTCGACCGCACTTGCCAGCACGATGATACCGGAAAGAAGTTATTATCACCACCTGCTAAACTGGTGCTGGTTATAACGCAGCACCTCGCTGCTAGTTACCTTCACCGCTTTCCAAGTCTGTCGATAGATGGTAAGCTTCTCAATATCTTGAGTACTACCAATTGTTCGTTCCCTGCAGTATATTACGCATAGTGAGCAGTCGTTCTTTTTCTGACTCCCCGATGACTCTAAATATCTGTCAGGCCTGAGGTCGACGCACCACTATACACCTTGTAAATTGCGTGCCAAGTGATTTGGAAGGGACGGCGTCAGCATCTGTCAGTAGGTCGCCGAACGCCGAACGCAACCATGGCATCGGATGACCATCAGGTGGTCTAGTCCAACATCAACTTGAAGCTCATCCCATACTGCCTTCCAGTACTGCACATATAATTGTGACAAAAGAAGATCTCATTGCAATAAAATGGGGTTTGCATCAAGCAGGAAGTGAACTGCATCATGACGAAACCTGGCAAGGATGCCTCCCGTGAATTGAATAAATCTCCATACATAAATACACGAATACTACATAGGGTACGGTAAGTTGCTTTGTGTGCGACATAAAAATGTCAGTAAGGAGAGCCTTCCGGCCGCTGTGGTACTGTAGTTTTCCTGCTCCTGAGTAAGCGTGGTTAATCGGAAGTGGGCTGGGATGACCGAATTGGGTTGGAAGGTCGATGAATAAGGGGTGCTATTAATTACAGCATCCGTCTGTGTTTGCTTGGGGAGACGGCTGTGAGAAGGGGTTTATCTACCAGTGGTCGGACTTCCTGATGAGAATGATGCTGTACGCCATCATCACGAAGACGACCAGCATCACAGTACTAACAATAGCCCTGGAAGATGTATCCCCAGGACTCCACCAATTGACAGAGAACGCTGCGAAAAAGAAGACCATGCTAACGCAGTTGAATCAAGACGTCGGTTTATCACACAGCACGGACTCACCCCCAGATGAGCAACGCTTTTGGCAGGCTGTAACCGATGGCCAACTTCTCAAGCCCGTGCTCTCTATCATGAAGTCTTGACATAAATGTTGCCTGATCAAATGATCGTAAGATGCATCGTGGTCACGCAGCGTTGTTACCGACCGTGCGGAAGTTAGCACCTTGACCCATGGCTCGATTGTGTGAGACAAGCAACAAGCCAAGGATCATGCTGCCCATGCTCGCCACAAGAGACATATAGCTTGCCACCTGAGTGGGAGATCTACCACTCACGTCGACACTGTTGATAGCGAGAAACCCAACATTGGCATTGAGCAAAACAGTGGCCTGGTTCAACATTAATCATATGCAATTTACCAGAATAAAAACAGTGAATTTACCAAGAGATTGGAGTCCTGGAGCTGCCCGTTCAATTTTGAACAGAATAGATTCCACCGTGTCATGCTAATAATGTCGTCGACAAAAATCTTGTGCAGTTCTTGGATGTGGGTCATGGGGTCAAAGAACAGAAGGGGTGCAAGAATGACCATCAACGGAGATCGTTGATATTTCCAACCATGAACCGTCTGTTCAGACGCAAGTCTCACGCAGTCTTCACCATGATAATTCATAAAGTGATTGTTAACTTCAAAATGACCGTAAATCATGGTTAGATACATAAACGGGAGAGCACTGACTGAATATACACATGATGCGGCCTCAAATGATGATCAACATCAGGAATAGATCGAAGTCAGGTTCAAGCCTCACCAATGACAATGGCAGCATGACCTCGTTGCATACTCTGGTCCGCAGGGGGAGTGGGATGGACTTCGGAAAATGGGATTAGCACATGGCTTCTGCGAGGAGGTATCAAGGTAGCATACCCTTGATTCCGTCGACCACGGAAAGGTGATCCTTGAGTTCGGTGGCATCAAATGCTGAAGAAGACTGCGACGATGTTAAGTGATCTGCTTATTGCCACCGTATGCATCACATCAAGCTATCAGACCTTGGGAGAGTACTGACCACATGTCGCATGTATCAACATATCCTTGAGCTCATCGACAATGTTTTGTGTAACAGGGCATAGGCTAGGAAAGTAATCCCAATGTCTCCTACAGTTGGATGTTAATTTACCTGCATAAAGCCTAGAGTTTCATTAGGAATGAGACAGTGAGGTAAAGATATCGTGCGAACCTTTTGCTGGAACATACCAGTATTGCGCTTCAATGGCAAGCCCTGGTTATGAAAACAAGGACAAGCCGTCAGATCCAGATCCGCCGAGAACTATTAAACACCCACTTATATGTGAGACACTCTTGATGCCTTTACATAGAGAGGTAACATATTCGGGATTGAAGTCGTCTAGCCAAAAGAGGCACCTATCACGGTGATTGGCGAAATAATAGCAACAAACGACAGAATCGCCATCGTAGACCTTTGGCTCAACCACAAGGTCAACCTGCCTCATGTCGAGCGTGAGGTTCCTTTGCTCAAGGTTCCGCTGGAGTTGATCCAGCAAATACTCCATATAATATTCAATGCGATCACATATATCTCGTTTACGAATATCCATCTCTGTGAATGTCCTCTGCGCGTTAAAGCTCCAACTCAGACCGTCGGTCTTCAATAATTCATGAATTCGACGCACTGTTTCTCGGTTCACAAAATAGCGGGTACCTTCTGGATGCACAACAGTGGTCCATCCTCGGGGAATAGTCATACTTGGAAGAGTTGAGATGCAGTAGCTAAAGGTCAAAACATGACTTACTCATGCGCGGTGAGAGTCATAGCAGGGACAGTGGTGTCGGTAACCACGGGGGCCCTTTGACAAGGTCAGCTCTCGAGTAAAGGCAGGAAAGCAGACTGATTTTTACCTGGGGGATGGCCTTTCATACCTCCTGACATCATCTACAACCATACAGCTTATCAGCAGGCCGTCATGTGGGGTGACCACGGAGCCCGGTAGCCCATTGCCGCTGGGGGGAGCAGTGTAGTATGAATGATTATCGGAACCGGAATCTGGTACCGACACAGCCTGGACAGGCAGATCCAATGGAACAGAGATCGTATTTGGGGATCCGCGGTGCGCGATGGAACTATGGACACTAACCGGGTGAGAATGGACAGGTCCCTTGTGTATTCGATATCCAGCTTGTCGACTTTCCGAACTATTCATTGATCGTGTAAGGGAGCGACCGCTGCCCACCAAAACACGACTGTCGGACGCATGTCGCCCATCCTGGGGGAACGTCCTGCTGTTCACCGAACTCTCTCCCATCTCCAGGGACAGATATAAACTTGACACAGACCCTTGATGAAGGCCGTCCGCTTCCGTGGCACTGGTGTATCCTGTCATTGATGAATTAACTTCCAACGGAGGGATCGCTGTACCCTTTTGTAAAGGTTGTGAAGGTTGTGAATTGGTTCCTGTGTAAGGTTTGTCTGAAGGAGATAGAGGCTCCCCTGCAACTTCCAGCCCTATCTGACAAGGTGGCAGAAGACTCGGGCAAATGGGTGAATCTTCTCCTACGATGTCCTCTTGAGATCGCGGGAGCGCTCCGCTGGGAAAACGAGTTATCAATATTCGATCACCGAAATTTAAATGACCTGCAGCAAAGCGACGCAGTGAAGATAAGACAACGAAGAATAAACCCGCAGAGCGACGTGCAAGTTGTGAAAACCATTTCTTTAGTATGTTGAGAATGTCACAGGTGAAGCTTAAGTGCCCTGTCATCATGGCGGTCAAGATGAAAGTTGGCAGCTGCGTCATGGCAAGGGGACCGTTTTACCCCTTGCCATGACCAATTTTCCTCTCCACCAAGTACTCGCCTGACACAACTATTGAGTGACAGTCCACCCATCCTGGACAATCTCGTTCAGGAATCGGCGCTCAAAGCTACTACAGTACTTGTACGAAGGTTAGTCAGGTTATGAAACGTGCAGCGCTTCCCTTGCTCATCTTTTACAGCTTCCCGGAGATCGCTCCATATTTTGCAATCCATCTCTCCGCTTCGTCACTTCGCCTCTTTCAATATTCGAGTTTGCATTCAACACCGAGAAGCGCGCACCCCCACCTCTGACAGCGGCTGCCAAATGCCTTGCGCTTTGTATCAAGGTATGCCTTTTCTTACCCGGTTCTGCCAATACGCTCAAGCCTTCCCAGCTATCACCTAGTGATGACTCCATCATGTCCAACATGTACTCTCTGCTCAATTACATCGCTGTGACCTCCAAAGAAATAACCGAATCTTCTTCTTCCAACCAACTCCTTTCCAACCCCCTCTACACCTCCTCAATCACCTTTCCCAACGATAACATGATTTATAGGGTCAAAACAGAAATAGGTTTCAAACTTGTAAAAAAATATCTTTTGGTGGGCTGGTACATATCATGGAGGGTACTTCTGGGATGGATATGAGCCAACAATTAAGAAAATCGGCGGTTCGGTTGTGGAGATATGTCCAAAATACTGATATTTGAGCCTACCTCCCATATCACATGAATGCCGACCTCCGGAAGGTCTGGGACCATTCCCAATCGATTCAGAGGCCTCAAATACCCTAGGAGAGATGTTTTCAGTATCGGTATTGATGCGGAATACCGGGATAGTGACATATAGGAGGTCAGGAGGAGGGGGAGGACCTTGTATATCTCAGGAACACGATTTTTCCAGGCAATTCTGGCATGACCATCGTGTTCAGAGGGCTCAATAACCCCCAGGAAAAATGCTTCTGAAGGACAGGCTAGTCATATGAAGTCTAGAAAAATCGATCTTTGGGTGGGGGAGCATGGCCTTGGTGGCCAACTTTGGAAGATGATTTTTAGAGCAAAATCCGGCTCGACCAACGTCTTCAGATGGTCAAATAACCTCAAGAACGAGTCCTAGCTAAAGCCAAGCAAGCCATATGAAGGCTGAAAAAATCGATCTTTGGGTGGGGGGAGGATGACAGGGGCAGCCAACTTTGGAACATGATTTTTAGAGGGAAATCTGGCTCGACCAACGTGTTTGTATGGTCAAATAACCTCAAGAACGAGTCCTAGCTAAAGCCAAGCAAGCCATATGGAGGCTGAAAAAATCGATCTTTGGGTGGGGGAGCATGGCCTTGGTGGTCAACTTCGGAATTTGATTTTCTCATGCAAATCTGGCTCGACCATCCTTTTCAGAGTGTTCAATAACCTCGGAAACAAGTCCTACATCAACCCTTGCGAGTCATATGAAGGCTGTAAAAATCGATATGTGGGGGAGGCCTGCATGCCCTAGGGGGTCAACTCCAGCATTTGATTTCTTCGTGCAATTCTGGCTCGACCATCCTTTTCGGAGTGCTCAATAACCTCGGAATCAAGTCCTACATGATGCCAGGCAAGTCACATGAAGGCTGTAAAAATCGATGTGTGGGGGGGCCAGCATGGCCTAGGGGGTCAACTTTGGAATTTGATTTTATTGTGCAATTATGGCTCGACAAATGTGTTCAGATGCTCCAATAACCTCTAGAAAGAGTCCTAGATACAGCCAAGCAAGCCATATGAAGGCTGAAACAATCGATCTTTGGGTGGGGGGGGAGGGGCATGACAGGGGTTGTAGTCAAATTTGGAATATGATTTTAAGAGGGAAATCTGGCATGACCAACATGTTTGTATGGTCCAATAACCTCTAAAATGAGTCATGCCTGAAGTCAAGCAGGTCATATCAAGGCTGTTAAAATCGATGTGTGGGGGGCCAGCATGACCTGGGTGGTCAACTTTGAGAATTGATTTCTTCGTGCAAATCTGGCATGACCATGGTCTTTGTATTGCTCAATAACCTCAAAATCAAGTCCTACCTTATCCTCCCCAAGTCATATGAAGGCTGTAAAAATCGATCTTAGGAGAGTGTGGTGCTGCTGCTGCTTACATAAGCAAGAATGCGGTCCTCTCAGAGGGGGCCTGCTCACCGCTCAATGCCACTGTGATGCACCAGCAAATAAATCTTGCTGATTTGTTTCCAAGGTTCAGAGTGTTAGATCCTGCCTGTATCTGCCTTATGAAACGCCAAAATTGTGAATTGCAGAGGTGTTATGCAGAAATGCACAGCAGGGACCAAGCTGTTCACCTCTGATAGAGGTGGCCATCTTGTACATGTATATTTTCGCTTTTTTACGATCTTCTTGGCTTTGGTGGATTTCACACAAACAAGACTTGTCCAAGTCCTGAGATTTGACTGACTTTGCTTCTTGTCTGGTATTGACTTGCATGACAGGGGCAGCCAACTTTTGAACTTGATTTTAGAGCGAAATCTGGCAGAGTCCTTAGATTTGACCGATGTTCGCTTCTTGGCTGGCTTTGGCTTCATAAATGTCTCTCTTCATAACTCCATGAAAGCGAAAATATAAGTAGAAGTTGGCCACCTCTATCAGAGATGAATCCCCCATGAAGGGGAGGAGTCCTCAGATTTGACTGACTTTCACTTCTTGGCTGGCAAAATCCTGGACCTTGCCACTCAAATAGCCCTCAGAGCGAAAATCCTGGTCACCTCTATCAGAGATGAATCCCGCATGAAGGAGGAAAACCAGAGCCTCGCCACTCAAATTGTCCCCAGAGCCAACTAAGAAAGTGAAAAGTTAAAAGAAGCGAAAATATAAAGTGTTGGCCACCTCTATCAAAGGTGAATCCTGCATGAAGGGAAGGAGCCCTTAGATTTGACCAACTTTCACTTCTTGGCTGGCAAAACCATGTGGGCCAACATGTGGCCGACTGTCATATGAATAAGTTGTTCTTGGGCAATGGATGATACAGTGGAATTTGACTGCATCTCTGATGGAACCGCAGGAAGAAAGTTAATGTTCAAGGAAATTGAATTCACTGGTTAGTTTGTAAAGCGGTGTCCGGAGCTTCTTCTAACACTCTAGCTACAATCAGTGCCCATGAAGGGGAAAAACCCTTAGATTTGACCGACTTTCACTTCTTGGCTTGCAAATCCTGGACATGGCCACCCAAATAGCCCTCAGAGCGAAAATCATGGTCACCTCTATCAGAGATGAATCCCACATGAAGGGGGAAAACCAGGACCTTGCTACCCAAATTGCCCCAAGAGCCAACAAGAAAGTGACAAGGTGAAAAAAGCAAAATTCCTGGCCACCTCTATCAGAGCTGTTTCCCCCATGAAAGGAGGGACCAAGATCTTGCTACCCAAATACCCCTCAGAGCGAAAATCTTGGCCACCTCTATCAGAGCCCATGAATGGGAAAAGCCCTTAGATTTGACTGACTTTCGCTTCTTGGCTGGCAAAACCTGGACCTTGCCACCCAAATAGCCCTCAGAGCGAACTTGGGGCGAGGAAATAGGAATGTGAACTCTGGGGGGTCACAAGGATATATGCCTCGAGAGGCGTGCTAGTAGTATCATCCTTGAGGGATGCTACTGAGGCAAATCTCTTCAAGTATGAGGAGGATCAGGGACTAGCTAGACACCGAAGATATGCGAAGACGTGCAAAAATTGTGATGGGGTCATGAAGAAGGAGGCTCAAGAAGTCAAAGCCAGAAAAGGAGGATCACAACATTCTTCCGAGTCGTTTGGGTGAAGGGATGGTAGATGAACGCTTGAAAAAGGGTCGTACTCACCAGATTAGGTGTGTATCAATTCGTCCCATGCCTCACTTTCTATCATTAAGATTTTGCTAAGCCTTGGGGAAGAAGCACCGGACCAAGAAGAACAGACAATGTACAGTCATTACTGGGATTTGGACTATCCTGCAACTATCTTCATTTTCAAATATACTTCATTGGGTAGGTCATGGTATTTTCTATGTGTCCCCACTCATGCCAACTCCCGACCCCGCCTGATACAACCCTCAACCCAAGCGACTTTTTCTTGACCTTGCTTGCATCATTGCAACAACATCAATGACATTGTAATTACATTATGGCAAGGGACACTTACAAAGGCAAAGCCAGCCAAGAAGCCAAAGTCAGTCAAATCTAAGACTCGGACAACCTTTCTGTGTGCGATGGCAAGATAAGTGTACCAAAGCAGTGTCTGGAGCTTCTTCTAACACTATAGCTACATTTCAGATGACGAGTCAATGGTCAATCCTCATGCAGACTAAATCAGTCAAATCATAATGAAGCTTGGGTGAAGGGATGGTAGATGAACGCTTGAAAAAGGGTCGTACTCACCAACATATGAAAGACATCAGTTTTGGTGAGGAAATAGGAATGTGAACTCTGGAGAGCCACAAGGATATAGACCTTGATAGGCGAGCTAGTGAATCTGAAGCGAAAATCCTGGTCACCTCTATCAGAGATGAATCCCCCATGAAGGGGGGAAACCAGGATCAACTTTCTTTGACTTCCTAGCTGGCCTTCACTCCGCAGGTGTCCCTCTTCATAAGGTCATTATAGGTTTACTACACCATTTGCTCACAGGCTTTCTGAGATCAGAAATTTATGAAACCAAGGCCGGCCAAGAAGCAAAACCAGTCAAATCTAAGACTCGGACAACCTTTCTGTGTGTAAAGGAAAGGTATGAATATCAACTTTTATTGAGGGCCGACATGTGGCTGACTGTCATATGAATAAGTCGCCCTTGGGCAATGGATGGTACAATGGAACATGATTGTATCTCTGACGGAACCATGGGAAGAAAGTTAATGTTCAAGGACATTGAATTCACTGGTTAGTTTGTAAAGCGGTGTCCGGAGCTTCTTCTAACACTATAGCTACATTTCAGATGACGAGTCAATGGTCAATCCTCATGCAGACTAAATCAGTCAAATCATAATGGGGCTTGGGTGAAGGGATGGTAGATGAACACTTGAAAAAGGGTCGTACTCACCAGGTTAGGTGTGTATCAATTTGTCCCTCGACTCACTTTATGTAAGGAAATAGGAATGCAAACTCTGGGGAGTCACAAGGATATAGACCTCGAGAGGCGTGCTAGTAGAATCGTCCCTTGAGGGATGCTACTGAGGCAAATCTCTCCAAGTATGAGAGGGATCAGAAACTAGCTAGAAGCCGAAGATATGCGAAGGAGCGATTATGAAGTCAAAGCCAGAAAAGGAATGACGACATGTTTCCGAGTGGTTTGGGTGAAGGGATGATAGATGAATGCTTGAAAAAGGGTCATACTGCAAATCTCTCCAAGTATGAGAGGGATCAGGGACTAGCTAGAAGCCGAAGATATGCGAAGGTGCACAGAAATTGTGATGAGGTTATCAAGAGGGACAATTATGCAGTCAATGCCAGAGAAGGAGGATGACAACATTCTTCCGAGTCGTTTGGGTGAAGGGATGGTAGATGAACGCTTGAAAAAGGGTCGTACTCACCAGGTTAGGTGTGTATCAATTCGTCCCATGCCTCACTTTCTATCATTAACATTTGGCTAAGCCTTGGGGAAGAAGCACCGGACCGCGAAGGGTTGGAAGTCTTAGATTTGACTGACTTTTGTTTCTTGGCTGGCTTTGTCTTTGTATATGTCCCCCTTCATAAGGTCATTATAATTTGACTGGAATAGTATATGGATGCTGCATTTGCCTAAAGAAACCTCGCACATGCGACCGGGTCTTGCACCATGGCCAACATCACATCTTTTGCACCTCATAGTCCTTTGTAATGTTTCTCCCAAATGTGCATGGATGCCTGATGTCTGATGATAAATTAAAGCCGGTTGCCCACATTACATTATACATCACGCCAAAGAATGAAGGCATTAGCTGCCATTGAGGTTCATCTGGTATACGAGCACTTGGATGGCGGTTTTGCGTTCCCTAGTGCATGCAATGGTGGTGCCAAGGTGCTATTCACAAAATTTATTAATACAGTACATCTACATCCATCGCTCATTCCACAATATTTTCTAGTTGGGTGATGGGAAATGGTCTCCGTGGACGTGGGGGAGGGGGGACTCTCTTGTTTTTCTTGGCCATGGTCATTTGCTTCTGAAGTTCCCGCCGCTTCTGTCTCTCTGTCTTTCTCCGCAGATTGCCATCAGTGTCGAAGGGTTGAGAGTCCATGAGGTCAGCTGCAAATATGCGTTTACCCTTGATCAGCTTCATCGTTCGTCGCGCTTTTGGGGCCCTCTTCTGGCTCTCGCCTCCCTTTCCAATACAGTCGATCTTGTAGAATATGGGATTGGTCGTGAACACGATTGCTTCGTTCTTTTGCGTCCACACTCTTGCTCCGCTAGCAGGAAGGCAGTGAAGTTCCGAAAATACCTCACGTAATCCCTGTTTCAGCAACTGTTGCTGATCCTCATCCATCGCCTTCATCGTCCTGTGAAATTCTGCGATGTATCCATCACCCTCCCAAAGCCCAGACCACTGAGTATTGTCCTTATGGGCGGCATCAGGGTCGGGAAAGAACAGAGTGCACCTGTCAAGGAAGGGCCTCGACTTCGGACCCATGCGACCAGGAGTGACGCCCGTACTATCATTCAGCCCGGCATTGCATGCTTCAAATGCGACTGCAGCGAGAGTGTCATCGATGCTGGTGATTGTCCAGCACTTCATGGCCTCTTGAAGCGAGTTTGGGTGAGGTCTGATGCCCTTGAAGATTTCGGGTGTGAGCATCAGCCACATGTGCCTAGTGAACATGACCACCGAACGTCCGACGGAGAGTTGAGTGTTGGACAATCTGGGTGACCACACCCAGGGTCTCATGATCATTGCAGGCGAGTTTGACATGGCTGCCTACCTTTATGTTGCGACTGTTTACGCCCCTGCAGACATCCTCGTCCACCTTTTTCCTTTTAAGGAAATTAGTTATGTAACCGTCCCCCCGTCCCCGCGGCTTCTTTTTCCCATCAGTGTTTTTTCTGCCCTTGGCCCTCGTGCCACTTCCTCTTTTGGTTAAAGTCGTGTACGGAACTCTCTCACCGTCCCCCCGTCCCCTTCCCCTTTTGGTTGTCACAATATGCAACCGTCCCCCCCATCCCCCCGTCCCCTTCTTCTTTTGGTTAAATGGATGATGCAACTATTCCATCGTCCCCCCGTCCCCTTTCTTTTTCGGTTGAATTGATTATGCAACCGTCCCCCGTCCCCTCCTTCTTTGGGTTGAATTGATTATGCAACCATCCCCCGTCCCCTCCTTCTTTTGGTTGAACTGCTGATTCTTAGGTCACCTTTCCCGTCCCTGCAGTTTCGAGCAACTGAAAGCCAGGTCCGTGGATGACTTTGTATTTTTCTGGCCTCGACACTCATCGAAGGCTGGTTCATGATTATCCTGCACCAGGTGCTGATCCTACTCCGCCCATGGGTATGAAGAACTAGCCCTCTGTGCCCATACCACTCTGGCCTTGAGACTCATCGACGGCTGGTTCATCCTGCTGAAAATCACGAGGCTAATAATGTTACAAACTCCCTATGGCTGGCTGTGCCTCCCGGTCTTTTAATGGTATGTTATTCCATTGCTGCCTATCAACATGCCATTGACCAAACTGTTGTTTTAGGTCTGAGAGTTGGACACCCGATTCTGACTGGTGAGTTTCTCCTCCTGAGATTATTGTGCTCATAGGTCAGACATGACCTGGTGATTTTATTCGCACTGCGGCATCCTCAGTGATTCAGTCTGTATTTCATGATTCTTCGACCCGGATTCATGGAGGCGAGTCGCTGTGTGTCAATTGCATTAGTTTTTCCTCGAGGCGCGCTCATACAGTAGACTCTGTGAGTTGCGCAGCACGTGCTATGATTCACCCAGTCAGTATTATCCGATCACAATCAGACAGGGTATACACCAAAAAAATTAGACTTTGATTAAAAAATGGTATATAGAGTAAAAGGACAGCTAGAGACGACGCAGAGACTTGTATAGCAACAATAATCAGCGCTCTTGACAAATCTGCATAGGTACAGTATGAATCTGAGTAGGGAGTGCTTCAGTTCGAGTCCTTGTCGTGCATGCCATCAAGATCAAGGAGTTCAAATGCGTCCAGCTCAGCGTGGTCCGTCGCAACACCATTTTGTCTGAATTTCCTGCAAGACAAGTCAGCAATGAGCATCGAGAGCGAGATGGTTCTCGAAGATCGCAACATGTTCTGGTCGAACTCGTACATTGATAGACATACCTTTTCAATATTCAAATGATTCTTGCTAATTCTTTTCCCCAGTCATTCCCCGTTTTTTCAGCCCGATCTCCAAACCCGTCTCTCAAAAAGCCTCCAAACTTACCTCCTGCTTCCAAGTAACCACCACCGATCTCCAGACCCGTCTCTCAAAAAGCCTCCAAACTTACCTTCTGCTTCCAAGTAACCACCACCGATCTCCAGACCCGTCTCTCAAAAAGCCTCCGAACTTACCTTCTGCTTCCAAGCAACCACCACCGATCTCCAGACCCGTCTCTCAACAAGCCTCCGAACCCACCCCCTGCCCCCAAGCAACCACAACCGATCTCCAAACCCATCTCTCAAAAAGCCTCCAAACTTACCTTCTGCTTCCAAGTAACCACCACCGATCTCCAAACCCGTCTCTCAAAAAGCCTCCGAACCCACCCCCTGCCCCCAAGCAACCACAACCGATCTCCAAACCCGTCTCTCAAAAAGCCTCGAACTTACCTTATGCTTCCAAGTAACCACCACCGATCTCCAAACCCGTCTCTCAAAAAGCCTCCAAACTTACTTTCTGCTTCCAAGTAACCACGGTAAACTCCATTAATGCTTTCGTCAATTTCTAGATAATCCGCTCAAGCTCGTCTCGTTTTTCAAATAGTCAAATGCTACATTAACGTTGTAATCAAATTTTTTCTAAACACGAGCGATTAGATAGAATTACCGAAATGTTGCGATTTTTGCGAATTTGTGCTGATTTAGCCCAGGAGGGTTTTCCTGATGTACCGTATACATCTAGAGTATAGTCAAGCAGGAGGCAAGCAATTTCAGAACGCTGATGCCAATGCGTGAATTAAATACGTCAACAACAGATATGAACAAACTCACCTTTGTAGCACAACCAATCTCAGGAAATGTTACTGCATGCATGTGCTCTGATGCTTTCAGTATCCTCCGCCGTATAGACAATCTCGACATCGCTCCCCGGGTCCTCTCTATCATTGTAGCCTTGTTCGCGTCCTCGTCGTCCGGCTTGTCTAGAAGACTGTGCCGAGTCATTCTGAACTGAGGCTTCGTGATGCAAAAGTGAAGCTACGGATCTCTGGTAGCTGCGCCTAGCGCAGCTAGAAGCCTGACCCGGGTCTTCCAAGTCGACGCTGACTGCGAATGAGCACTCTCTCTGGCATTATTGGAAGACTGAGCCCGAGTCTTTCTGAGGGCTGGCTGTCTGACGTGGGGGTGGAACTACAATCCTCTGGAAATTTTACTGAGATGCATCATTGAGCACGCTGCACGTACCATTTTAGCTTGTGCGGTCGATACACATTTCCATGGGTCATTCCAAACGATCATACAGATTGTTTCTGTGAGTAGCTAGTTTGACCAAGCCCAAGGCAGCAATGAAGAGACGCGGGCATCCCTCCTGATCGCTGTAGGCGTCTTCTACTAAGCAAGCATGCCGAGGCTAATGAAACATACTGACTATCACAGCTACCAGCACCTGTCCTTTCTCGTTAGCGGAAGTCCATGAACACATCCCATTGCTGAACATGATCTGAAGGGTAGCAAAAACTATGGCAGAGGCCGCCAGTGTTCCAACTGCTGCAGGGAAGAAGCCTTGCACACCATATGTGAATCCGAACAAGATAAGGAACATGCCATGTTGAGGAAAGGGGGGAGGATGTAACAACTGAGGGGAATTAGCATGTTCGAATTCATCGGATGAAAGTGTACAAAACATACCCACTCAGGAGAACAATAAGAAGCGCGTACCCATATGGAATATGTTGGATGTCTTGAGCGACGTCATATTGGACAATGCGAGCTGGACTGACCATGATGATAAATGTGGCTAAGTAGGTACGAAAGAATACAACGAACCATATCAAAGCCTGAGTAACATCGTTAGTGGACGAGAGAACACCAAGATTCAACACTGACGTGACCTTCCCAACTAGACCGAGTTTTTGATATCTCGGGTTAGCCGATTGTACTATGAGACATTTAAGATTTATCGACGAAAGAAGGCTTTGGTAATGGCAAGTGTAGGAGCCAATGTTCGGGTTGGGAGTTCACCCACGATCGGCGCCAGCCAGCACAGTACCAAGCGGCTGTTTATAGCTTCCAACCTCGTCACTAACGTTCACGTACATCACCGTGTTTGCAATTGGGGATAATAGCTAACACAACACCAGCTCCCTATATATACCCAAAACCAAGCTAAAATGCATTGCTCAGACGCGGGTCGCAATGCGCATGTCGTCTTTCTCGAGCTCCGTCCTTGGCAGTGGCCCTCCGACGGGAGTTCTGAAAAGCGCAAGGACCGCGTGAGATCGTGCAAGGGTGATCTTCAGATAATAGGATGTCTCACCTGTGACGCAGACTACGAGGCGTGTTGAATGTTGGAATCACTGCACGACTAGATGCTATTGTCCTGTATGAAGAGAATAGACGAGAGGAATTTCAATACGTCTGCAAGGATTGGAAGCGTGAGGGAAGCACGGTCGTCAATCGCGATGCTTACAATTGCAGTTAATATGAGGCGGGACAGTAACGCTCATCACAGCACAGAAACCTAGCGTGAATAAGAGTACAGGGTGTTTTGTAGACGGTCACAGTACTGACAACAGAATGACGGTCGCAAGGTAGAATGTTCGACCAGTCAAATAGGAAACCTGAAGATACAACGTCAATCAAAAACAATGAAGACATCACACATGCTCACCATTTTTGCCATCGAAATGGACTAAAGGCCGTTCTCAAATTTCCCTATCAGACACGGGTGGAACAGAGAACATCATTTGCAGCTGCAGCACATGGGTTGCTGGTTGCATGCGGCACCACCGCCGGTGCCAATGGCAGTAATATGGCTGCAACCAAGGCCAACGGTGCCGACAACGCCAGCAGCTATTTCCGCAAGGCCATAAAAGTTCGCCGCCTTGTTGTAGTTGGAAGTCTAAACAAATCGTGAGCATCAGTGAAAAACAAGTAGAGATTCGTTAAGCACGGTGGTAGAACTCTGACAGCGCTGGATGACACCGGTGTTGCACTGTCCATCACGGAGAGTGAGGGGAGTGGCGACAGCGAGGGCTGGAAGGAAAGCAGGAAAGGCTAAGAAGTGTTGTTGAAAGAGTTAGTACATTGTAATTGCTTGACTTTGTAGTTGCCTGACTGCGGTGTGAAGGGTATG